ATCAATGGCCAGCGATCCGGCGATCCGGCGATCCGTCGACGTTACTTGGGTCGAGGGATTGGCGCGGAGGTAATCGCAATTGGTCTTAGGCTTGGACTTGCAGTTGGGATCGCAGTTGGACTTGGACTTGCAGTTGAAATCGGCGTTAGGAATCCGCAATGACACTGCCCCAGTGTCTCGGCCTCGCTTGGTTTCTGGCAAAGTGTGTGAGATGATTGGCAACGGTTTGTTGCTTGGCCAGCTTGCTTACCTGCTTACCTGGTTACCTGTTCACTTGCTCGGTTGCCCATTTCCTACCTGATCGGCGGGTTGGAGGTGCCGCCATAGACGCAGACGCAGACGCAGGCGCAGACTGTGACCAGCCGGCGGAGCAAATACCGTTTTGCTGAATAAATACAAACAACAACAATAACAACAACAACAAAAAGACGCACAAAATCACTGGCCGACAAGTGGGCAAGATCAGGCTTGAGAAACTCGACTACTTGATGCCTTATAATAAAAAATAGTATCCAATTTTAACAATGAATTAAGCAGACAGTGTAAAACATAAACGAATGTTTACTAATTATTACTTTAAAAAATAAATATGATTTTTTCTAATCTAAATGCAAATATATGTTTTTGGAAGCAAGCTTAACGGACATTGTACAATAAAAAACTATATATTTTTGTAAGCGCTTAACATATCTTTAATTTGTAGTCTAAAAAATTATCTAAGCAAAAAAAATAAAGCCCTAAATCTTTTTTATATCAAAAGGCCATAATATATTCTTTTAAGCGGACAAAAATTAACGGACAGGAACCCATACATACATATGTTGGTGCTTCGGCACTTCTTAATTCACTAAAACTCGGGGTGTATGAGTATGGTAGTGATGTAGCTAAGTGACAAGGCTTGAAAATCTCCTAAAAAAAACAGGAATTTTCTTAAGCGGACAACTTCAGGGACAAGGGACTAATATACCCCGCTAACTTTAGAAATACCCAGTTCCTTGAGTAGCAGTTGAAGTTGAAGTTGGTGATGCGACGGCACTTGGAATGCGTTTAGTCTCTCCCGACCCCCTAAACCCCTACCCCCCCTTGACCACCTCCCTGCACCCCCCCTGCACCTCCCCCCCTCCGCCCAGCGACGAATGCCTGGAATGTTAATGCAGCTACTTCTACTTGTGCCTGTTGCCTCGGTGACAACATCCATCGCCACTGGAGGAGGAATGGGCACAAACATTTAGCTAATCCATTTCCCATTTCCAAGGCGACTGCTCTCGTTGTCGTTCTCGATTCCATAACCCATTTGGGTGTAACTCGAAAGGGGACTTCTTCTTCTTCTTTCTGCGCTAACCAGTTTTAAGGGCTGTCCCTGAAAACGTTAAATATTTTGATTGAATATAAACATATGGTTTTTGGACATTTCACATTTTGTCCTATGGAAAAACTGTAACGATTAAATTAAAAAGATTAAATGGCAAGCGATTAAACAATCGATTTGGCATTAAAATGCTTATTGTTGTAAAATAGTTTTACAAATCATTTTATACAAAACACTAAAAGTTTGCTCAAACTCAAATGGTTGGTTCTTAAATCATCTTTATTAAACAGTATTCCATCCAATTTTTGCTTTAACTGTATCCTATTAAAATTTTAATTTGTTTAAATAATTTCAATGTTTAAACTTTAAAGTATTTAATAATTTGTTGTTAACAAAAAAAAAAAAATGCTATATAATATATAGCACTCACTTAGACTTACAGAAGTTTACTCAGTTTTAGTAAACTTACAATGATTTCGACGTATGGAATTATTGAGAATGCAGGTTTCTTATAATTTAAAGTCCTGCTGTCCAAGAATGGATAAAAAAAAAATATTTTAAAATAAACATTGTGTACCCTATTACTATTTGAAAAATAATTCGTAAATATTTAACTAAAAAAAAACCTGATAAGCCAAAATAATGCAAACATAATGCATAAACTTTCTAAAATAAATATATGGCTGTATAAAAATAAGTGCTTTTTAATATCTAAAAGCATTAATTGTTGCCTCTACATTTAGCCTCGTCTCTAGCCTAGTCCTAGTACTTGGAATTGATGGCGAATATGGGACTCGTGGTGGCCACCACGATCGCCTTTGCCGTGGCCGAGGGCTTTGTCTGCCTCGCAGGTGATTTCTCTGGCAGAAAGTAGCCCAGGAAGCAGAGGAGCACCACCAGGGCCAGCAGGGCCCAGAAGATCGGATCGCAGCTGGCGAAGAGCAGGCGTCCGAGTATATTGCTGCCCACCACGGCGCCCAATCGACCCACCATCATGATGAAGCACATGCCCATGGCATTGATGTGCGTCGGATAGAACTCCATGGCAATGGTGCTAACCAGACCGCCGCAATTGCCGATGGCCATCACCACGGTGAGGGCGATCACCACCAGTGCGAACTGCTTCACGTAGTGCAGCCCCACCAGGCAAATCATGGTCAGCAGCATCCAGGCCACTGAAATGGAGAAGGTTTAGGAGGGTCCAATCACAATGGCTTACAAAATTGAAACGTTAAAGCCCTCCAGAGATGAATGTTTGATTTTACGGCTTTTAGGCTTGTATCTATACTACCGGATCAATCCTTAGAAAATGTTCAGAAATGTTTTCTTTAAAATAAGCTATAAATGACCGAAATCGTTTAGGCAGTACTGCAATATAATAGGCAAGAAAACAAATGAAAAATATCAATTAGAACTTTTGAAAAAATTGTATCATACAAAAATGTTCTAGCCTTATTTCCGAAATCAGAGACTCCAACTGCACCATAAAACCAAACATTCATATCTGGAGGATTTTGTCAGCCCGCAATACTCACTCAGCAGATTCCTTTTGCCAATATAGTCGATGATGTAGGCAAATATCACATAGATCGCCACAAAGCAGGCACCGATGATGATCATCACCTGGTAGGTTGAGGTGTCCACGTCGACGGAGCAGCTTGCAACCTCATCCACCGATTCCGATTCCGATCTCGATTCCGATCCCGATCCCGTAACCACGGTGAAGTTCTGCAGGACATGGCAGAGCAGTGTGTCCTCGCCATTTCGTGTGCCCAGCCCATCGAGGATGGTGGGGAACCACATGAAGATGCCCTGGGCCAGGAAATAGACAAGGAACTGGATGGTGCAGATGTTCAGGGTGTGCCACAGCCGGGAACGATGAAAGAGTGGCACTGTCTGGTGCCACACGAGTCGCACTGCGTCCAGAATGCCATGGACATCGGCCAGACTGGCACCGCCGCTTTCCAAAGCCACTTCCTTGACCGGATATTCGGAGGGATCCCTCCCTGAATTCTTGGCGAAGATGGTGCGCAGAATTTCCAGTGACTGATCACCGCGACCCTGGACCAGTAGATATTTCGGCGTCTCGGGGAGAATGCTGATCCCCACGAGAGCCAGCAGGGAAACGGATACGTTGGCCAGGAGCAGAACACGCCAGGACGAGAAGCGCATGCCAAAGACAATGGTCTCAATGCGCAGAGGTAGAATTCCAATTGCCATGGCTGCAAAAAGAAAACGTAAAAAAAAAAATGGTTTATCACTTGGGTGTAACAACACTGCGTATGGGTTATGTCACTCAGAAAATTCCGCCAATAATAAGTATACGCCGGTACACTCAGAAAATACTACCTTTTAAATACTTCCACAATGCATATGGTTTGGAATCAATTTGTATTTATAAATTTAAATGGTTTAGTTAAGTAGCTTATCTTTAGAAGATAACAAGTAAACAATTTCATAACACTCACCTGGAGCAAAGATCATGGCCATGCATAGGAATCCGGAGAGCAGGGTCACATGTCTGACCCTCGAGCCACTGCCATGGAACTCGCCGCACAAACTGAAGACGCACGCCTGGCCACCGGAAATGAAGAAACCCGTCAGGAATCGGAGCACGATCAGCATCCAGATGTTCACCGAAAAACCGGACACGATCGAGCACACAGAGCTGAGGAAGAGGGCATATTTCAAAGTGGTCGCCCGACCCCATGTGTCCGCCAGAAAGCCCATCGCATGGGAGCTCAGGACCACGCCCAGGAATCCGGCCGACGCCAGGATGCCCTGCTGGTCCAGCGTCGGCTGTAGGTCGCATTTCATCTGGTTCATGATCAGACTAACGCCCATGATCTCCACCATCACGGCCATGAAACAGAGGCCGCAGATGAGCAGCAGCTGGTAGTGGAAGCGGCCCACTCCGGTCAGCGTGATGGCCTCCTCGAAGCTGTGTGGTCGGGGCTTCTCCGTGAGATTCGCCTCACGGCCTCCAGCAGTGTCTGTGAATAAATCAACATTTTGGAAAGTTTAGCCACTAGATAATTGAACGAGACTGCTAAAAAAAAAATGTGGTTTAAGAGCTTTAAGCCCGTCAATCAAAAAAAAAAAACACATCCTTCTTTATATTTTGGCACATATCATATATCTGTATATAAAAAACAGTTCTAGATATTTTAAATAAACCAATCTCAAGAGATTTAAAATTAAATATTTCTGGTGATTTCAAATAAAGTACCAAATAAAAAGCACACAATTCTTGTCATCTTTACAAATAATTTGTTTGCCCTCATAAATTATTGAAATTTCGTTTGCTCATATTATATAAAAAGTATTTTTTGATATTTTAAATTCAAATTCTTTACATATTTTATATTAGAATTATTTAAATTTCGTTTGCATATATTATATATAAAATATTACTAGGTATTATTAATTAAAACTATCTAAAAATTGAACTGTTTTAATAAAGCATCGAAATAAAGTTGAAAGTGAATATAGTAAATAATAACTACGGAACAAATTACACAATCACACGATTTTGGGCCCCTTTTCAAATGATTTTTTTTGCAGTGAGCACGTCAATAGGGATCGTTCAATCACTGTCATTTAATGGGAAACCCTATAGCTTATAGAATAATTAATATTCTCCTTAAGTAGCGCGAATGGCAACCAATCCAGGCTCAGTTGCCGCTCAACAATGGCCTCAGCCGGCCTCAATTTGGGGGAAAAATCGGTGAACAGCCCGGAGTCGCAGGACGACGTTCGTCTGCCCAAGGAGCAGTCACCTTCGGCCTTCTTCGAAACAAAGGCCTTCCGGCTGCTCTCGATCTTCCTCTACTTGGGAGGGATCAGTGGCCTGGGCATGGTGCTGGCCATGTACTACATCTTCTTCTTCGACTCCAGTATGCCGGACATCCACCTCAAGTTCCCCGTCTCCATTGGCGGCCACCCGGTGCAGAAGGTGCACGAGTACCAGTGACCCAACCACCCATTTTAGCCCCTCTAAAAGTGGGTGGCTTAGAAGGCAGTCTGCTGCTAATTGGATTTGGAAATGCTAGCAAAGGTAGGTAAAGAATGTGCAAGTGAATGCCCTTAAAAACAAAATTGGTCATCAGTGGGCTTACTCAATATTTTAAACTGATAAATGTGATTTCAAATAAAGTATTGTGATTTTTAAGAAAAGTATTTTAAGTGGTGAGCAATTTTATTTTAAAGTGCATTCACTATTTAGAAATTTTAAAAATAAGTATGCACAACAAAAATATCAAAAACATCTTTCAAACATTTTTCTCACATAATTTGTCACTTAGCTTAACTTTATTGTGTAAATTCAAAGTAAATATTGCTTTATTTCTCATTAATTTATTTTTTATCTAACAAGCCCTATGTAAAATGCCTTTTTTGACATAAATTTAAATTGTATCTTATTTGTCGATTGAAAAATACTATTCCCAAAGAATAAATAGTTTTAAGTTAAGTTAAGTTTTCATTGAGCAATAATTATTAAAATAAGCTATATTGTTTACCTTATTAACAATGAAGGAACATGTAATCACTTATATGATTGCCTAAAAGTCTATAAGGAAATCTAGCATTTAAAATGGTTTCGTTTATTTATACTTTCTTAAATTGGTAAAATGGATGTTAATGAATAAGAGATCTAGACTTTAGTCGCACTAAAATCTTTTAAATTTGACTGTATTTAAACATACAACAAATAATTTCAAGGCATAAAATAATATATTTCTTAAATCTGTTCCTATTCTTTCATTCAGATTTTACTATTACCAAAGGTTAAAGAAAACAATTGCAATAATATTGTAATTCGCAAATCCAACTATTAAAATTATTTTTAAGTCGACTAACCAAGAGTATACCCACTTCTTGACCTTAGACTTTCTTTAACTGATGAAGTCTAGATCAAACTAAAACCCGGAGTTTACAAATTCGTCTATACCCCTCTACACAGACACACTATCCCTCACCATCGTCACTTTTCATTTCCTTGACCAAAACATGAATATAGACTCTGCCTGCAAACGACATGGGCATAGAGCAGAATGAAGTAAAGTGGATGGCAATCGGGATTTGAGGAGTGACGACGTTGGCGGGAAATCAAACCGGGTCAAGTGGTCGCCGCAGAACGCAGCACGTGATGTGGTTGTCTGTTTGGGTGGCAGTCCAGCACTGGCACTGCCACTCTCGCAGTGCCAATTGGCGAATCTTATTAGCGTGGCCCCCAAGACGACCGCCCAAAGAAACCGCAAAAAACAGTCGAGCGGAATGCGAAAAAAAAATAAAAAAAACAGGGGTACAAGTGCGGAAAAAGAAACGGAAACAGAAACATTTACCAGATCCCCGGGCAGTCGAAGCACTCGCTTAATTGTGTTCAGTTCGTCCATAGAGACGGTTACACGCTTGCCATTTGATTTGTTTGTTTGTTTCTTTGTTTGTTTTGCCTTGCCATTTGAGCCACAATGAGCGGTCCATCGGGTTTGATGTCCAACCTGGCCGAGGTGGTCAAGGAGGCCAAGGACGAGGAGATACAGATGCCAAAGTCGAACGACTTCTTCGAATCGAAGACCTTCCGCCTGCTCACCCTGATACTCTACATGGGCGGTGTGAGTGGCATGGGTCTGACCCTGGCGGTCTACTACCTGTTCATCTGGGACTCGCGCATGCCGCCGCTGCCCGTGTTCAAGCACACGCATCCGATTGGCTAGGATCATGGCCAGAAGCAGCCAAACAGCCAAACAGCCAAATAGCCAACAGCCAACAGCCAGCACCCAGCAACCAACACCATCCCATCGACATTAGTGACCAGATTCGGGTGAGTGTGGACAAGTGCTGTCAGTTCAGCTATCACTCAATTAAATCGAAACTTTAATTGTATAGTTCTTAAATACAAAATGATCATAGAAACTAAACTACTATGTTGTAAGATAAGTTTCCCAATAAGATGGGTATTATATTAATACCCCGAAAGTATCAAAACAAAACTTATTTATAAAAAAAAAAAAAAAAAAGTAAAGGGGTTGTAATATTTAGTATTGATGTAATACTTAAACATTAAACTGCCTGTATTATTCATTATTATTTTCAAGACACACTTGTTTAAACTTAGCTTTTAGATTTTTCTTTCTGGCTGCAGTATACAAATGTCTAGTCATTTTAGATATTTCACAAAAATCTCTGTTGACTTGAAATTTTTTAGAAAGGACGTCAAAAAGAAAATTTTTCATTTTATATACCCTTAAATGAAATCGATTTAGAGATATGTAACTTTAACTTTAAAATTATGAAATCTTTAAGTCCATATGAAACATTTCATATTAATTCATATTAATTGACATACTTTTTTAATACTAAGTTGTAACGTTGTTCTTTATGCAGCGTACGATATCATTTATAGAAATAAATTTTAGACTATTTTACTAATGTTAGACTTTGCAAGCATTCACAACTGTTTGTATTTACAAATTAAAAAAAAGGGAAATTTATTTGTTAGGTCATATATTGTCTTTTTTTTGTGGAATTTTTACGCGGTTTTAGCGCTGAAATGTTTTTTGTTTGACAAAGAATCAAAGTGTCAACACTGATGGGGCGTTCTGGCTCTCCTTAGTGGGTGGCGGTGGCGGTGTCGGTGGCGGTGTCGGTGGCGTTGGCGACTTAATTAGCACCCGTGGCCGATATCAAAAGTTGACAGCCAGGCAGAAAATAATCCGCTTTGGTATGTGGCACTAAATCGCAGAGTTGAAACCACCTATTCGCATTGTTCTATCCCCAGCTGGGGATATGGCGTCACTCGAGTGATTTTGATTTAATCGTGGTGGCGACACCAAATCAGTAGTTGGCACATCGCGAGCTGGACTGCCACGACCAAAGCTGTATATCTGCAATGTCCGTTTCGGAATCGGCAAGGGTGGGCCTGGGCAATAATGCGGCCAGTATGGCCAATCTGGCCAAGATCGTCAATCTAATCGAATCGAATGTGCGGACGGAGGAGGAGACGGAGACGGTGGCGAAGGCGGAGGCGGAGGCGGAGGCGGAGGAGGCGGTATCGAAGAGATCCACCAGATCCGGAACCAGAACCGGAACAGGAACTGGAACAGGAATTGGAAGTGTTAGTAGTGTTCGCCTGGCCAGCAGCAGTGCGCCGCGTAGAAGCGCCTGTGCCACATCGTATGTGCCCAAATCGCCGCAATTGGAGGAAATCATGATCGCGAAGCCCACCTGCAGCGAACGATTTGCGCGCTACTTTGTGATCGTGATCTACGTTTGCGGACTCTGCGGCCTGGGATTCATCCTGTCCATCTACCACATCTTCTTCTGGGACTCACGCATGCCGCCCGTTTTCAAGGGCCAAAAGAAGGCACCTGTCTTCGGCTAAAGGCCGCAATTAATCCACCAATGTAATCCTAGCTAAGAGAACCGTATTTTCATTTTTGGTAAGGCCTTAAGTAACAATAAATTAAAATGTTGCTCTCATCGATAAACTTCATCAGCTATGTAGAAAGTACACAAATTTTAGTGAATAAGGGAGTAAAGAAGCTAAAAAAAAAATAAACGGGTTTATTTGTTTAAATAGACAACCCATTTTCCATCTTCATCTGTATACATGGCGTGTGAGTTATTAAAAAGGTCACTCATACGCAGTGTTGACATTTTTGTTTAAGTCAATTGAACTTTTTTTGTTTTAAAATACTTTATTTACGTTTCTTTCATAAAGAGATTCTCAAAGAAATTTACCATGGCAAATTTTTAACCTATTTCAATTGGTATTCCGATAATAACTTAATTTATATTCACATTTTAATATTTAAATTACTTGCACAAATGAATAATTAGTTGTCGGAGAAACTAAGGAAAATACAGTTGTTACTATATGTTATTTTAGATATTGCTTTTTAAAATTAATATGAGGCCAATATTTCGGAAGCACACACATTTACTCGAGTCATGCCATTAGTTCTTATTAAGTTGATATACCCCACGTCTCGGCCATCTTCTCAGGCCCGAAAAGTTTTCGCCTAACTAAAAGTTTATGTTTAATTATGTGTATCCAACTCAGTATCATGTATGTATAACTTTTCCCTGGTACGTTTACCACAGCCACAGACCCTTAAGTTATCCCTTCGTTCCGGTTGCCCGAGCTGCTTAATCAGCTTTGTCTGCACATAAGTAAGCAGATGGATAAACCATCCTTTAACTTGGGGTGGCTGGGGGAAAATGGCCTCTGGAAAATGGCTGGGGGAAAGAAGGAAATGGTAAATGCAATAGGCCGGGCCCAAAACATTTTCGAGGCCAGCACAGCCAGGTGAGCAGGGAGAGCTTCACCTGGTCACGTTGGCGAATTAAACTCCTTGAAGGAAACTTTGCAACGATACTGCTTGGAAAATGCATGTGAGTGTGGCCTACATCCTGGCCCACATGATGAATATGCATTTGAGTGCAAGTACAGGAGAGCTTCAGTAAATCGAAAGCCGGCTTGAAATCGGAAAGCTTTAGTTAAATATGTATTTAAGTATCCTTAAACTCATTAAATTTACTTTACTTTAAATTTTCACAAGCAAAGCTGACTTAAATTCGTAAGGTTTCAGAAGAATTCAATAATAGCTAAGCCATAACATTAAAAGTTTATATTCCTTCTGAAATAATGCGAAATATTTTATATGAGCTTTGAAATGTTAGCATACTTTTGGGCATGCAAGTCCTTTGTTCTAATTTTCGAAGTTCACCTGTGCAAATGTGCATGTGGGTGTGTGACTGGCTATCTCTTTTCTCAACAGTGTGTGTGTGTGTGTGGGGCTTATACAACAAAATCAATGGCCAACATTGCAATACCGTTCGGTGCGCTCGCCCCCTCTCACTCGCACCTCCTGCATTTCCACTCACTGAGCACTGCATTCGTTCTGCTCTCTCTCCTGGCGCTCCCATGCTCTCACTCTCTCTCGGTTTGTCCTAGTGACCCAGTTGCAGTTTGTTAACCCCCCGAAGGCAACGCAAAACGAAGGTGTGCGCGTTGAGACGGGTTAAAGGTGGGGCGGGGCAATGAAAGTTTGGACGTCCTTCGCGACACCTGCGAAGGTTGCTGTCAAAGCCAGCCCACCACCCACTACCCCACAAAAATTGCACAACATTTTCGTTGCGATTCGTTTCGAAAAATTGCCCCAATTTGCAAACATTGATTGGCATCCAAATTATTGAAATAATGGAAATTAATTCAAGCGCGCATTTTAATTTCCGCGTGTGAGTCAGTAGGCGGGAATATCAGGGGGTCAAGGCGGCTCGTGGGGTTAGGGAGCGGGGAAATGAAAACTGCACTTGACACACAAAGAGCAACAACGTGCCGACGTGCGGTTTGTTTTTGTTTTTATTTCGTTTCGCCTTTAAGGAATGCCCCAAAAAAAAAACAACAACGAGCGTGGGAAGCCGAAAATGTAAATGCGACAGAGCGAGAGAGATGGATTTTATGAATGAAATTAAAAGCGAAGATCGCTAATGCAACAACAAGTACCGTTCCCAAAGTCGAAGTTCCAACGAAAGGAGGAGCAAGAGGGCGGGAAGGGGGTGAGAGTAGAGTCGTTCTCTCGCACGAAGGAGAAATTGAAAAACACGAAACGAAACACGAAAAACGGCACAAAACTCCTGCCAGCCTCTCTCTTTGCTCTCATTTCGCTTGCACACGTTCGACGCGTCGGTTGGCAGACAAGTTTTTGCGCGCTCTTTTTTTGTACTTTTAAGCACGCCACGCATAAACAATAATAATACAATAATTATAACAATATTAAATATTATTAATAAATAATATTATTAACAAAATAAAGAAGGTGACAAGCTAGAAATCCCAAAGAACTTTGCATTTATAAAATAAATACTAGACTTAACGGGACACTGCCAAACACGAAAAGGAAAGCAACCAAAATCAAGAAGAGGCATCTCTGAACATATCGAAACAATCAAAAAAAAGATATCGCAACCAAGATCGAATCAAAAATGAACTCGAAACACAGTTCCCTGGAGGAGAAAGTGAAACTGCCGCCCACGGAGACAATAAGCCGCTGCTACCAGCCGCAGCAAAGCAACCGCAAGGTCATACGCATCCTGACCGTCGCCGTCTATGTCCTTTGCGTTTCGCTGGCGGCCATCATGCTCTCGCTGTACTACATCTTCATCTGGGACCCCACCATCCGCCCCTTCGTCACCAAGGCCACGCATTGCGGTAAGGCGTCCGGTAATCAGCCGGGTAACCGCTGGGTAATCACTGGCCAAATCACTCCACAACTCCATCGAAAACTGGTGACTGGTGACCGGTGACCGGTGAACGGTGACCGTCGACCGTTGACCAGTAACCAAAAAACCAGAAACCAATCACGGGCCGGACAATTTGCGGCCAACGGTCAATCTGGGACAAAGACCGAATCTAGGCTATGAGAGTTAGGTGCTTTTGGGTTTGGGTTTGGGGTTAGGGTTGGGGTTGGGATACCCATTAGCTGATACCGATGGGCTTCGATGGTTGGCAGGATAGTGTTGACCTTTTTTAGCTGCAACATAAAGTGCTTTTAACGGAGAGTATAGTCGTGCCATTTGGGTTGTAAAAAATGCTTACTCTACGGTAGATTTCAGTGCGCAATAAAATTGTTCTAAAATCCAAACTTTTTTTTTTAAGTTTTAAAAGTTGCACGGACCATTGTGCAAAACTTGTGCAAAATTACTCATACGAAACGTATGCTAGTAAGAATATTACACAGCAAATCGTTCTCGCACTTCTTACCTCGTTTAAACAAGAACCAGAAAATTTGCCACTTAATGAAAATAATATATTTAATTAGAGGCAACAGTACGTATGAGTGATAAGTCTTACAATGCGCTGACCCTAAACGCTTTTTTTCTAGCAAACATTTTAAATGTGCCAAAAGACGCCAATGTTTAAATGTTTTATTGATAATAATAAATAATTTTCTTCCAACCTAAAGGAGGATCAAGATGTCAAGGGAATATGTAAAATTTAAATAAAAAAACCGTTGAAGAATTATTTATTATCTGAAGTTAAGCAAAAGAGTTAGGAATTTCTTTTTATTTAAACGAAATTAAAACCCTAAAATTAGTTTAAATTTGAAGTCATAAAACAAATTAAGAAATATCACTTATATTATAAATACAGAAAAACAAAAATATAGTAGATAAGAAAGCTTATGAATTTTAAGTTTTGGATAAATAGTAATATTACGTTATTACAGTTCTATAAAATCAAAAGACCTTATGATAAAGTTCTTTGGTTTTAAGACTTTAACACAAAGGAAACAATATTATCGGCATAAAGGCTTTTTGGAATATAGCTTAGGTCATACAGATGCGTTAAAGAAATCTGTGGTTACGCAGGAGAAAAAATATTTTTTATATATTCTTAGCACAATTTTAATGGATATTAAATCACTTTCATTAAAATCAAATTTCTCGGAAAAATATCTAAATTGGCAACACTTTCTCAGAAAGGACGTGAAAAAGCCGCCCACATTGTTCCATTGGCTTCGGTTTTAGTTCGTTCCGCCTCCATCCTTCCTTTGGCTCTTGGCTTTTTGTTCAGTTTTTGTAAATCAACTCGAAATTGGGTCAATGGGGTGTCATGCACACAAGTACATCAAGTCAACCCAGCCACCCACCGCCCAAACACGCTAGGGTGCAGTTTTCCTTGGTGTACTTTCCATTTGCAGTTTGCAGTTTGCAGTTCAATAAATCTAATTTGATGCAATTAAATACAGAATCTGGGAGCTTAATGAAAGTTATACGGGCAGAAAGGCAAACAAATTGAAATTTATGACAGCGAGAAATGCTAACTGTCCGCTCATAAAGTTTTAGTTTCTCCTAGGCGGCGTTTCTTTCAATGCCTTGACTTAAATTTGTATTAACCGCCTGCATAACAAGACACAACTTGCCTACAAGAACGGTTAAAATTGCGAAAATTAAAGGGGTAATAGCAATAGAACTTGGTCTTACAAGGACGTGTAATATTGTACTGGCTAGAGAAAGAAGTAAAACTATTTAAGTCAATAATGAGATTTTTATATATGTTTATATGTTCATATATATTATTTTCACATTAATTATAATCAATATCAGTTATCAATAATTTCAGTTTATTTCTAATATATAAGACGTTAACTGAATTTTAAAAATATATTGTTTTGTAACTTATTGCCTTAAAGTTAGTAGTTTTTTTTGGTTGTTCAAATAGTAAAAAATAGTTTAAACAATTAAAATATTGTTCAAGCAAACTATATTTTTGATCTGCTAAAAGTTAATTAAGATAAACATTATTGGATAAAACCTTTATCTTCTTTTAAATATTTATATTAAATAAGCCTAGGAAATGACGAAATCAGTTAAAAAAAAAAGAATAACTTTTAAAACAGTATTTATGTTAACACAACTTAAAATTTCTTTCCTATTTTTGCAGATAAAATTGTGATACCCGAAAAAATAGCCATTCGCCTCCTAAACTCATCGGAAGTGACCGCGGAGCAGTTCTACAAGCACATCCTCGAGCAGTACCGCATCCTCAGCCATATGCAACAGCAACGCCAGCAGATCCTGCAGCGGCAACATCTCCAACTGCAGCAACTGGAGGCGAACAATCGCTTCCAGGAGGTCTTTGCCACGGCCACCATAATCCAGGCACATCCGCATCCCCATCCGCATCCCAGGGAGCCGCCAAAGAAGCCGCTCTTGGGTCCGTATACCCCGCTATCCGGAAATATGAGTCACGTGACGATGGGTGGCGATCAGATGCCGGGCAATTTGGAAACGGAGCCGGAGGCTCATCTGCCCCTAATATTGGATACCTCGCCGCCGGCCGAAGTCACCGGAATGGGTCACTCGAAGCGCAAGACACATCGTGGTCACTACAAACACCATAGGGCTCGAACCGCTGGCCAAAAGAAGCTGTCGATGGGCAACTCCATTGCCAGTGGCATGGCCAGTTCCACGCCGAGCACCACCAGCGGTGGAGATACATCTTTGGCGGCCACTGCGGCCACTTTGCCACATGGCTACATGGACACACCATTGAATCCGGCAGCCGGGACGATTGTACAGCCACCACAACTGCAGCTATACACCTCGATGCCCATTCCGTTGATCCTGAGTCCCAGCGATGAGAAGCGTCCTTCGCACCACGCCCACGGACATGGGCATGGCGAGAGGCGGGGCGGCGGCGGAACGCAATCCGGCGGACGACGAAGGACAACGACGGCCTCGGTTTCCGGTTACGAGGCACAGACCTACCTCAATCCGTTCCTCACCGGCGAGCTGATCTTCGAGAAGTAAGGGGCATCAACCATAAGCATAGGCCGGAAATTTTTTTTTTTTGCTAAGGCGTATAGAGGGATACACTACAGCCAAGATCGGAAATGGAGATTAGCTCACAGAAATGGTAACCCGCCCCATACCTGATCATACCTATATCAATGGAGAACTGTTTAGAAGAAAGGGCAGCACTACTCACAATAATTCAGTTAAGCTCAGTACTGGCATAAGCTATATTCATCAGTTAGCTTAACTTATATATATTTCAATTAACTTGGTCAATCATAATTTTAAATCAAACGCGATATTAAACGTTTCATATTGAAATTTTGAAGTACATATATATGTATATGTTTTTTATGCGTAGAATGTTTTTGCAATTTAACCAAATCGAAGATTTATAGAAATAAATTGGAAACAATCCTTTGATTAATCGCTTGTTCTATATAGTGTTTTTAGATAGCCAAACCAAGTAGATCTGATGTATAACTAATTTCAGCTACAGTTAAAAGACTTGACTTACGTCCGTACTGAGCTATAAATTGGTCTATATATACAGAGCCCGACGCGGCCACATATAGAGGTTAATAAACGTTATGTACTACAAATGGATAGTTGAAACCATAGCTAAACGATAGTCGATGTACCAACCACACACAACCACTCAACTAAACTAAAACAACACACTCGAAAGGAACACACGCATAATACGGGACCCACTTCAGTAGAAACTCACTCGAATATCAGCGATCACGGATCCAGCGATCACGGATCACGGATCACAAATCACGGATCACACAGGCGGCTCACCTCACCAAGCTCAGCAGCAAACTCACCCCACCTAGAACACTGCTTCCAGGCAGCTAGCGAATGCTACACCAACTACAATAATTAGCCAACCCTAGAGTAACCAGTTTACCAGTTTACCAGTAATCACCAATTACCAGTAACCAGTAACCAGTAACCAATCCAAGGAGTATACCCCCAATAACGGGGAAGCGGATAAATGTCACTATAATTCAGCATCAGAACGAATCACACTTCACACACATACACCTTCAAGTCACCTACTGCTAGGACTGTGTCACTGCCAAATATCGGTTATATGCAGGCTATAAGAGGTTTATATATTTCCCTAATCAAGTTATTCTCGATGGAAACTATCAGTTGAATATAATAGTAAATTTAATAGTAAATTGAAAATCGTTTGAGTTTGTCACCATCGAAAGAACTTGAGGGTAGTTATATGTAAAACACTTTGCAGAAAATAGATGTCTGCTTAATTAGTCACAACTTAAATGTTAAACAAGAGATTCGTTCTTCAAGGTGGCCCATAAATATTAAGCCGACGTATAACCTATAGACACTTTAAAAGATAAAACCCAGCGTGCTCAATTCAATAGCGACTCTATATATGACTATGCATATAAGGGGCATATAACCGATGTGTGACGTGACATTTGCTTGGTCTATTATTCACATACTCAAACACCATGAATGCAAACCAAACAACAACCAAATACACTAAGCGAAAAAGCGGGATTGATTGTTGGAGGGAAGACAACGGAAGAGATTGAGCGAAACTGCATCTGCATCCAAGGACACGAGAATTGAATTCATCAATAATAACATACGTATAAACGATATGCATACGATATAGAATTAAATCTGTAACTGATGGGCATATACCGCATATATATCTTATATACCGCATATATCTTATATATGTATACCAAGAAAAACAAAGTCATTTTGGCAATAATAAAGCATAGCAAATAAAAACAAGTTATATAAAGTGTTTTATTCAAGGTATTCTCGAAATAGTTCTATTAAAACCAATGCTAACTATAAAGCGGAGTTAAAGTTTTCCAGACTTTAAAAAAGATTATTGCGAATGAAATTCAAGTAAATACTAAGGCTTATTTCAACATAGTCATTTTTTTAAGGATTTTAACAGCTCTTGAGACTCATAACTACACGGTAATCCTTAGATTTTTCCAGAATAACTTATCCTTTGCAGGGTTTTAATGATCGGAAATGACTTAGAATCAAATCCAAACCCTTGTTAAAAGGGAAACATTTTACCATATTATTATCTTAATAAAAGTATCAGGTATTTCACATTTTTTATGATATCCTGATTTGACTATGTAAGCTTTCTTTGATTTTTCACTCACCGAACTCGCGTTCACAGTCTATCACATAGCCGGGATTGTCCATGATGTCCTTAATGTACCCGTGATAATACAGATACTCCAAATGAGATGAAAAGACGTCGGACTGGCGGCACTGTCCACGGCCAACTGACAAATTCCGTGACTCTGGGGAGTTAAAAAAAAACGTTCGGGAACCTGGCTGCGCGGGTACGTGCTTCAAAGTCCGATCGCAATTGTGCTCTGTAAACTCTTTACGGTAACACACTCGTAAAACCCGGCCGGAGATATCCACAGCACGCCAATTAAAAAAAAAAGACGAAAACAAAAGTTGTAAATCTTAAATTTTTCCGCAATCTGCAAGTCAGTATCGTGGTGTAAAATCATGGTTCTTGCTTGACTGGATAAGCAAGATGCAGAATCGGAGATAAGGCATCCAGCGATCCAGCCCCTATATTTCTATCTGAGACCATCAGATCCTAAATGGAACTACCTTAAGTCGAGGAATACCATAGACCCCTGGGCACTGAATTTCGGAATAGCAAAACACCCAAAGTAAAGCAAATATGTTTTGTTTATTACCGTGCGTAGATAGGTAATTAAATGAAGATACAGTGCCTTCTGAAAGTGTGGGAATTGTTACAAAAAAAAGATTTAAGTAATTTAAAAGAATATATTTTTAAGTAGATTATAGTTATGTTAGGTTGTTAATAAAATTTTAAATGTAACTTTCTTTAAAGTTATACCCCAATAAGAACAATCCCATTTGTGTCTTAAAGATTTCATCAATTATAGAACAATAATTCAGGCTTAAGTTAAATAAAATACTTTATTTCTTTTCCCATGCAAGCATACACATTTTGTACTTTAAGGGGTAATAAAAACATTTATTTATAGTTTAAGACACCTTTATTAGAGGTTTCAGAGATGTTATTTTACAAAATGACTGGTCAACTTTAGGAGATAATTAAAATTAAATTGAAATCACTAAATTATATCTTTAAATGACAATAATTCTATTCTTTAGTTCAGTCTAATGAAAACGCAAACTTCAATAATAGACCATAGCTGATTTTTGAAGAGACATTTTATTTAACAACTACATTAACGCCAAGATTAAGTCAATTCGATTGATGATGACTGATGACTGATTACTGATGTCTGGACCGTTTCATATTCGTTCATGTCTGGCGACAATCCATGACTCGAAAAGTCCAGTGTTTTGGCGTTCCGCACTGTAGGCGGATATAATGGCCAAGTCACGCCCAGCAGAGCCCATAAAGATAGACCCCAGATACGCGACAGGTTGATCCCTGGCCATAAACACACTCGTTAAGGGATCCAAAAATCTTAGTGGGCACACACAAGCGACACACACATACATATCTATCGGCCTGTAAAACATTAAAACTGATGCTTTATGCATTGGCAATTAGGCGACGAGATGGCAATAGCCAAACGCGACCCTCTCTTTCTCAGCCATGCGGGAAGTGGTTTTGGTTTTGGTTTTGTCTTTTACATATCAACGTTTATTAGAAAATCTCTGCTTTTCATAGTCTAGGTTCACTTCACTTGGCGTGTACGCTGTGAAACGGTGTACAATAGATACAGTACGATGCTCACACCCTCGATCCCCATGTCCACCTATGGCCAAGCTTAACGATCCACGATCCGCGATCCACACTCAGCGGCTATGGCCCTGCTTTAGAACTTACTCCCTTCGGTGCGCTTAACTTATAGGAAAAATATAAAACAAAAACTTATAGTAAAACATATTGCAGGGGGGGAGTGGGGAGTGGGGTGTGATCGAGTAGCAGTGTGGAACAGCATCAGGATCGCAAGGATTGAGCCCAAGGGGATTCGTAGTCGCATTGAATTTATACATACACACAATAAATATATATATATATATATATATATATATATATATATGGAAGAGTGAAATACAGTGGTGGCTGCGGAGGCGTGTGGTGCTTGTGGATGCGCCAGGAAGTACGGAGTGCGATAGTCGAGGTGTCCACAAGCCGGGTCACCGTGCTTAAAACTGAAACGGCGGCGTATCCCGGCAGGTGTGAGAGCCCATCGGCGTGATGACCACGTGCAGGGTCAGTGTGTTCCTTGCCGTGCCCGTCAGGTGGGGACTCAAGTACGGCGATGTGTGCTCCAGCTCCTCGTACGGCAGCAGGTTGTCCAGGTTGATCACGCGCGACGTATCCGAGAAGTACTCCGTGCGTTCCACAACTGTGCGGATGTGCATAATCTGATTCTGTACGCCCACGATCAGCACAGCGATCTGGAAATATAGACAACAAATTAGAGGGACTCTTTTAAAGCCTACAAACCTGGGTAAAATAAAAGACTATTAACCGTGGTTAAAAAAAGAGATTTAATCATTTGTTAAATTAAAATCTATTGATTTGTTTTTACTACTATCAATCGAACCCTTCAAATTGCGACTGAATTCCATGCCAAAAGCTTCTTTTTTTCAGACCATACAAACTTGTAATCTCTCATTTTACTATTTAATTACAATTACAATTAAATATATGTTTATACTAATAGAAGGCATCCATGTCCCCCAGTTAAAAAATATTTGAGCAGAATATTTAACGATCAAGGCTGTTTAGATGTTTTTCAAGTAAGCTATAAAATGCTTTAATATCAGGTTCGTTAACTATTTCTTAGAATGCATTTCAGTTGTTATTAATAGCTTATATGTTTCCTATAGTCTAAAGGATAAGAATCTCAGGATGGACAAGTCAATGGCACCTCTCAAATTGATCGTAAGAAACAATTATGATACTCCCCAAACTCTCGCTTCCTTTATACGATTATAGTTGCATAATTTACAACACCAGCACTCACCTTAAATCGCTCCTCGTCAATGTTTTGATGCTTGCAGGTAACCCGTAGGCGCACTGTGTTCAAGGAGCAGCCTGGCACGTCCTCGCCCCAGACCATTTTGGCCTTGTTGTACTTAACGCCTCGCGGGAAAAACTCTATCTCCCAGGTCATACAGGGATCTGGAAAGAAACGCCAAAGTAGTTATTAATCTTGTATAGACATTGTAGTCCAAAGACCAAAAAACAGAGAGCAACGACCAAAGAGCAAAGCCGAAAGTCCACTACCCACCGTCCTCCTCAGTCTCGGCGATGTGGCGCTGCGAGAAGAAACAGGTCACATAGTTCTTATAGTCCTCGATCGCGTCAAAGTTATGCACATCGATGTCGACGCTCCAGGTGTCGTTCCAGTAGAGACGCGGCGTGAACTGCAGCTCGCCCGATTCGGTGGCCCGCACCTCGCGCACCCGATCCTCCTGCCCCGACTGGTAGCTCATCCCGATGGCGATGCGCTCGACGAGGAATTCCTTGTGGTACTCGATCAGCGGATCCATCAGCAGGTGCGACAGCTGGCGCGGCGTCATCATGCCGAAGCGTATGTGTGAGACCGTCTGTTCGATCAGCTCCATGAAGCTGCCACCGGCGGTGGCCTCCATCTGCTCGCGTCGATGCAGCAGCCACGTCTGCAGGAGGGCGAACAGTTTGTACTCGCTGGTGACGACCAGATCGTTCTGCTGCAACAACAGCTGCATTATGGCCGGATCCATTTCCACAAAGTCACGCGACTCGGCCACCATCTCGAGATTCCATTTGAGGAACCGTTTCAGCGTCTCGGTTAGTTCGTTGTGGGTGGGCGAGAAGGAGAGCGTGTACTGCAGCCAGGAGACCAGGTAGCCACTGGTGGCCGCCTTGGCCACATGCTTGTTCATGTAGCCCACACAGAGATCGATCAGGTCGCGCACATTGTACTTGTCGCTCAGCGCCAGCATCGGCATCACCGTCTGCAGCGTCACCTCGATGTGGCCCACGTACAGGTACTTGATGAACTGCGGGAACACCGCCGAGCAGCAGGCCTCCTCGTGCAGTTCGATCACATGTTTGCTGCACTCGTTCCACTCCGGGTTCATTAGCATCACCTGAAAGACATCGCTGCTGGCGCACAGGATGACGCGATGCGCTGGATACTCCTTGCCGTCCACCAGGAGCACGATGTCCGACATCAGCTGCTCGGCGTACAGGTTGGCGATCTTATTCAGCACACTATTCGCATCGATCATCTAAATGAAGGGTTAGATTTAATTAGTATTATTATATGTACTCTCCAAAGGGTTGACTTCATTAACTAGAATTTGATAAATGTCTTTACTATATTTATAAATTATGCAATTACACAAAGATCCTTAAAAGCAACAACTAAAATTAAAGGGACACCTAATAACATTAAGACGTTTCACTTGATTTATCTTAAAGTTTTGATTTTGTAAATAAACACAAACAAATTCAAGATATAAATAAGTTTTCGAGTTTAAAGCTTTTAGGAAAATAACCTATCATATCATTTAAAACATCGTATCAACAATGTATTGATGCTCAATTCAAGCAAATACAAAAATACATTTGTATAGTAAAAACTTTAAAGGTGTGAAATTGATATCATTATTATGTTTACAATTTAGTAGTTAAAAGCTATTGTCACTTAATTTGGAGTGAATGATAAAATCTAGTAAAATCTATTTGAAAAAGTGCAAGATCCTACAGCTTTAGTCATTCTTTCTGTCGATTTAGACAATATGACTTATTTTTTTAGGCAGAACATATATGTACTATTAGCTAATCTTAAATGTCAGCAATCCCATGGACAAAATCAGGAGATGTAACCCTATCTCAGCGGTTATACCCACCGTGCTGGCTCCATCCTGGGCTTCTTCTGTTTCGCGGCACTTGCGTCGCTTGGCCTCCTGATCCTCGTTGGCGTTGGCTCCATTCGGCGGATTGTCCGATGTGCTGGCGCTGGTTCCATTGGGATGCCCGGGCGGATTCGCAGCTCCATCGCCAGCGCCGCCACCTGCTGCTCCGGCAGCCTCGCCCGGCTGATCCGCTGGAGCTGCACCGTCGCCTGGACCTGCTCCCGGACCTCCTACCGGACCTCCGGCACCTGCCCCGCCAGCAGCTCCTCCATGCGCACCACCTGCACCACCTGCAACGCCTGCACCGCCTGCTCCACCATTGCCGTTGGCGTTCATCGGGAATCGGGGGTATAGGGTATCGACTGGAGCCCGGTTTGGGACTCGCTCTGGGCTGGCAAGTCGCTCAAGGACACTCTACAGGACGGCTCTGTTAGCACGAGCCAAAGACATGGCAAAAAGTCTGACAGTTTGTTTTTTTTACAAGTTTAGAGCTAGAGCTGGTAGCCAAAGCGATTCTTAAAATCGATACACCGATGTCACAACAAGGCAAGGGCACAAACTATCGGATCTGTTATCGATAGATTTGAATGGCGCGCAACAGATATTTTCAAATGCAAACGGAAATGGCTTTCATTTTGGTTAAACTTTATACATGCCTCCATTATTCCTAATGAATTTCAAAAGTAAAGTAAACCTAAAACTAAATTTGAAAACTAAATAAATCCTTTTTAAGTTATTTAAGCTATTTTAGCATTACGATGCCTTCCTTACAACAAAATAAAAAAAACGAATGACCAATTTTTAAATTTTTTGTATCAAGTTCTACTTATTTAAACGTAATAATAATATGGTTTTTGGCATAATATATATACGAAATCGTTTTTATCTATTTCAGTAATACGGATATATTTACATACAATTTCGACTACTTCATATAAAAAACAATTATGTGATTTGAATATAAAATAAAAGGACTCCAATAAAACAGGTCATGTTGACTCCTCTATTATAACTTCCCAGTGTTTTAACAGGTGTGCTTTATTAACCTAGATCACTCAAAAGAAGTGTGCTAATAATATTTGGCCAAAAACCTTGATAACAAAAATAAATATATGTATCTATGTGGGAAAACCCCAAACAGTGGGTTAAAAAAAACAATTTTTTCCAGATCTTGTTTGCAAATCGAAAGTTTGTGCCTCAGAAACAATTCAACAAGTAGAACATGCGTTGTGGAGCTTCATGCCAACTGAAGTATTTATTTCTTTAGCAAACAAAGTACAGATAACAGATTGACATATGTTTTCCAATTTGTATTTATTTGTATTGTAATGAAAATTTTTCCTAGAAATGACTTTAAAGTAGCCTGATGACCACAAAATTATAAAAAAAAATTGGAAATAAAGTTCACTAAATGGCTTTTTTCGTGCACACAGTCCTGTGCCCCATTAAAGTAAATACTAAAAACATATAAAAAGGGTTCCAAGGCGGACGAAAACTTGAACACAGCGGGGGGGGAACTAAGATCACAATATGAATGACTTCGATTTAAATGCGGGCTTCTCACAGAGGCTTCTGCTGCTGGTGTTTCGGAGTGAAAACATTACTATTACGATTAGTTTGGCGGGCGATTTGTTTGTTCATTCGACTGCTACTGCTACTGCTGCTGCTGCTGCTGCTGCTGCTGCTGCTGCTGCCGATCCCTGCTGATCCCTGCTGATCCTGCGGACTTAGAGCTCGTCATGGCCGAGGAACTTCTTGAGGTAGGCCTGCAGCTCCGGCAGCGAACGACTGCCCTCGTACTCGTTCTGGCGCTGCCCGTTCTTGTAGAGGAAGAGCGTTGGGTATCCCTCCACCTGTTGGTCGATGCACACTTGCTTGTTCTCCGGCGCCGTGCAGTCCACCTTGGCGATCTTAACGCCACTCTGCGCCTGATGCGCCTCCGTGGCCAGCTGCTCCCAGGTGGGCTGCAGCTTCTGGCAGTGTCCGCACCAGGGGGCATAGAACTTGATGAAGACCACGCCCTCGGCTATGGCCTCGTCGAATTCCGCCTCGCCGCTCAGCTGCTGCGGTGTGGCCGACTTCTTGGCCGCGTCCTCATCGGCGGCAGCCTCCTTGGTGGCCGCCTCACCCTCGATGACATTGTCTTCGGTCTTCTCCAGCGGCACACCCACCATCTTCTCCACGTAGGTCTTCAGCGTGGTCAGGTCACGGGTACCCGAGTACTTTTCAATCTTCTTGCCATCCTCGATCCAGAGTAGAGTGGGATAGCCCTTGACCTCAAAGTCCTGGCAAATGGAACGGAACTGGGTGCAGTCGATCTTCGAGATGGTTACGCCGGGCTCCTTAACCAGCTTCTTGGCCAGGTCCTCCCAAGTAGGTGCCAAACGCTGGCAATAAATTGATAATGTTAAGCACCCTGAAGAGGAAGGGAATAATTCATTCCTACCTGACAATGGCTGCACCAGGGTGCAAAGAACTTGACAAAGTGATTGCCGCTGGAGACGTGCTTGGCGAAGGTGTCCTCAGTGAGGTCCACCACCTTGCCCAGATTGGGATTCTCGACCTCGTCGCGCTTGGCCTCGCCCAGATCCGCCTCGGCGGGGGTGTTCAGCTCCTGGTTGATGAAATCGGTGATGGCGGGCAGGTCACGAGTTCCCTTAAACTTCACAGATTCCTGTTCGCCCAGTTTGAAGAGGCGCAGCGTTGGATATCCGGTGACTTGGTGGGTGGCGCACAAAGTCTGGTGCTTAGTGCAGTCCACCTTGGCGATGATCACCTTGGGCTCATCCACGTTCATGATTTCCGCCAGCTGCTCCCACAGCGGCTGAAGGCGCTTGCAGTGGCCGCACCTGCATGGACAAATAGGTTAGCTTGATTCTTTTAAATTACAATATTAAATATAGTAAATATAAACATACTTCTTTAAATAAATAAATATTTACAAAATAGTAAGGTATTCTATACAATTCATCATAGCGGAAACAGGACTTAAAACCCCCACACAAAACAATTTAAAATCAATTTCAGATATATTTTTTTATAAGGGAGTATATTTAACTTTGATCTCTTTTGAATTAAACGGATCGAAAAAAAAAAAGCTATACATAATTTACCTTATAACAGTTTAAAGTATTGCAATGAATAAAGTATTTTAATACCTCATTTTCTGATATTTAATCAAAAGTATGGAAAATTCTTTTCACAATGCAATTTATCCGATACGCATCCGTTTTCTTACTTGTAATTCAAAATCTTATCGAATCCCTAATACGTTACGATTAAATTTTGAAATAAAAAGCGTCGACAAATCGGTCAAATCAAATTGTTTTCCGTATATACAAAGAAATACAAAACAATGAACGGCGATAAGGCTTTGTGCTCTGTCCCGAACAAAGAGTTTATCATCGGGGGCTAATGCTAATGCTAATGCCGAATCGCATTTCGAGCTTCCTAAGAGGACTTCCTAGCAACATAATTGAACCTAATCGAATTAGCTCATAGACACTGCGATCGCTTTCGATAAGGCTACCAAAAAATGTGGTACTGCCCGAAATCTCAAGTATTTAGTGTGTCAATCAAGGGGCAAGGGGGTTCTTGAACAAAGCCCCTTTGATCGTCTTATCAACGAACGTGTGATTCGTTTCGGAGCCATGACGAATCTCCAGTTCTACGGATCTTCAGTTTTTTGACCAAATGCAGGGGGTCAGACAATTTATGTCACTCAAAATCTTCAGGTATGGGCACAAAAATAAAAAGAAATAAAAAAAAAATACAAAAAGGCGCCCATGTTCGTGTGCAAATCTATGTCTGCCCACTAATAAAGCGATGTGTTCCGGCTAACACATTTCCGTTCTGTCATTATAAAGTATTCACTTTTGAATCTACATTAAGCTTTAATAAAAATAAAATTAAATTAAACAAAATGTTTTTAAGTATTGCTTTTTTTTTTAAATTATATATTCCAATATAAATACTTATCGTTAAAAAATAAAACTGTTTGATAAATAATTTATTAATTCATAATAATAATGATTTTTTAATAATTTAATTTTTTTAATTGGGGCAATCAGATCTTTATTATAAACAAATTTCAACTTTTTTTGATTGGCAAAAAAAAAGGCGAAAATGAAAACCGAAACACCCCCGATAATTATGTGTGCGTGGCTTTGGTCACATAAAATAAAACGACCTATGTGGACTGCTGCTATTCGCCGGCAAAAAAAAGTTGCCCAATTTGGGACGCACTTTTCTGGGGAAGGAAACATATTTGAACTTACCAGGGCGCAAAGAACTTGACAAAGACATTGCCGCCGGCAATCGCCGCATCGAAGGTTTCCGGGTCCAGTTCCACGGCGAACTGCTTTTCCGACTGTTTGCCAGCGGAGGAGTCCTCCTCCTTGGCAGCGTTTGTGGCGGGCAGGAGAGGCGACAGCAGCAAGCCGCACACTGCCACAGAGAGAATGGACCTGGCCAACATGGTGCTCGAAACGGTTTGAGAGATCTAACTGCTGGGAGCCGAAAACCACGTCCGGACACAAAATAAAATTCGATAATTTGAAAATGTCTAGAGTTGCCACAAGCGACGGTCGATAGTAAAAAGCTAGCGGACAATCGATTTTTAAAAACATTTTTTTAAATGTTAATTGCATTCAGTAGCAGATTATAAGGAACTAAAATAAATGTATGTAAGATAAAGTTCTTGGGAAATTTGTGGCAGCTGTCAGCTCATAGTTCAAACAATCAATAAATTTAAAGTCAAAGTATAGTCTACTAATTTAAAGTAATACGAATTTGTTCTTTCAGTTTGGCGAAAGTCAGCAAATCAATAAAATAAATAAATAACGTGAAGGTTCTCAGCGGTCTGGCACAGCCAAACAAATGCTTAACACTCCAATCTGGCAACGCTGCGAAAAACACTAGTACGTGAGTGTATTGGTGCGTGAACAGCGAAACAGGCAAAACAAAAAAACGAGCGAGTCGCACACAGAGACGTAGTTAATTTGGGAGGGGGTGTGTGCAAAAAAGTTGCTCGTATACAGAATGATTAATACATACAGCCATGACAAAGAGAGTATCCAACCACTCCTAATGCCGCTCTCCAGCGAGGGAATTGAAAATCAATCACTATTAATTTTCAAATACACTTGGATTTGTAATTTGAAAAACGGGTTTTTGCAATGGGGAAAGCGGGAAAACGCCGCCAACAGATGGGCATCCGCATCGAATATCGACGCGATATATCGCACGCATATCGCCGCGTCGCACATGCAGCGTTGCGGTTGTGTGTGTGTAAGCAGTGAGGCGAGCACAGGCACAGGGCAAATCGAGAAAGAACAGTAACTTCTGCTAGTCGAGTTTTATATACCCTGCGAGCTTAACGCATTGATTGTAAAATACTTTCCTTTTGCAAGATCGCTTCCGTGATTGATTTAAAGGATTCTTTATACGTATCGATGGTCCTTGAACTTAACATCATCGAAGACAAAATAAGTACATGCCCATATCGACCTAGCTGATCATGCTTACCAATAAAATGAACTAAACTGTCTTCCCCATTACATTACCAACATCTGAACAAAATGGTAATACTCTGTGCAAGGGTATAATGAGCGAATGGCAGGCACAGCTCAGAAGAGGCAGAAACTGAAACAGCTAAATTGCAGCTGCTATGTTGCTCGTCGTTCAACGACGACGAATAGGGTAAAAACGGCAACAGCGAATGATGGCGGTAAAGGCAAACGAGCGATAGCCGAACTGAGAGGCGTACCAGCGGGGGGATCGTACTTGAGTTGACTGTTAAGTAGGGTTTTTTAAATATCAAATTGCTGGTCGGCCGCTCAGCTTTAACTTTGCGTATCATGTGTATATGTAATTCCCAAGCAAGCAGCTGTCATCGATTTAGTAAATGTTATAAATGAAAATTTTTTTATTTAATTTAATTGTTTTCGGTTATAGTGACCAAACACATACATCTAATATCTAATTTCAGTTGATAACATATTGAAATGTTACAATAAATAAAAAATTAAATTTTATGAATTAAATTAATTACCTTTTATGTTTTTAGTTCATATAACCGAATTTTGCCTAAAAATATTAAACAGTTTTAGAGCATGGAACTTAATTCTGTGAATTCTGCAGTCCGCAAACAGCTGATTAATATTGTCTTATATTGTTTTAATCTGCCAATTATAAGCACTTAACTGCATGTAAAGGCAGCTTTTTAACCACCCAACACCATGTGTATTTCTATCGGCGTTCGTGCTGAGCCATAAATAATTTCGCTTTGCGCAAGCAAGACTGAAAAATCCAGCAAACCTGACGCACCCCCTTATGAATAATGGCACAACGACGCCGCTGCTGCTGGCAACTGGCACAACAAAAGCAGCGAACAAGCAGAGACATGCTGTTTCATGCTATGCATTTTATGAATTATTGAATACGCGATCTTAAGAAATGCTATTTGAGAGCTGAGTTATTAAACATATTGTTTATAGTATACGTACGAAAAGCTTATAAATGGTAAAAATATAGGTAACAGCTTAACGTTGTAACTTGTAACACAATTAAGGTAGGACAATTCCAAATTTATAAACTTAGATTATGCGCATTTATCGATAGTCAAATAAAACGGCAAACATACATATGTATGTACATACATCTATCTATTGTTTTTAAAAGTATAGCATAGAAAGATTATCCTTTCATTATGGTAGAAGATAAAATTTCGTGTGTCAGTGAATACATGAAACAGGGTTTATGCCCCCGGTTTAGACAGGTTTTCGTTAACTGGCGAGCTGCGCATAATCGCAGTAGCAGAGGCGGTGGCAGAAGCAGAGCGTCGGCAGCTCACACAGACGTCGCCGGCAAACGAAACGCTGAGGGGTGCCAGAGAGATACAGATACATTCGGGCAGCAAGTGCGGGCGAGATAGCTACAACTCCTGTTCCCGGTTCGTTTTGTCATTCCCATTCCATTCCCAGTTCCCGTCACACGAGTTAGCAGCGCACAGCTGCATCGGAGATCCTTTTTGTGGCGTGCTCGCTAACATAACCCCTTTTTATTGGTTGCCAACGACGCCCATGCTACAGGCAGAAAGCAGAAACAGAAGAAGAAGAAGCAGCACGAAGCGAAGCAGAGGCAACAGCAACACAGAAAAACAGCAAAAGCAAAGCATTGGAGTAGTTGTTTGGATGTGGACGGAAAGGCAGACTGGCGGCGACTAACTAAAAGGTATTTGTTGTTCACCCACTCATCTGTGTGCGTGCGCTGTTCTGGTGAAAAGCTGTTCTCAGCGTTTGCGTTTGCCAAAAGACAAGAAGTACGAAAAAAGCATTCGTTTATTAAATGCTCGCGTTCGTATTTTTCGAAAACCTAGATGAAAAAGAAATTTTCTGCTGCTGCTGTTGCCTGTATATAAGTGTGTGTGTGTGTGTGTGTGTGAGTGTGTGTTGGCCTGCCTCTGTGTGCGTTTGGCTCTCTTTGGGTGTGCGAGAGCGTGTGTGTCTGTCAGTGTTCTCTGTGTGTGTGGCGGACCAAAAAGAACCCGACGACGACACTGTAAAAATTCGATTTGTGTGTTGTGTGCACACGGCGGATGAAGCGAGCAGATTTTTGGCAAATAGTGAGCGATTATCGGATTCGGATTGAGTAAATACAACAAACAACAGAGACAGCACAGCAGCTACATTAACAGTAATCAATCGATCCCGATCCCCCTTGCATATGCAATCGTAACTGTAAACCTAATTGTGTGCCTCTTCTCTTCTCTTCCTCTCTCTCCATTTTTCTTCTTGCTCTTGCTCCCTCTCTCTCTCTCGCCTTCTTCTTCTTCCTCCGCTCGCCGGGGACTCGCAACTCACAAATAGCAGTACATTGAAAGGAGCAGCTCGGAGCGGACAGGATAAGGATAATAAGCAGTCGATAACAGCCAGCGACAAATTTGGCTTATATATTTAAGCCAACCAGCCAGTCAGTCAGCCGGGCACTTGCGAAGTAGCCAACGTCCTGGGCCCCAAGATACCAGAATACCCGTACCCACCAAATCACCAATCACCAACCATTAGCAGGCGACGACGACACACATCCGCAGAAGATGTCCAACGGCAAGGCGACGGTGTCGTTCTTTGAGAACGGGAGCACCAAACAGTTCGAGTATTGCTACCAGATGTATCCGCAGGTCCTCAAGCTGAAAGCGGAGAAGCGCTGCAAGAAGCCGCAGGAGCTGATCCGACTGGACCAGTGGTACCAGAACGAACTGCCCAAATTGATTAAGGCGCGCGGCAAGGATGCGCACATGGTATACGATGAGCTTGTCCAGTCGATGAAATGGAAACAGTCGCGCGGCAAGTTCTATCCGCAGTTGTCCTACCTGGTCAAGGTCAACACACCACGGGCCGTCATCCAGGAGACGAAGAAGGCCTTCCGCAAGCTGCCCAATCTGGAGCAGGCGATCACAGCACTATCGAACCTCAAGGGTGTCGGCACCACAATGGCCAGTGCCCTGCTGGCAGCCGCTGCTCCCGACTCGGCACCATTTATGGCCGATGAGTGCCTGATGGCCATACCAGAGATCGAGGGCATCGATTACACCACCAAGGAGTACCTCAACTTTGTCAATCACATCCAGGCAACCGTGGAGCGCCTAAATGCGGAGGTCGGTGGCGACACGCCACACTGGTCGCCGCATCGCGTGGAACTGGCCCTCTGGTCGCACTACGTGGCCAACGATCTCAGTCCCGAGATGCTCGACGATATGCCGCCGCCGGGATCCGGCGCACCAGGCACTGGCTCACTCAGCACAAACGGCAGCAGCAGCAAGGTGCTCGACGGCGACGACACCAACGACGGTGTGGCCGTTGATCTGGACGACGAGAGCCAGGGAGCAGGTGAGGACTCGCGACAGAATGTAGATGCTCCTGTAGATGCGGTTGGAATATATAAAGCACACAAGTCCCGCATCAGTTATTTTCGTCAGAAATCTAGATTTATATTTACATCCTCAACTGCAAAAAATAATTTAAGTTTAGGGTTTTGGGCTTGGATGCCGAAAAGTTCAAATAGTTTATATATTTCTTGAATCTATTAATGTTGTTTTGTACTCTTAAAGATATAATGTTGTATTTGAATATTTTTTGAGCAACCTTTTTGCAATTTGGTTAGTAACTAAAACTTTTATTAATCAAAATTTTTGGAAAAATACTAGTATTTTATTTATAAACCCAAGTGATTTTATACAACTTTAAGCATAAAATAACTAAATTTAAAGTATGCATTCTTAATTGACTGTAAATAACTAAAGATTTCAAATGAATATTTATGAAATATCAGCTTTTACAAGCGCGAGGTTTTGGTTTTTTGTTTTTTAATGTTTTTACCAGCTAATGAAATGTGTTAAGATCTCAAATAACTTTTTTGAAATCTCAGAGAGCAAACTCAGGGTTTCTTTGTGCTAGTTTTCTTACCACAATTTATGTTATTGACCACTGATTTTTTGCTTTCTATCCCCAGGCGGTCGCAACACTGCTACGGAATCGGAAACGGAGAATGAGAACACGAACCCGGCTGCCCTGATGCCTCTGCAGTCGGGCGAGGTCAAGAACAACAGCAACGCAGCTGCCGTGGGCGCCGCCCTACAGGATGGCGACTCAAACTTTGTGTCGAACGATTCCACCTCCCAGGAGCCAATCATTGACGATAACGATGGCACCACACAGACAACGGCCACCACGTCCACGGAGGATGGTGAGCCCATAGCCCTGGGCATTGGCATCGGTTTGGGTGGCACACCGCTCGCCTCCGACTCTGAAAGCAATCAGGAGGCGCCGCCCAAGACCAACAGCCTGACCATCCTGACTCCGACACAGCCCTCGACCCAGACCCAGACCCAGGATCAGGCGCCGAGCCAGCCCCTCAAAACTAACAAGTCGATCACTAACAACGGCCAGGTGGCTCCTTTGGCAGCAGAAGAGGTGGTCACAGCAGCACCACAGCCTGCCAGCAAAGCGACTGCAGCAGTAGTAGCAGCAGCCAATGGAAATGGAAACGGCAACGGCGTTTTGGGCGACGACGATGAGGACGAGGTGGATGACGATGAGGAGGACGAGCTGGAAGAGGAGGATGAACACGAGGCGGAGCTAGAGGCTGACGAGAGCAATAGCAGCAACGGCATTGTGCGGGACAGTAAGCTGCAGCAGCTGGCGGCGAGCAAGGCGGCGGATGCGGTTTTGCCCGTTGAGTCAGCGGATGCAAATTCGGCGCCTGCCATCGGACAGAAGCGTACGGCCCTGCACTGTGAGATGGAGTTGAATAACGCCGGTGGAGTGGGTGTTGGCGTGGGCGTGGGCGTGGGGGAGAAGTCGCCAGAGCTAAAGAAACTGCGCAGCGAATGAAGCGGAGGTGAGGATAGGATACGAAATACGGATACGGATGCGGATGCGGAAACGGGGATCGGTTCAGTTCGGTTCGGCTCGCCGCGTATCTGGTGGAAAGACATATGTATGTAGTGCAGTTGAGTCGACATAGAGACATAGAGCAACATTACCTACACTTTACCACAACAACATTCAAGAAATTCTACTATTAAGCAACTAATTATACATACATATAATATATTATATATATATCTATATATATACAACATATAACGAGAAGCAAACATCCAACACACACCACTCTCATACACACCACACAACACAACACAACACCACACCACACAAAACACAACCAATCCGACATAACATAACATAACCGATCAGATCAGAGCGGAATATAAGATCCCGTTCCAGCAAGCAGAACTACAAACATTTCAATAGCATATGAAGCGCGCCAAGATGAAGAATCCGATCAAGAATCCGAAGAACAAGCAGCAACAGCAGCAGCACCAGCAGCAGTAAAAGAGAGTTCAGAACGCAGCGTTAACGTAATATTATAACTGAAACGAAAAGCAAATGCATAACATGAATAGTAACTATAAAACAAGATCAGATGAAAATCGATATTTTTACACAGTCAAAAGGAACATTTAAATATAAAGAAATTTACAAATGCCGCAGTTGCCCACTACATACAAAAACAAAAAATATAAAAACAAAAAAAAAAAAAACAAAATGAATGATTAAGATGGAAAAAACAATAATTATAATAAAACACAAAAATAATTTATATACATAAGTATTTAAATTTAATAATAAATCAAAAACTTGTCGCAGAAACCAAGTCCAAACCACCACCTTCACCCCCTCGACCTTCGACCCCGCAGCAATTCGCGCTCTCTCTCTCTCTCTCGCACACACAAACAACACACGCCGCACACACAACACCCACATACACACTCGGAAGAAACAAAACAAAAACAAAACTCATTTCAACACTAAGAAATTTTTGTGGTCGTAATTATAATAATATAATTTATATTTTATGTGTACAACTTTTTTTTTTAACTTTACATATACTGAATTTTTTATAATTTATATGATAATCACTTTTCATTTGATTTCCACGAAAAAAAAGAAAACTGCATCTTAATTGCACCCGGCGCAGGTCGACCCATCTCCGGGTAGTTTGGGTTGTCGGTAGCGGGTGGTTCCCCGATATCCACGATCCACACAACACGCAGATCGGTCGGGACTAAAAAAAAAAAACACCATCTCAAAATTATAATCATTTTTATTATTAGTAGCATAAGTCCAAATAAAATGTGAAATATTAAGAGAACCACGGCATAAAACTAAAACATCACCAAAACATCTTAAATTGTTGGATCGCTTCAATACGATTTTGGAACTAGGTATTCGAAAAGTTGTTACGTCGAGAACTTATCGAAGTCATCGTCTTAGTAATCGATTTTTTGACAAGACCACCTCATGTGTGGCAACGCCAGTAAATCTGGCAACGCTTTCGTTAGAGGTGAGGCTGGAAGTATTTGAAATTTGAATTGCACTTTACACGAAATAATTCTTGGTTTTCATATATTTTGTAATTATAGAAACTTATTATTAAGTTTGTATAGTTTTCTAATTCATTCAGAGCTTAAAAGAAGTAAGTAAAAGAACTTAAAAAGGTGTTTTATTTATTGTCCTTGTTTATTATTAATATATTTAGTTTTTTTTAAGATTGCATTTAAATACAGAACTTCCGATAACTGAGCCAACGATTGGCCAGGGGTTTTTCCCCTAGCTCTTTGGGATTTTTTTTTTTTTATCAATTTAGATAGAATTTTAAAGGAAAAGATTGCAGTTTTGTCAATAATTTCGTTGTGGTTTTTGTGTAGGACTTGCAAAATTTTAAAGAACTGCTGAGCATGCTACAAAAATGCTTGATAAAAACTAAAATAAAATCAATACAATATTTTGGCCCATTTTTACTCTTTTCACTTCGTTTATTAAGTTTAAACTTAAATCTAAGGTTGCGTTAGAATTTAGGGGGGATTTTTTAGTGCAAGCTTGAGCAAATTTGGGGATATCAAATTTCACCATCTGGTAACACTGGCACTAATCAAAAGAAAACACAGAACAGCAACATATAGAATAATTTCGCACATAAGTTGATTTTGCCACGACTGCCCGATCGGCACATCCCTCCGCCGCCGCCGCCCCAGAAGCCATAGTTCCTCATTTGCAGTGGAGTTCAGTGAGCGGCGCGTGAAATTTACATACAAATATCGTATATAAATCGAAGTTTACCCCCTGCAACCCCCGCACCCGCCCCCGCCCCCCGCCGACCATGTCATTGGATCGCCTTGGTCGTTGGCCAGATCGAACTTAAATGTGGGACTTAACTGGTGGACTAGAGTGACTATGCTTGGGGATCGAAACACCTCCTCCGAATCAAGGTCCTCATAGAGAACATTCCCGTGTCCCGCAACCCGCGACCTAAACCCCCCGTTCCCAGTTCCCCGATCCCTGGACTCCGTGGTGCGAGTCCCCTGAGTGTGATTGTGGTCCGTGCTCATACGGATCCCGGTGCCGGTCCCGGTTCCGATCCCGATCCCGGCAAGAATCGCAATGTTGCTAGTGCGCCAGCTGTTCGGGGCTTCGGCCAACTCGTGGGCCCGTGCCCTCATCATCTTCGTCCTGGCCTGGGTGGGCCTGGTCTATGTGTTTGTGGTCAAGTTGACCAATACCCAGGGCCAGCAGGCCGCCGGCGAGAGTGAGCTCAATGCCCGCCGCATCTCGCAGGCCCTCCAGATGCTGGAGCACACGCGCCAGCGCAACGAGGAGCTCAAACAGCTCATCGACGAGCTGATGAGGTAGGTGGACACAGCTGGATGGAGCTCGAGGCACAGCAGAGGGCACCAGAATAGCACAGTGGAATCAAGTGCATTGCACTCACAGTTGTATCAAAACGCCTGAAATACTTTGGCAAAAAGAAGAGTTCTAAATGACTGCAACTGGTTTTTTTTTTTAAATGTATCAATTAAGCAAACAAGTATTGTACTTTCCTAGAAGACTGTTTAAAGCTGTAAAACACTTGTATTAACTAAACAAAAAGCTATTTTTATGCAGTATATATCAGTACGTAAACGTCCCTTAATAATTGTAATTGTTATAAATAACGATTATTAGTTTCCAGCACTGAATTTTTAAAGCAGATTAGTCTACCATTTATGATTACCAATTGAAGCAATCATTTAATAGCTGTTTATAGATTTGAGACAGGTACACAGTGAGATATGAGATATAATATCAACCAAAATAACCGACGCTTGTATTATAAGCTATGAATATTACAGTTTTCACAGACTATGGTGATTAAGTTAATGATTAGCATGTTAACTAATCTACCTATGTACTTAGTAAATGTATTTATTTATATAGGGCTAATTTTTAAGTTTAAAACTATATTGGAAGAAAGGGAGTTAGCAACAAATTGAGAGCATAGGACATTTTATAGGCAGTCAAAATTGAAAATAAGTAGAGCTTCTATTAATATATATATTTATTTCAAATAGCAGGTTCCCAAAAGCATGTGTGTAGCTCCGTCAACTTTTATTGCGATATATACATTGTGCTGTCGATCCGCCAACAGCGTGGCTAATTATGCATGGCACGTCGGCGGAATTACACGCGATAAGCAGCTTTACTCACCCCATTCACACACCCCCCTCCCCATCTCTCTTTGCTCTTTCAGTGACCAGCTGGATAAGCAGAGCGCACTGAAGCTGGTGCAGAGGCTGGAGAACGATGCATTGAGTCCGAAGCTGGCGGCGGAAGGCGCCGGTGTGGAACCAGAATCCATGTTCGAATCGGCGCCCGCTGATCTGCGCGGCTGGAACAATGTGGCCGAGGCGGCACCCAATGATCTGCTGGATGGGGCCGGTGGCCCCGATCATGTGGAATTCGAGCCCAGCCTGGAGTACGAGTTCACGCGCAGACGCATCCAGACGAACATCGCTGAGATCTGGAACTTCTTCAGCAGCGAGCTGGGCAAGGTGCGCAAGTCGGTGGCCGCCGGCCATGGCCATGCCGATCTGGAGGAGGCCATCAATCAGGTGCTGCTGCAGGGCGCCGAGCACAAGCGCTCGCTGTTGAGCGACATGGAGCGACTGCGTCAATCCGATGGCTACGAGTCGTGGCGCCACAAGGAGGCGCGCGACCTAAGCGATTTGGTGCAGCGACGCTTGCATCACCTTCAGAATCCCAGTGACTGTCAGAACGCTCGCAAGCTGGTCTGCAAGCTCAACAAGGTGCGTTTAAATATTATTCATTTGCAGCAGGGCGCCAAAAACTGCCTCAAGGCACTTCATTTATATTAACACAATTGTCCATGACAATCATTGTTGATTCCAGGAAAAGACATCAACAAATTTCAACTGAATTATCGTTTTAGAAAAAAAAACTTAGTGTAGCTGTTGCCGGCTTGCCTTGAACTTAACAGCATCACAAAAAAAGGCTAAAACGTGAGCGGCTAGCTTTAGTTTTAAGTCACTTGATACTGTCACTATAATCGTCAATCAGTTAATTCTTTATAAATATCTAGGAAATGATTTAGTCAACTTATCAAGCCTAGAAAAAAACATTTGCTTAGATCTCGTTAGACTACAATGATGTTAGACAACAACTTAATTACTTTTCTGGCATATCCGCAAGATTACGATTGAAGTAGACAGTTAAGCTTGTAATATAGGTTTAAAATATACATGCAATCATAGAGAACTGCTGTAGGTTTTTATTATACTAAATCTAACAATTAGACCAAAGTTAGACACACAATTGAAAAAGATAAAAAAGAATATAGCATCTAATATTTTCACATCTAATTCATAACTTTGTGTTTAATAGATTCTTATCTAATGCTTAAATTGTACATTTTCAGGGTTGTGGCTACGGCTGTCAACTGCATCATGTGGTGTATTGCTTTATAGTGGCCTATGCCACCGAGCGCACGCTCATCCTGAAATCGCGCGGCTGGCGGTATCACAAGGGTGGCTGGGAGGAGGTGTTCCAGCCGGTGTCGAACAGCTGCCACGATGCCGGCACCGCCAACACGTACAACTGGCCGGGCAAACCGAACACCCAGGTGCTGGTGCTGCCCATCATCGACTCGCTGATGCCGCGACCGCCGTACCTGCCGCTCGCCGTTCCCGAGGATCTGGCGCCGCGACTCAAGCGCCTGCATGGTGACCCCATCGTCTGGTGGGTGGGCCAGTTCCTCAAGTATTTGCTGCGACCGCAGACACCGACACGCGATTTCCTAGTCGCTGGCATGCGCAATTTGGGTTGGGAACGTCCAATTGTGGGGTAAGTGGTCGAAAGGAGGAGATTCCTCTGTCTTTTGGGGGATCTAGAGCACAGAAACTCTGTTTTGGATGTTCACAGATCGAAAATTATATCCCTATCTCAACATTTTTATGAAAGATCATATCGAGAATGCCATGAAAACTCTGTACATGGAGTTAAATTGATATATTTTTTTCTAAAAGATAGTACAAACTGTATTAACTAGTAGAACACAGGCTTAATGTGGTATCTAATTGCAAGGATAGATTTGTGTTAAATATAAAGATCATACTAACCAAATTGGCAAGTGAATATTAAACCTTAGACTTGAAATCTGGATAAAACTCAAAGCTTTAATAACTATCTATCTTTTGAATAAATTGCTATTCTCTGCATCCATAAAAAACAAATAATATTTTATAAAAGTGCCCAAGCCAATCAATTTTACTAGGATTTCTGTATATAAAAGTAATTCTTATGGTGCCAGGATGTTAAATTTAACAAATAAATTAAAAATTTGTTTTGTTTTTGCAGTGTCCATGTGCGTCGCACGGACAAAGTGGGCACGGAGGCGGCCTGCCACAGTGTGGAGGAGTATATGACCCATGTGGAGGACTACTACCGCACGCTGGAGGTGAACGGCAGCAGTGTGACGCGACGCATTTTCCTCGCCTCGGACGATGCGCAGGTTATTGAGGAGGCGCGCAGAAAGTACCCGCAGTACCAGATCATCGGTGATCCAGAGGTGGCGCGCATGGCGTCCGTATCCACACGATACACGGACACGGCGCTGAACGGGATCATTCTGGACATCCATCTGTTGTCCATGTCCGATCACTTGGTGTGCACATTCTCGTCGCAGGTGTGCCGCGTGGCGTACGAGATCATGCAGACACTGTATCCGGATGCAGCGCATCGGTTCAAGTCGCTGGACGACATCTACTACTATGGCGGCCAGAATGCGCACAATCGCCGCGTCGTCATTGCGCACAAGCCGCGCACGCACGAGGATCTGCAGCTGCGGGTCGGCGATCTCGTCTCGGTGGCCGGCAACCATTGGGATGGCAACTCGAAGGGCAAGAACACCCGCACCAACCAGGGCGGCCTGTTTCCCTCGTTTAAGGTGGAGGAGAAGGTGGACACCGCCAAGCTGCCTCTGTATGCGGGCGTCTAGTGGGATCCCAGCCATGTTGGCCATGTTGTTGATTGATCTATTCTTTTTGCCGCATTCCACCTGGATCAGGAGTTTCCATGGTGCACTTCGATTCGGCTCGGATCACATCGGGCACATCCAAAATCTACAGAATGTCCAGAATCTCAAATGAAATCTCGCTCTCTATGTTACATTTACACACATATATTGTCCTCAACTTCCTTTCCTTTCGTTTTTGTAACTTTTTCTTCGTGTTTTTACGCTCTGGCTCCGATTCTGATTCTGATTCCGATTCTGATTCCGAATCTAATTCTTATTCTGCATTTGTACAAGTCTTTTATTTATTAGTAAGTCGAAAGCCGAAGAAATTATGTTGACAAGAATATACATAAATATATATATATATATATATATAAATAAATTATATATAGGAGTGCATGTAGGTTCACTAAGCGCAATATAGTCTATCACTTGTAAAATAGTTGAAAAAAAAAAAACAAAAACAAAAAACACAAAAGATGAACGCAAAACAAAACTAAATCTGATCAAATTCAAGCGTCAATAGTAAAAGAAATAAATAGTAATGTTTTAAAAAGAAACTGTTTGTTGTTTTATTATGATGATGATTGTTTAAACTTAAGAAACTTATTTGCTTATGAAGCAAAAAAAATCAAATTCATATTTTGTACCAGGCAAACAGAAACATTTAGTGGGTGACAAACGGTTTTTCGATTTTCTACTAGAAATGTGCACGTGTATGCTTTTTAAATACCATGCTAATCAATTATAGGTTTTTTTTTGTGCTTTTTTTCGTGACACGATCAAAAATCCAAGGATCTTTACCATCTCCAATCTAGCTTATAAGCTTATATCTAACCTAAACCACTTGTCGCTTTTAAATTTATTAGATATTGCCTACATTTGCGCGCTTTAGAAATTTTAGATCGAGCTGATACTCTCTAATTGTTTCTGTTCGCCTGGTGTTTCAAAATCAGAAACATTGCATTTCGCTGATGAATTTACAGCAGACTGTGGGGCAAATACTTTTCCTGGCTCAAATATCTTTTAAAATAATTCCGTGGTGATTGGGAAGTTTTATTTTTGCTTATTATATTTTTCTTTTTTTGCGAAAAAACATTTAAGTTTTCCGCACAAATGTCCAATTTTTTGTCTTAAAAATCTGTGTTTCGGCCAAATCAAGGCTTGTGGTTTCCTCGTTAAACTTGTGCTAAATTGTCCGTTTAATTTAATTTTATGTTTGTCCCATTACTGAAAATGCCAACAATTTATTTATTGTAATCAGTCGGAACCCAATTTAAAGGACAAACTTACCTAGTAAATCTTAGCAGACAGTTGGAATCTGGTTTTCCCATTTTAATTCAGCCTCTTTTATTCAGATGTCATTGGGAAAAATTCGTTTCTTATAGCTTTTAATTAAAAAATTCTACCACTCAATATCTGTATTATTATTATTTTTATTTGAATGCATTATGTTGCAACCTCATTAAGCATACATACATAAATAATATTTAAAAAAAAATATGTTTTCGAGGAACGGCAATGGTCTGCAAATAATTTATGTAATGTAACCTGTTGGGTTGAAGACCTTTTAGGATGGGTAGTTATAACCGGACATTAATCAATGAAATTTATGAATTTGAATATCTTAAATACGTGTTTTTTATGATGGGTTTTCGGCGGTTCAAGAACCCTGCGGAGCCGGCGAAAGTGCAAATTGAAGCTGCGTGCCCTCGTCGATGAGTCAAGTCAACCCGCAGGAATTCCACACCAAAAACGAGAAAATTCCCAAAAAAAACAAACCAAAACGGGCGCCAGAAAACCGAAAAAATAAACGTGATAAGCTTCCCCACCGCACAATAAAAAAAAACAATAATAAATATATGGCGCAGGCGTGTGTTTGTGAGACTTGCTTGTGCATAAATAAATTAAAGGCAACTGTGTGCGTAAGGTAATTGTAATTAAGTACTCAATGAACCGCAGGGAAGTAAAAAAATAATAAATATTAAACAAAACAAAACAAAACAAATCAAAAAGAAAAAAAAAGCAGCCAAACAGGCAGCCGAACCGGCAATATGAAAAAGGAGCTCAACGCGATCGTTGGACAAGGTCAAGTCGCAGTCGTTGGCAGCTGAAGCGGATAAGCCGCCTCATTCCGGGCCTTTGCCTTCTGATAACCCGGCTTCGCCCCCCAGTTGCGTATAAAACATTGCGCCCGGAGCTCAGACAACAGCACTTGCGGACCAGCATCCCAGTTGATAGCATCATCGCACTCCTCACACCGAGTTTTAAACAGATCACCACAACCAAAAGCCACCAACTAAACAGAATGTCTCGCTTCACCATCGTCACCGTCCTGTTCGTCAGTCTGGCCGTTATCCTGGCGGGCCAAGGTGCTCAGGCTGCCGTTGCCAAGGTTCAGCTGACCAATCCTGGTAAGTTAGCCAAGCTCAACTCAAAATCCCAACTCTTATGTGTCCGTGTTTCTCATCCATAATTTCTTTTTAATTTGGTTTCATGTTTTTCTATCTAAAAATTGTAATTTTTTTTTTCTAACATTCATATATAAATTTATTTGATTTTTAAAGAGTTTAAACTCATTTTCTTCTGCTCTTTAAAAATATTTGTATTCAAAGAAATTTGAAAATTACTACACTTGCTCTATAGTCTTTTGAGCTTATTTTTTTTTAAGAGTGCTAAGGTTTTTTTTAACAATTCTCTAAGAATGTTCTTATATATTATCGAGATTTTCATTCAGTAAACAAGTATTTCTTTATTATTTATTTTTACTCAATCATGATTTCTTAACACATAAATGAATATTTACGAAATTTATTCTTTAAAGTACATTTTTTGAAAGTCCAAACTCTTTATCAACTAATCTCAACGATATTTCTACGAACAAAAAAAATCCTGTTTAAAAAAACTCTTTTCCTACAACTCTCTAATATTCGTATGAACAAAAGATTCTTTGATTGAAACAATTTTTTTTTAGCTATATGCTTTTTTTTTAGCTATTAAGGAGTATTCCAAATGAATTACAATATTCCTGTTCACCAGAAAAATCCCATTCAATGCTGTCCTAACAATGTTTTGATACACAAATTAGTTTGTTATTTATATTTGATTATATTTACCCTGTTATTGCAGACCATCCCGGCAAGTGTGTGTTGGACTCGAACACGATCATGTCGCCCGGTCAGGTCGGCAAGCAGCCCAATCATCCGTGTGCCAGTGCCGAGTGCCATGCTGGCGGTTTGGTGACCATCAGGACTTGTCCGGCTGTGGCTCCGCCAAAGGGATGCAAGCAGCGCGACTTCGTCAACACCAATCGCAGTTTTCCCGAGTGCTGCGAGCGGGCCTACGATTGCTCCAAGCACATTTAAGCCTATCGAAACTCGAGTGTTTATGGCTAAATGCTAACCTTTCGATTGTTTTTTTTTTTTGTTTGTTTTTGTTTTATTTATTGTGTATACTACAACATAACAATTAAAATGTAAACGCTTAGCAATACAATTAAATAATTTAATAGAATCATTAACAGAAAATACATATGCATGTACGCTTGCTTGTGGGTCTGAAGTTGGGCTTGGATAATGTGGCAAGGACCTGTGCGCGGCTCTACCTACTATATCCATATATCCGATTCGACTCGTTCTGGCGTCGGGTAATAGTAATACATCATCACTGTACATGGGTGTATGGCCAGTCGCCCGTCGCACTAACTACACTAACTGATTACCCTAGATGGCTGGCATATGGAGAGCAAAAACAAAATTAAATCCAATAAAAATTATTTAAGAAAAAAATCACAAGGACGAAAAAGACAGGAAGAGGTTATAGGTATAACTATGCATATGTACACCTGCGAGTGTGTGTGTGTGTGTGTGTGTGCTCTCTAGTTTGTCTGCGGCCGAAAAACCCATAAACGCAGAACGAGGCGAATTCGAAGTCGAATTCGAATCGCTAGTAGCTAGTAGCCTAGTATCCTTTTTGGTGTCTCTCCTTTTGCAATCGCAATTTCCTGTTTTTCTTAGTAACTTTAGCTAATTCGTTTGTTTGTTGGTTGCTTGATTGGTTTTTCTTTTTCTTTTTCTTTTTGTTTGTTTTTGTGTATATTTTCTTTTTTTGGAGTTTCGTTTTTTATTCTTTTTGTGTGTTTTATATGTGCTTATGCAGCTCAGCGACCACGCCCCGTCGCCCGGCCGCCTCCTATCGGCTGAGATTGTTGATGTAGAGCGCGTGCAGCTCGGTGCGTGGAGTATTCTCGAAGAGGGCGGCGCGGTTCTGGCCCTCGCCCTTCTTGACCCAGTGCCCGTAGACACGGAAGGCACAGCCATCGATGACCTGCAATTGATCGGAGGTTTGTAATTGTTCATTCACACGAGCGAAAGTTATTTGGTTTTTAGTCTTGAACCTTAGGGTTAAATAAATAATATTCATTGATACAAATATGAATTTAAAATAGAAGCTTATTGTTATTAGTTATCGAAGATAACGTACATAATGAAGTTCAGAAAGCTACTGATTATACCTGCCTTTGCAGGTATAACAAAAATAAATATTCTCAATTAACGAAAAATAAATGAAAAAATTATAACTTCTCTCTGTTTAAATTTATTTAAAAATATTTTGAAATATAGTTATATTTCGATATTTTAGAAAACGCTTTTAAGTTTATTAAAGTTAGCAAAGGAAAAATAGGAAAGAAAAAGAAATAAAAAAAACTATTGCTCCCCTGATTTTCAATTTATTTGAATATTCTTTGAGGTGTCAAAAATAGTTTATTATATCAAACCTTCAGTTTACATTTTATTTAAATTGGACAACGAATGAAAAATACACTGCTTACGCATTAAAAACGAAATATAGTCGTTCTAAAGACTATTTAAATTTGCAAAAGATGCAAGATACACCACGGTTTGCCTTCTTGTTTGAATATAATCTATTAGTTTTGAATGAAATCTGGATTTAGAACAAAGTAGCTCTGGACTTTATTCAAAATGCAGTTTGGGTTTGGGATCTCGATTCTGGGAGAGTGACTCACCTTGCGCAGCACCTTGACGCGATACGGATCCCGGATGGCCTCCTCAACGTGCAGCGGCTCGGCGGTGTAGCGCAGGCGCCGTATCCGGATGACGGCCCGTATCACGAGTATGGCGAATTGGAACTTTTTGCGCGCGTTGAAGCGGCTCTGTTTGCGCAGCTAAACATGAGAGACGGAATAGGGCTGGATTAGGACTCGCATTTTGCCGGACATCAACTCGCGCATTGCGGATCGATCTCTTTTATTTTATTTTCTTTTCTTTTTTTTTTTTTTTTTTTGTTTGTTTGTTGGCTTCGTGTTTGTGGTTAGAGGTGCACACGCCATTGGTTAGTTTGGGGGGGGTTAACTCGTTTTGGGGGTTAGCAGTTGGCGGATTACAAGTTAATAGTTAATGGTTAATGGTTATACTCCTTCCTCGGACAAGAACAACACGAATCGAGGTCAGCGATATGTATTGAAGTGGCCAGTGTTAGGTGTTAGTTTCGGTTTCGGTGTTAGAATCAAACTCCCGGGGTCAGTGTTTCGATGGGTGAGCGTTATTCGGTAGCATTGGTTACGTTTTCGGATGAGTGTGGATTCGGTGGATGTGGGCCAAGCAGAGGCATTAACAGAAGACAAATAGAAAAGCCATAACCAGAAGCAAACCAAAGGTGAGAGGTTAGGGTTAGAGGGGTTAGATGTGTTAGAGGGGTAATTACAGTCAGAGAAACATTTTCGAGTGAACCGCAACATTGACGCTATTTACGAATGGATATATTATACCATCGAACTGGCACGATTCATATGTGTGGCGTTATGCAGATAAACAGATAAACAAATACACATTGACGAGTATTAGGGTATGCGGAGTGGGCGTGGTTGGATGGACATAATACTGTATGCAAATCTATCTCAGTTTGACTTGGTTTACTCACAAGGGAGTCTCCACAACACCGACTTATAGACACACATCTTATAAGGGCGTTGAGACTCTGACAATATAGAGAACATGACACACAAACAAAACGTGTATAACATCATCAACAGAGGAGAAATTAAACAAAATAATCCGTCAGTGAATCGATTTTGGCGTTATTTCATAATAGATACAATTATTGATGGGCAGTATATGCACCCAAAAAAATATTAAATCCTTTGTTTTTTTTTTTTTTTTTTTTTTTTTTTTTAAGTAATTTGTATTTTAAAGCTTTTCAACTAATAAATTGTACGATCCAATTGATAGGCTAAGTTTGAAGTGAAATTTTTCACTACCAATATTTGATTTCGAGGCCAAAGTTAGTTTTCGTCGCCATCAAATGCTTTTTTGGGTGTATATACACTATGCTATGGGTGTGTAAGGTTAATCATAATTAAGACTAGCATGCATGTTAGCTTACTTAACTACTCTATTTTCCTTCACAAGGCACATTGACAAATGAGCGACGATTCGGGATTAGTGACAGACGATCCACCGATCACGACTACAACTAGGACTATGGCTATATAAAAATGGCTACACAGAGGTATACGGCAGAAGCAAGTCAACTACATACAGTTCTTGTAAATATCATCCAGTTCACCCGAGAGATATGTACTAGAGAAAGGTGCATATAATACAAACATAGTGTTTACTCGCTACGATATGACTAAGTGTCAGCTATAAGAAAATACAATAATACATAGTAATAGTAATAGTATAATGCAGTGTATAGGTACTTTCAATCTTAGACTAAATAGTAAGCAGTGGCTGACCGATTTTCCCCGATATTACGATCCATCGGATCCAACATCTTAGAGAGAGAGACAGCCGAACGGTGAGTGAGTGAGTGTGAGTGAGAGGGATGATGGTGGGTAAATGATACAATGGAGTTGAATTGAGTGCAGCTTGCCTCTTATGATATGATATTGTGGATGTGGAGTGAAGTGAAGTGGACTAAATTGAATCAACTAAAAGCGCTAGAAATTAATCGGTAATAATACGTGTGGCGTCTAATTGAGAAATAAAACCCAAGCGGCTGCCAAAAAACGCTAAAGAAACGAAAAATACTATACAAAAGGACTTTACATAAGGAAATTATTATTTTCATTATACTAATTATTGTTTTTAAAAAGGTTTAACTTTATCAATAACGGGCAACGAAGTGTTTGATAAAAGATTCTTTTAAATTTTCATAAAAAAACGTAAGATAAACAGGGATATTAATAATTTATAGTTTGGTAAAATTTAAATTAAAAATGGTGTAAACGGGTAGTTAATAGTTCATATTAACAAATAAAAAAAACTAAAATGTTGTTTGTTAATAAATCAAACATTAACTCAATGTTCTGAGGTGACAACTACAAGTCCTATTCGTCCAGGTCTTGGGTATGCAATTTTTCGTTTCCCTAGCGATTCCTGCCATCGACCGTTGGGCCATTTGTGATGGGAAAGCAAAGAAAATCAAAGGAAAACCTGCCTGCACTGTGGGACCTGTAGGAGCATACACCGCTTGCTTGCCACCGCTATCGCCATTGCCACCTGGCTGCAATTGTGGATGCAACAATTGCACCGGCAGCGTTGTCGTCTGTTGTTGCTGATATTGCTGCTGGTGCTGCTGCTCCTGCGATTGCAGTTGCTGCTGTTGCTGCTGCTGTTGCTGCTGCTGCTGCTGCGGTTGCTGCTGATAGTAGACCGTCGCCGTTAGTGTTTTGTATGCGGAGGCTGAGACGGAGGTGGATGTGGATGTGGAGGTGGTGGAGGAGGAGGAGCATGTGGCGCCCAAGTCCAAGTTCGAGGAGGCGGCAGCAGCTGCATCATCCAGCGGACCGTTGCGCATTCGGTTCGATGAGTAGGAGCTCTGTGGCGCACAGTACAGGTAGCCAGCGCTGCTGTTCGGCCGCCCAAAGCGGTACGATGACGAGGCCTCGGGGGCAAGGAGGTGCTGGTGGTGGTGCTGGTGCTGGTACCTGATGGGCGGGGCGGGCGGTTGCCGGCGGTCACCCATAAGCACCTGATTTTCGCATCGCACCGGTTCGCGATTTACAAACAACAACGATGGATGGGAGGATGGTTGGCAGAGAGGCAAGGGCAGAGGCAGCGGCAGAGTGGGGACGCGGAAGAAATTAAAATGTTGTTATCAGTGATGGGGGATAAATCAAGAGGGGTGAATCAGGGCGTACTTATACGTAAATATACCATATGTTGCCTACGCTGCTCTCAACTTACAGTCTATATAAACTGACTTAGAGGATACATCCTGGTTGACTAGATATTCCTTCACACTTCATACTTATATGCACCTTGGTTGGGTTTCGTATTTGGCATACATCCGTACCTTGAATTTTATATTTTGTAGATTTATCCCTTACTCTACATAAGTGTAAGTTATGCTTTTTTTTATTTGTTGTGGACTTTTGATAACTCTTAATAGCGAATATTATTTTAACAAAAGGTTATTGAACAAATGATATTTTGAAAATATTTAAATTTTAAAAATGTACACAAACGCATCACAAACATTAGAGATAAATTACTATTTAATCAAAAAAAGCTATATTTACTATAACAGGTCATTCAAAATCAAAAGAAATAATTACTTAACCATCACTTTAAATAATTTTGGCCAAATAAGGCACTTAATTTGAATACATTATTCAAGATATGGATGCAGCATCCTTACTTAAATCTCACTGTCTGTTTCTTTTTTCTTTTTACTGGCTCATGGTTAATGCACGTAAACATGCAGTGACTCAAAATGGGCAGAGGATCTGGAGATTTCGGAAATGTAGGGTCTGGGAAAATAAATGGGAACCCTGCTGGATTTTTTTTTTTTTTTGTTGGTTGGCATGCAGACACAGATATTAACTTAACAGGGTATGAATATAATGGCGAGCACAGAGCTGCACAAGTGTGTTATCGGTTTTAGTTATCGGGGGCAATCGGTTGAGTTGTACAAAAAACACACACAGGGAGCACAAGATCGACAACAACATCGAGTACAACGGATTAGAGGGGATTGGTTATCATCGTGGGGCATCGCGCCATCGACAAGCAAAACAAATCAGATGCAAAAAAACGAAGCAAATCAGTTACGTTTTCATTTTGTTATTTGTTCGCTTTGGGCGGTTAGAAGTTATTATGCTGGCACATGACCTGAACAGTTTATAAATATATATATATATATAAATAGTGTACAATTGATATGCACTATGATGTACAGTTTAGCTGGGTTATATTAGATCGGCACAGAACGAAACAGAACAGAATGCAACAGAATCAGATGCAACGGAACACAGACACGAATGCTGGGCCGGCAGGGTTGCATGGTCATGAGTTGGGGGGGCTGCCGGCCCGATTGTTTGTTTATCGGGATTATCGTTATTACAGCGATTACGGCTCCGAAAAATGGATACGGAGGCACACAGCACAGAGAGATAAAGAGAGAGCTTGGGTTAGTCCGGGAACAGTTCGTTACCAGTGCGATCTCAGTGATGCGACTCATTCGTCGGGATTTGGTCGACAGGCTGCGCTTGAGGCCATCAATGTTTTGCTCGAACAGCTATCGATATTGTGTGTTCGTTATCGTTTCGTTTTGGTTCGTTTAAAATGAATTGTAATCAATTTGATTTAATATGTAAGGAAAAGAAGAGAGAAAATGTTTTTGTATAATAAAATAGTAATCGTAAAACTAAAGTAAACGCACAACACACTATCAACAAAACGGAGAAGTGCTGCTTAAGAGTCCAGGGGAATTCGATTTTGGGGGTATCCAAACTTATGACAGACCCTGTCAGGTCATAGAACTGACAGTTGGACTAAACTACGGGGGTTAAGGCTGCTACCCTGCTAACCAAATAGTAAATCATAATCGTAATTTCAGGAGGTAACAGTAAGAAGAAGAAGAAGAAGCAGTTAATAGGCTGTTGTGAGTGGGTTGTGAGTCACAGTTGTGTGTTCTTTCCATCAGAGTGTGTTTTTAGGTGTATTTTGTGTTTTTAGAGACATTTGCAGGGGCAGGTGGTTTGGGTGGGGTTGCGTGTAGACTATCCCCTCCAGAGGCTTAAGCCCTCGACTAGAGATCTATAATCTACAATAATATACAAGGATGGGAAGCCCGAAAACTAAAGACTGCTGCCCGAACACAAAAGGCGACTCGAAGGCGAACCTCGTTTTTGGCGGCTAATTGAACTAAATTTTCTGTTGCACTGGTGGTTGTAGTGGCGGTGTCTGAGGTTCGGCGGCGGCCAACAATTCCGACACTTACCATTTGGTTGAAGAATGGATGTCTTAATACTTCCGTGACGGTGATACGTTGCGCAGGATCAACGACTAGACATTTGCGTATCAGATCCTTGGGATCCTCTGCAAATCAATCGGAATAGTTAGCACATGTGTATAGTCAGTCTATCTTTGCATCGTGGGACCAACCTGAAATATCAGCCCACTCGGGCGAGGTGAAGCTGTACTTGCCCTCCATGATATTCCGCAGCATTACCATCTGCTTGCGGTGCCAAAATGGTGGACAACCGACGAGCAGCGTAAACATAATCACGCCACAGGCCCATCTGTAACAAAGAATGGATAAAAGGTGTCAATTTTGTGGGGAAAGCGAATTGGAAACCCCTATAGAAAACATTTAACTATCAATAATTTTAGCTGAGCCCAAGTAACAAAGATACCAGTGGGAAACGGCCGAAAAGCCCAATAAACAAAAGGGCATATTTTTTGCTGAACCAAAGAAAAATAGACAACGGTATCGGAAATGATCAGATTTCAGATTGTAATGACTTTTTGCTCAATCGTCAGTGACTCATTCATCAAAATGCACAGCCCAAGATCAAAACAATTCACTTGGCGAATAACACTATCAAAGGCAAAGTGTAAACAACTATCAGCAAAATTCTATTATTTTGTTGGGAGAGCTTATGTTTTTCTTTAAAAATAAATGTGAAAAAACATGTGATTTGCTGAGATACCAAATATTTTCATGTAATTTTTTTGTTGTTTATATTTTCTGAGTAATTAATTTTAGTATGAATAAATTTTTGTTTCAATTGTGAAATAATTACAGTTGGTGCTTTTGAACAAGTCTTTCGATTTATGTACACCAATATACTGATAAATTAGTGATATAAAATATGATTTAATTGCACTTACATGTCCACTTCCTGGGAATAGCCGGGGGATCCCTCAAACATGTTGCACTTAAGCGTTTCCGGCGCCAAATAGCCCGGCGTTCCACACAGATCTGCAGGGGGGAATATATATGTAGTTATAGTGCCGAATTAGATCCTAAAGAATGTGCGTAGCAATCACCTGTAAGTTTCTCGCCCTCCTGCAGTTGCCTGGCGAAGCCAAAGTCCGTGATCTTCACGTTGTGATTCTCGTCGAGCAAGATGTTCTCGGGCTTGAGGTCGCGATGTACGATATTCTTGGCGTGTATGTACTCGACGCCCTCGAAGATCTGACGCATAATGGTGCGCGTCTTCTTTTCGGACAGCGTCACTACAGAGGTCAGATAGTCGAAGAGCTCGCCCTTGGGACACAGCTCAAATACGAGGAAAACAAATGCATCTGACTCAAACACGTCCTGCAGATCAACTGTGGATCAGAAACAACAAATGGTTAATGCTATAATTCGGTATATGCCTGGCACTACTAACTTATGTAGGGATGCCCCATGACCTGGCGCAGTATTGAGATTTCTTGTCGGGTTGCTTCGAGCATGTGATATGGATTCGTCTCGCCAGCCTCTGTGGTGGCGCCCAGGTCGATGATCTTGGCGGCGAACTCCTTGCCCGTCTCCTTCTCGATGCAGCGCCTGACGGTCGAACTGATGCCCCTGTAAGACAAACATTGGGTTAAGATAAGCTGCACTTGACATTGGCATGATCGGGAATTTATCTAATCTCTAATCGCTACAATTGTAATATGTAATTAGCCCTTGTTTTCGCTTAGTCTCTGCTATTTGCTTAGCAAATCCAGAGCCCAGGGGTAGAGAAGGCGGTAGGAGGGGTAGCCGGCAGACGGGCGCCGCTTCAAAACCCATGTCATTGCTTCAATGTGAAGAACTGGAGGAGGTTGACTCATATGGCACCATTTATACAAACTGCAGAGCCATAAACAAAGCCGGCATTACTGCAAGCTTAGCAGTTAGGTGTGGGAATGGTATAAAAAGATCGATATATGGATATCGTATCGAATTATAAGGATGCGGAAAATATCAACTTTATAGAAATGTGATACTTGTGATTTCGTTTCGACAAAACGAAAAATGCCTGTACTTAATTCGTTTCATTAAATCGGTTTGGGAACCTTGATAAAGGATATTGAGGAATATTCAAAATTTCTGTATTTGAAACGTTTAAACGTTTTAAAACGTTCATTCCAAATTGTGATTTTGGATAAGCAAATAAATGTATAGAGAATATTAATCCATTTTACTCATGTTACAGGATTAAATATTTTTAATCTTAAGGACATCTTTCAAGTTAGTCTAAACGAACTGATGCTCTCACCTGCCCAGAATCTCCTTGGGCTCGTATTTGGCATAGAAACCCTTGGCCGCATCCTTGTCGGGCAGCAGATCATCCTCCTCGTCCTTGGCCATTAGATCCAGTGAAATCTTGCCGGCGCTGCTGAATCAGCGAGGGGTAATCTATTGGCCGGAGTAGAGAAGGGAGGAAGCAAAGGATTATATGATGATCGCAATCAAGATCAGTTACTCTGAGGCTGGCCAATGTAGATGATGATGGTGATGATGATGATGATGATGATGCTGATGATGATGATGATGGGGCGGCGACGGCGGAGGAGGAGGATGAGGATGAGGAGGAGGAAGCGGAGGCGGGAGGTGGACTGTTGATGATGAGGTTGATGCGATCGTTTAAGGCGTTGCTATTTTTATAACGACAATGTGGGAACGAACGGACGTGCGACACGAGTGAATCTCAGCGACTGCGACTGCGACTCTCCGACTTTGCGACTTTCCCACTTTGCGACTTTCGTTCTTTTCGGTTTTGGTTTGGTTCAGTCTTTCCTTTTAATTACCAAGTGACGCCGACTGCGCTGCTGCTGCGCTGCTGCCGCCGCCGACTGCGCTGCTCCGGTTGGAAGTGGAAGTGGCCTGTATCGGTTAACTATCTCTCTTTCTCTCTCCCTCAATTTCTCTTTCGCTCGCTCAGCTGTTGGCGGCTGGCTGATTGAATTAATAACGAATGCCAACTACAACAAAGATCGATTTGTGAAATAAACGGGCAAAAAATTAAATCAAAAATAATAGAATTAACATTCACTGATACACCAGTGTGTGTGTGTGTTATGAATGATTACACAACTACAACGCTTTGGTTTAGTTTTGGTTTGTTTTGTTTTGTATTTTTGTAACGGTGCACGCATTTTTGTTATTGCCCTTATCACTGACACTTCTTAATGCTGTTGTTTTTGTTATGGTTTTGCAGTTGTTTTGCTTCTGTTTTCACACATTCAAACACACAATGTGCAGCAGGTTCATTTTGTTTTTGCTTTGCTCTCGTTTTCCCATCCTCCTTTGCAATCACACACACACACTCACACTCGCGCACACAGACGCCGCACCGCACAGCCACACACACGCACCATCGTGGACATCCAACAACAACTAAGCGGGTACATTTCAATGTCAACTAAGGTTAAAAGTAGTACGCTTTTTGGCGGAGTTGACGCACGCACCGCCAGTGAAACACATACACGTGTGGCCGCTCGGCTGGCTGCTCGCTTTCGACGACGTCTCGCGCATAACTCCACGCCTGATGCCAGATATTATCGGATTTAATTGCAAATGCAACAAAAAACCCTGTATTTTATTTTGACACAATCACAAAACTAGAGCTGGCTCAAAACTCGATGTACATTCAATTCTATCGATGTTTTCCGAAACAAGCAATATATCGATGTTTTTCCTGCAGCTATCGATTATATCTTCAGCATAATGGTTACTGTCTTTACTAACGCGCCAAAGTGGGAGAATCGCAACCAGGGATGGCTAACTTAGCAGAGACACACGCCCATCTAGGACTGGAACCCTACGAAAAGATTTGCAAATTTAAAAAAAAAATTGTTAAAGTTTATATTGTTTTAATACAACTTCATTCAAATTATAAGTTTATAATTTAGAGGATTTTATGTGTATTTAAATATCAACATTACCCATTGCTCAAAACACCCGATTTGATGTTGATGTATATTATATTTATTTACGGAATACAATTGTAAAAAATATTTAATAAGCGCTAATGTATATAATAATTATGAGGCAAATGTTACATTTTCTTTTGCTTTCTTCCGGATGGGGGCGGGGCGGGCTTAATGTTTTGTTTTTTTTTTCGGGATTGGAAGAAGTTGAAGGGTGGCGGCGCCGGAAAGGGATAATGGTTCACATTAAGTTAATACTCCGGCGGACTTAACCGCTCGCTTCGTAGATGAAGATATTTTAAAATACCTTCGTATGCAGTCGGAAATACGTTGATTTGTTGTTGTTGTATAATTACTATCAAAATGCCGTAAATGGAATTCACAATACAAATACAATTGAAGCAGCAAAGTTGTTCATTCAGTGCCGTCGTAGATACATTACAATAATATAATTATTAATTTATCAAAAAAAAAAACATATATATATATATAAAGAAGACAGACACACACGCTTGCTGTTGTACACATACACATCGGATCTCTAGGTCTACAAACTTACAAATAATATCTATTTATATACGTATCTTTATGGATTTCTTGCCAAACTTGGTTTACGTTGCCTTGCTGCACATTCTTCAATACGTTTGTTTTTTATTTGTGTCTAACCGAAATTGATATTTCACCTAAGCGCACGCTTTTCAATAGGTTTAATGGGTATGGGTATGGGTATGGGTTTGGGTTTGGGTTTTGGGATTGGGTTTGTGTTTGGAAACCGGTGTAGATGAAGAGCTTTTTGCTTCGGTTTTTTGGCTGGCAGGACGACTTAATCTAATACAGCAAATCGGTCTTCTGTGTACCCTCACTGTACACAACTCCCCCGCCCGGTGTCGCCGTCGGATGATAGTCATCCTCGTCCGCAGCTGAGCCCTTTTTGGAGGCACCGGCACCTGCACCTGCTCCTGCTCCTGCTCCCGCTGCCGCTGCATCCGTCGTCAAGTCGTCCTCCTTGATCAGTGATTCGCCGATGCCCACGATGCTGCCGTTCCCGTTGAACAATAAGCGGCTGCCCGCAGCTCCGGCTGGACTGCTCCCGTTGCTGCTGGGGCTGTGGCTGCCATTGCTGCTCCCGCTGCTGCTGCTCTCGGGCAGGGCGTAGCGGGTGACTCCCAGCTGGAAGAGGTTGTCCATCGGTGAGCCCTTCACGGGCGTGTAGAAGCCCAGTGCCGTGGAGCCTGCAAGGATGCGGATATCAAAATTAGCAATGTTTTCACACAAAACGGGCTAATCCTCGTGAGGATTGGGGGTTAGTACAGCAGTAACAAAGGTGGCACCGAGTTGGGGATATAAATATATATACACATATATATATATATATATATACTTGTATAATCAAGGTGAGGTAAGGTGGTTGTGGTGGTTTCGGCGGTGGTGGTGCTGTGGATAAAGGAGGATCTGGTCTGGATCTTCCCAGGCAAATGAAAAATAAACGGAGATGGAAATGGAAATGGAGATGGAGATGAGCTATGGAACTTGAAGGTTTCTGATGACAAGGATGTGCCAACTGGTTTCTGAGTGTGGGTGTATGTGTGTGTGTGTGTGGGTGTGTGTGTGTTCTAATCTGGGTTAGTTACCTTAATAGTAATATGAATTGGCGATTAGTTTTGTTTGCCCGGCGGAGCAGGCAGAGCAAGTGCACTGGGTTAGAGGTGTGGCATTTCTGTTTTCGCACTTTATTCGGTTATCGGGTTATTTGGTCTTTCAGTTTTTCAGTTTTTTAGTTTTTCAATATTTTTGATTTGATTGTTAATTTATTGCGGTTCGGGTTCAGCAGCTGCATTTAATCGGTTATTCAGTTTTCGGTTGGGTTTATTTTGCCTTTGTTTGTTTATCATAGATATTTTTGGTTTTGGTATACAATAGATATTATTTCAACGCTTTGCTTATGTATTCTGTTACATTTAAATAATATCTGCAAAAAGAAATTAGTATGAACAAAAAAAATAGAAATAGAAACAGAACGAGAACGAGAATGCAACGCAAACAAAACAAAGCGACAGCGGTGAGCTTAACAAAAGGTTGTTGAAATGAAAACCATTGGAGAAATAGAGGGGTTAATGGCGGGGGCTGTAAGCGTAACTAGCTACAATTTCAAATCGCAAATTGCAATTCAATACATGTCCCACAGTGGCATACCAAACTAAGCTAAACAAAGCAAACATACATAAGCGCATCACACATAACTAACGCAAACTCACACGGATGCACAAAAAAAACGCCGAATCAAATGAAAATAGTCACTAACTAAGGTTCTACGATTCGTTTTGGTTTGGTTTAGGTTTACACCTACACTTGATAAACTTATTCGGTTTGTGTTTATAATTTACACTTTAGATTGTTGAAATTAGAGGCATACTAGAATCATTTAACATTTTATTACACCTTTTAGAACCACTCTTTGGTTCATTTAAAATGGATTTAATTAATAGAGTTATTTAACCATTTCCGGTATATATAACATTAAGCTAAAATAAGCTTGTCAATTGGCACACCTTCACCTTATTGCGGATGAGCGGAAATATTTTATAACCAAACCATTTAAAATCTAAATTGGCGTAAATTTGAATAGCTATAGTGGTGAGGGGATTGAATGGCGATTTCGGGAATTTTAATTTAGGTACTATAGAAAGTAGAGACTATAGTTAAGTTTGCACACTTGTTTCACTGATTACAAACGGGAGGGGGACATCAATTTAACAAATTGCTTATTTAGTAACATATTTCTGAGTGGAAATGGCAAGCTCCATCTTTGGAGTGGTCAGCTAGGATGCACTAATCGCTTAATCACTCGTTTGGTCATATATTCCAGTTGATCGCAATCCAGAGCTCCGCATAAACGGCGTCAGTGCATCAGGAAGCATGTTGGCATCTAGGCATCTATGAATCGATTAATCGTGTGTTTCGAGTGTCCGGTTGCCCCAGTGTTTTATTTTATTTTATTTTTTTGTTTTTTTTTTTGTTTGTGTTGTGATTCGTGTGTTGGGAGGTTTGGTGTTTTATTTGTTTTGTGTTCCTGGTTTCCGCATTTGAGTTATTTGTTTTTAGAGTGAGTCGAATGAAAACACGGGGTTTTTAGCGGCCATCAAGCCAGATATTTGTTTGGGAACGGATCGGGGTCACCAAGAGGTATCCAGGGGATGATGGGTGTTCTTTAGCCTAGTTGTAGTAAAACATATATTAAAGCTTGGGCAATGCCTACGTTTCGCTGGCGCTTTCGGTTCGGTTCGGTTCGGATCGGTTCGGAGTTGGAGTTCTGGTGTTGTGGTATTCTGGAGTTTGGAGACTAGTGTGCTATACTTTTGGTGGCCATCAGACATAGTAGAGCGTGGTGCCCGGAATGCGTGCCTGGAGCAGGGCCGAACTGGCATTGGACAAAGCCAGCGACGACGGCAGACTGGGCCGACGACGTCGCTGTTGGGGATCTAGAGCTGGACTCTCGCCACTGCTCCGACTCCTGCTGCCTTCGTTTCTTTCATATTTACTCGGCTGATGCTGATGCTGGTGCTGATGGTGGTGGTGGTGGTGTTGTTGCTGATTCTTTAGCTGATGCTGTTCCTTTGACTGGCGCTGATTGCCCAGTGTAAACGAGGCTGCCTTCCTGGGTTTGCCAGCAGCAGCAACAGCAGCAGGAGGCAAGGATTTGGGTGCATCATCATGCTGCAGGAAGCAGGCGTACTGCGGCTTCAACAGCACCGATGGCCTCGCCCTACGCACCGGTTGTGGCTTCGCCGGGAGCTCGGGGCGCTTGCCGATTGTGGATGGTTCGGTTCTGCTGACAGCTCTGGTGGTGGTGCTGGTGGTGGTGGTTGTGGTGATTTCCACTTCTGTGGCGATTGGGATTGCCAGTGCTGGTGCTGGTGCTGCTGCTACTGCAGGTTCTGGCTGCTGCGGCTGCGACTGCTGTGGCGACTGTGGCAAGATAATACCCCTCCCTAAACTTGGGTAATCTGCAAATATGCGTGGAGGCGAAATTGAAAGCCTTTCAGCCAGAAAAGACCGGTGCACGATTGTTTGCTATTTGGATCACGGTTTTTGGGTTTAATAGCGTATTTTTTTTTTTTCTTTTCATTGTTTTTTTTTTTTTATTTTAGGGTTACAGTTCGAGAGCTGTGACATAGCATATACATACATATTTGTTCGAGTTGATAGAAGAGCAGTGGAATCAGGGATCGGAGCAGGGGGGCAGGGGGGTTGGGGGCATTGAAAGGGCGGCTAGCTGAAGGCTGCACCCACCTGATGCGCCTGGTCAGCCGGCGAAACTGAGCGCCCAGGACCAAGCGAACCTTCGGCCAAGGGCAGCAGCCGTTGCCCGAGGTCCTGGCGCTACATTTGGGAACTGAGACGGTAACGGAAGTTGAGGCTGGAGCGGAGATTGGAGCGGGCTCAGAAACTGATACGGAGACAGAGTGGTCTGTGGCTCTATCCGCATCTGTAAAGTGCAGAAACCTTCATTGATATATATACCCCGAGTTCACTGAGGGATTGGCTTGGCTTGAGTTTGGGTTCTTGGATATTCCATTTCCGCGGGACTCCCTGCTCCTTTACTTATTTTACTTATTTGGAAGTTATGTCCTGCGAATTTCTCTCAATTTATACCTATTTTAAACAGCTTTTATTTGATATATACTGGGCTTAGTTCATTTTCACAAAAAAAAATATAAATAACTCTATTTATTGCACATTATTTGGGATATTTTTCAATGGGTTTAATATACTTTTTTCTAAGTTACTCTAAGAGTAACGGTTCACATCCATGGGATTACAAACAAATAAATAAATAAAAATTGTCATTTAATGAACTAGATTCATTTCCAAACTCGGATGTATAGGTTGTAATTTTTTTTCAGCGAAATAACCCCTACCACTTGGTAGTTGTTGCCTGCATCTCTACGACGTTACTATTTGAATTGCTAATAATTGTTGATTTTGGTGTTGGTGTTTTTATTTGCGATCCCCCCCTCAAGGCAAACGAAAGTGTTGAACTCAAAAACAAAGAGATCGCGATGAGTGATGGATGAGTGGGTATTAATGATGGTAAACAAAACTCAAGAACACAGCTGGTAAATCAAGATTAAGGACAAGGCAAGTAGTGACAGAGACAGAGATAGAGATAGAGATAGAGACAGGCATGGTTGACAGAGACAGAGATAGAGATAGAGATAGAGGTTTATGCAGGCAATTAGGCAGACAGATAGAGACAGCGACAGTGTGAGAGACAGAGATAGAGATAGAGACAAAGACAAAAAGCCATTCCATTCCATTCGCTTGCTGCATGCCACATACAACATAGAGCACACAGCACACAGCATACAGCATACAAAACAACAACACATGTGCAATACGCACGCTTGGATGGATTTTTGGTGGAACCGATATTACTTACCCAACGGTAAATTCCCCAGCATCGTGCCGCCCCCCGCCGCCCCCGCCCTGTGTCCAATTCCAAGTCCATGTCCCGCCGTCGATGTGGGCAGCTCGATGATCTCGTCGACGGTCACATGGTGATGCTGTTGCTGCTGCTGCTGCTGCTGCTGCTGCAGCTCCATCTGGTGCATCTGCTCCAGCTCCAACTGCTGCTGGTGCTGCAACAGGTGCATCTGCTCCGCCAGCAGATGGCCAAATGGATCGGCGTACGGCGGATCCTCGATGACCATCGATGCCTCGGAGGGGTATTCAAACGTCGACGTCAGCGTGTCGTTGAACTGCACGCGGAACTGTGGGAAAATCGAAAGAAATCTGATCAGTGGTCGTTTCGAAAAAATTACTTTCACTACAATGGATTTCATGGATGGGCAGCAGCTGCTCAAATGGTTTCAAAACAAAAATATATCAAAAATGTTCTGCCTAAATATGCTTACCCTTATGTAAAACATAAAAACATTTCATTCTATTAATTAAAATCACTTTGAACCAAAGTACAGAAAAAATTCGCAGTTTGAACATGGCAATATATTCATTTTTGTTTCATTTCTCATTTTAAAACTAAATGTGTTGATTAGTATCTTATAAAACAATCTGCGTTGGGATAACGAGTAATCCAAATATTATTATTTTATTTTAAGATTTTTTTTGGATCACAAATCGTAAAATAATAAGTATTTCGCTAAGTTACTTGTTTACTACACCAAAACAGCTCAATTTGCTTAAGATTAAATCTATGCACTCAGAATGTCTGCTATATAAAGTTCTGTATTCTACGAAAATCATGCTACTTATTGAGTTTCCTTTTAAGCAAAAACTATTTTTAATTTGGCAAAAATGTATGACTTGCTGACATTGGTGATAACAAAACCGATATTCCGGTATTCACTTCTAATCTGGCGCACTTGAAAAAAAAAAAGATAACAATTTGGATATGCGAATGGGATTAAAAACAGAATTTAACCCTTTTGAAAGTCAAGAAAATCAATTAATTAAATAACATTTTAAAATATTTATCAATAAATGTTATTATTTTCTGTGTTTTTATTTTTATTTTAAATTTTGTTTGACGATCAGTGTATAATTTACATAACCACCTCAAGATTTACATTTAGCGGTGTCATCAAATATGTAGCCAAAATCAGTTGGCCATTAAATCTCAAGGTTAGACACTTTGTTGGATCAAAGCTTTGTTATAAATATATTATATTGTAAAACTGATCAATGAAAGACGATGTGTTCGATTTGAATAAGTAATGCATTGGGTGTATGCTTATTTTGGTCACTTTTCAGATGGCGATGAAGGCCTTTATCCGTGACATTGGAGTAATTGCAAATGAACTGTTTTAAAAGCAACTCCCACCCATCGGCACTTACTCATCGATGCCTTATCAATGGCGTATCAATGAGTCAACCCCGATGACTGCAAAAATCGGGCTCCTTATCGGAGAACAAACCCCAAACAGACCGACGCAATTCGATGTGATACGATTGTGAATTGATTTGGAAAACCTGCGCTGCGCTGTGGCTGCGACTGCGTCTGCGGCTGCTGAGGCCAAAGACAATAGTAGTTCCCATATCTGTCATACTGATGGAATGCACCCGAAAAAAATAAAGAACAGCAATAAATAAATAAATTAGCGCCAGGGGAACAAAAAGGGAGGCAAATCCCAAAGTAAGGCCAATCTAATGCGGTTTGATTAATAGTCCCTGGACAGGCCGACACGACACGGTCGATAAATGTTATATAAGGAGGCGAGCATAAATACCGCCATACATTCCCCTTATCGTGGGTCCCCACAATTCAGTTTGTTTGACCAGTTTGGACTGGCACTCGAAAACACTTCCCTCCTTTCCAAAAGAGGCAAATAATCTTATCTTATCCTTTTCACACACACCAAACTGAAATTGGAAAAAAGAACCAGTGCTATCTTTTGATGGCAATAACAAAACGCCCGCCACCTGACTCACTCCCGAGTGGTTTGTTTTATGGTGATCGGGAATCGGGGAATCGGGGACTCGGGGAATCGAGAGTTTGGAGTTGGGATCGAGATTCAGGGGATGCCATACCATCCATACATACCGTGGACTCTTTGGGTTTCTGGCGTATGCTGGACTTGCCGTCAATCACAATGTTGGCATTTTCGAACTCTACATCGCACGGCGATGGCGGGCACATGGAGTAGTCGTCATAGTCCGTGTCCGTCGACGTCTCCACCGAGAGATCGCCTAGCAGCACGAAGCCAGGCTCATTTGGCTAAAACGAGAGATGGACAACATTAATATATGTTATGGGTTGATGTAAGGTTTGAAAAAGTTACATGTGAATATAATGGTATATACATATGTATATAATAGTGGTATTTGTTTTGGCTTTTAGTGTCATGAGAAATTCCTCAATGCTTAAAGCTTTTGGTTGAAAAACCAATAATTTTAGTTTTTAAACATTAAAAACTAAATTATTACAGATAATAAAATAACAGGGTCCTTGAATTTAAAAAAAAACATATTCGTATTATCATTCGACATTCAGTTTACGAAGTTAGATTCGTTGTTTAAATGTTTCTTTAAGTTTAATAAAAAAAAAAAAGTAGATTGGTATTGTTTCTGCAGAAGTATGTACATATTTGCTTTTAAATTATATTCGCCAATAAAAATATTAAATGTCTTTATCGGAAATGTTTTGTTTGTTTTGGAATAAAATTCAGGGTAATGTATGTATGTACATACCAAACAGCCACTTTAGAAATGTGGTATTTATGGAATGTGTATAAAGCTATTTAAGATGTTTTCTGCTGGTTCAGATATTATCGGTTAATAAATGGTATGCATGCCTTTATTTAAGTTTAGCTACCTACAGAAGTTTAAGAACGTCCGTCAACTCTCTTGTTCTCGGTGATGCATAACCCGTTTTTTGGACTTAATTGCTTGTCTCCCGATCAGTTTTAAACAAGGATCACACCCCTTCCACCGAAAATCTGTCCAGTTTTCAGGTCACATGTGTTCGAAAAGTGAAATTCATGGAAACTCATTCTTAATCAGCGTTATGTTATGGGTCATCTGTGACTCACGGCAGGAGTTCCGAGGTCCAAGAGGTTTTTTCAAGTCCACGTCCCGGTTTTAATTTCAGTTCCCAGTCCCGTTCCATGGCATATTCCTCATTCCTCCTACCTCCTACCTCCTTCTCCCCACCCCCCCTTTTTTGGCCCATTTTTTGTGGCACAAATCGGACCCCCAGCCATATGCCATATGCTATATGCCATATACCTATACCGCAGATAATAAAGTTCAAAACGAGATAAAAAAAGACAAGGCAAAGGCAAAAGCAAAAGCAAAAGCAAACACAGTAAGTAGAAGTGAGCCTCAAAAAAGAATTGACAAAATTGAGTTCAGTGGTAGGAAGAGGGCAAAGAGAGAGAAATAGAGAGAGGGAAAAATAGCAACAGAGAGAAGAGAACGGCACAAAGCACAAACAAAACGGGTTTACCAACGGCAAGAAGGCAAGAGGAAAATTCAACCGAACCGAAAGCTGAAGTCTAAAGCTAAGGGAGAGGTATAGAGTATGGAATAGTGGCAGTGGTGTCGGCTTTTCCAACCAAAAATAATTTTAAATATTGATATTTTAAATAAATTTATAATAAACAAAAAACAAATAAAGAAATGTATTTCAAATTTTTGTAATCTTTTCAAAATTTGCAATTTTAGAATCGGTTTAAAGTGCTTTATTTTTAGAAAATTATTGGTTCTTAAAACTGTAATTGGATTTTTTGAGTTATAATATAAAAAATAAACCTATTTATATATGGGAGATTTGGAGTTTTTTTAGTTAATAGTAAAATGGACTTTATATATCTTTAAATATCTTTATTCCTAAAGAAAATTTTTTGTTTTTTTCAAGCTTTAAGATAAACACAAAATGATTTTAGAAATATTATTGTAATAAATTCAAAACTAATAGAGGCAAACTAAACCAAAAAGCTAACAATGCACCACCAAATTAAGGTAACATCAACGTGGCTGGAGAAGATGAAACAGCTGTGAGGTGTAGACCAATCTCGCATTCCATCCCATCCAATCCCATCAAAACCGGCATCCTTCGGAGTGGCTGCTCCCCAAGAATAAAGTTCCCCAACAGACACATAATATCTCATGTGCACTGTGTACACATATCTGTCCGGATTCGGACTTTTGCTGGCAGCAGGAAGCGCAGAAATAGCTTCTCATGTCCACATGCATGCTTCAAAACTGGTTTCCCACTCTTCCGATCTCGAAAACTGCAGCAAAAGAAGAACCCAAAAGAAGAAGGGACCCGAAGACAGAAGACTGCCAGAAGATGAGACTTGCATCTGGCTGGGAACAAAGCAGACTTTGGGAAAGAATATGCAGATATGTGTATATATAATTATATATAGTTATGTATATGCATATAGGAGGGGCATCTGCTCATGTCGCACACGATTCGGGGCTATCGATCGGAGAGCTATTCAAGGCGAATTTTAATTGACTCGAAGCAGAAGATCACAGCGAACTATTCCCAGCTGTGATGCAAGCTTCGATCTTTATTAGGGGTTTGCCATTTCCTAAAGCAGTAGCAGTAGCAGTAGCAGTAGCAGTCATTGATAGAAGATCCCTAATTGATCGGCGATCTTAATTAACTGACTGTGCAATGTAATCTTTGTGATACTTATTTATCAAGAATATGATTTTTCAGCCGACAGGCAATAATTGAGTGATTTAACCAACACACACACTTATCCGGAATCGTTGAAAACCTATGATTATATTAATTCCTGAAATTAACGGATAAATTTACCTAATTAGCTGTGTAACTGTTTATTGTATTAAAAGGATTCTGTAATTAAGCAATTACTAATCTGTTTGATAGGACATATTCTTTTACACCTTCAATATTCTGAAATCTATGGATTTGCTATCTTATGGAAAATGATTTGATGTTTTAAATTACTGGAATGGATCAGTTATTTAATATCTAGAGATCCCTCTTATCAAAGGTAATTAAGGAAGAATTAGTCAATCATCAAGTAAACATCACGTTAATAAACAACGTACGTGAGACGTATGACTAATTTCCCAGAAAGGGGAAGTCAAGATATACTACGTTCTTTTGGAAGAAAGAAAGAGTATCCAAGCTGCGCTTTGTCACTTCTTCACCCGATTCTCTCCACTATTCTCCGCAGTTTCTCAGTTCCGTTCTCGCCCTGCCTTGTTGAACTTTCGAAATGCGCATGATCGCTGTTCTCTGTGTGCTTTGTTTCATATTTGTTTATACGGCATGGCTGCCGTATGACACAAAAAAAAAAAAAAATAATAACAAAAAAAAAAAAAAAAAAAGTACGCGAGAAAGAAACGGAAAATAAACCATAACAACACAAAGATATTGAGGACGGACGAAAGAAAACCAAATTACGATCGGGGAAAAAAATAATTCATGGGGTAATTGTTAAGCATGAATAATCCGCAAGGCTGCCCGCCGATAAGACGATTTGAATGTGACTCTTCCGGGGAAGATTTCGTGGAAATGGGTGGTAGGGTGGGTAAACTGGAGACCCCCGTTCTATGCCCACTCACCTTTGGCAGCTCCCGCTTGCGCCTGTAGATCACAACGTCGCTTTCGATGTAGTCGGGCACCTCCTTGGTGCTCTTGGAGAAGTTGAACACCATCGAGGTGTTCTCCGTGGAATGATGGCTGGAACTGGGTCCCGATCCTCCGCCGCTGCCGCCAGCTCCTCCGGCACCATGGCTCTGGTTCCTCAGCTTGCGCAGTGTCCACAGGGGCGAGGCACTGGCCTCCGTTTCGCTGGTGGCCGCTTCCTTGGTGTTTATCACGGTGTCGAGACTAGTGGTGGGCGAGGATACCGATCCCGTACCCATTCCGGTGCCGGATCCCGCACCGCCGCCTTCTGTGGCCGTCGACTTCTTCATCTCATTGATGCGATTCTTCTCGATCTCGCGACTCGTTAGCGGCGTGCTACCAGCTCCTTGGCTATTGAATAGCGGCCGGATTACACCAATTTGTTTGGTCACCGCTGGCCCACTGGATTCGTTGTTGCTCAGCTTGCGTACACTGGAACTGGTACTGGTACTGGTACTGCTACTCCCGCTGGCTACATGCGCGTTCTCCGTCGAGTCAGCGAATGATCGTTGGGCGCCTCCCGCTGCCGCTGCCGTTGCTGTTTCCGTTGGGGGCTTAGGCTTATCGCCTGCCACCACCGCGCCCATTTTATCGCGTTGCTCATTGTTGTCGCTGCTGTCGCCGCCGTCGTTTTCGTTGTTGTTGTGGCTGTCGTCATCGCCTTCGCCTTCGCCATCGCCCTCATCGCGATCGTTACGCTCAGTCTCGCTTGGTGCCTCGCTCTGCGGTGTAGCCTGCAGCTCCCTTTCCGGCGTCTCAAGATCCTGTAGCTCAATGCGTCGCATCATCACACTCAACGCCGACACGGGCGAATCGGTCTGGCGGGGTATGATGTCCGGATGGGCATGATGTGGGGTCCTTAGCGGCGTGGAGGAGGCAAAACCCATGGTATGCGGCATCGTCGCTGCTGGTTTCTGATCCTTGATGATCGACTTGTAGCTGGCCACCTTGCTGGCCACTCCGCCCACGCCATTCGAACGATGGGCGGCTCGCGGACGCCGATTGGCACTGGCCTCGAACATCTTGAGTGTCTGTTTGACCAGATCCGGTGGCGGCCGTTCGGTGTCATCGATGATGGAGGTTAGGCGCTTGGGCGGCGCCGTATCCGTACCGCTGTGCAGCCGCTCGCGGGCATTGTGAATCTTATCCTCGATGGTGACGCAGGTGGGCGAGGTGACAGGTGAGGGGGTGGCCTTGAGAGCGTGTGGTGCTGGTGCTGCGGCAGCAGCGGCGGCAGCGGCAGTGGTGATTCTCTGACTGTTCCACGGTGACTTCTCGCAGAGTAGGGCCTCCACGGATCGGGCCCGCTTCATCACCTCGTTGCCGCGCTTGAAGTGACGCGATCGATTGCCCGAGCCTGCTCCTCCTCCCCCTCCTCCTCCTCCATTGGCTATGACACCTGGTTGGTCTCCATCCGAGGTCAGGGGCGGCGGGTTAACAGCTGATCCTCCATTGGAGGAGCCCAGGCTCACGGGACGTTGCTGGCTGCTTGGTTTCGGTGTTGGTTTGGCCCCCAGTATGGGTGGCGGTGTGGATTTGGCACGCACCTGACTGACCACCTCCGGCTCCTCCACTTCCACCTCGTCGTCATCCCGGTCCAGCAATGTGTTAAGGCTGGTGGAGCGCTGGAGGCGTTGCTTGCTACTCTGCTGGCGGGACTCGCGGAGCGCGAGGCTCAGATAGCGGCAGCGCAGCTTTGATACAATGCCGGGCCCGTAGCTCAGGTCCTCGCCAGTGTCGAGTGAATCTGGAACGGGGTTTGGAGCATCCACATCTCCGGTGGCCACCGATCCGCTGCCAATTTTGCCCGCTAGATGTCGGTGCTGGCCATTTTGTTTGGTTGTTTTCTTCATCTCTTGCATGGCGACCATTGTCGGTTTTACCGTTACCTTCGTGGGTGACAGTTGTTGTTGCTGCTGCTGCTGCTGCTGCTGTTGCTGCTGTTGTTGTTTTTGCTGCTGCTGTTGTTGCTGAATGATGAACTTGTTGCTTTGCAATTTATCGGAAATGCTCTTGGTCTTGCAGCTCTTGCTATCGATGGTGGTCTCTTTCGCTGAAGGCTCGCCCTCAGCAACGCTCTGTCCCGGTTTGCATTTCGTTTTCAAATGGTGTTGGTTTGGGCTTGAATTTTGATTTGCTGACGACGACGACGACGCTGCTCCAATTGTGCCAGTTTCAACTTCACCACACCGGCTACTCACCACAGCCGGCGGGTCGGGTTCGCTCTCCCTCTCCTTCTCTGTTTCGCCGCTCTCGTTTGATATCTCCATCTCTTTCTCTTGACTTCTTGTGTTGAGTCGTAAACTCGATCGCTGCTTTGGTATGGGTGTTACGGTTGTTGTTGTTGCCGCTTCGGGCGAAAGGGAGACGGCAACAGCGGAGTGATGACCTCCAGTGGAATTGGAATTGGTATTGGAAATAGAAGATTTCTCAGACTTTTCCTCAGAAGCGTTCATATTTCTCTTTTGACTAGTGCTACTGATTGTAGCCGGTTCCATTTGGGGTTCTGGGGGAAAGTCAGAAAACAAAACACAATTATTTAAAAAGCAATGCAATGTTTTGTTACATTCCCGCAGTCTGACAACTCTGGTGGCTATCGATAACCAGATATCGATACTGCGGCGGCCAATTTGAAAGTTTTCCATTTATTGAAATCGTAACAGTTGGCAAAACGAATTAAAAACACTTATGTTACTCATGGGTAGTTAAATGCCAGCTGAGCAATTGCAAATTGCATAAGTCACAGCAAGTCTTTTAAATACTTTCAATGTGTTTTGCAAAAGAATTGATTTTTTTTTTAATTTTTTTTAAATTAGTTAACTATGTCTTGCACATAATGCCAAATCTCGAATTTCGGATCAATAATTTCGGAGATATAGGCTTCGAAAGTAGTGCTCTTTTGACCATTTAGCCTGAAGCTAAAATACTTTTTTTACTTTATGAATATAAAAACTAAGCTTTTAGAATCGTTTTAATTTTACCTATGTATTTGAAAAATTTCGTTTTAAAAAATTTTAAAGGTTGCAAAACATGAAAATTTTTTTTACAGTTTACAGTTTTTTTAAACGAGAATTTATCAGTATTGAACTAAGCAAACTGTATCTGTGACTTTAAACAAAAAGTATAAATCGATTTAATACAAAAAAAATATTAAAAAGTGGTCCTTGTTTTCGAGTTGCAACCCCTTCAGTTTTCAATATCATACATTTACATATCTTAAAAATTTCTTTATATTTCATTTTGATAAATATTTTTATTATATAAAAAAATTACAACTCGAGATTGCATAGGAATATGAATGCTCTTTTATTCAAAATTCTTTTAAAGAAATACTTGTCTTAAACACACCTCTAATTTGCAAGTTGAGTGAAAGTATTCCAGTCGTCTAACCACCACTCACCTGTGATTGTACCTGAAGCGGCGGTGACTTCCGCCGAAGCCAAAGCCCCACAACTGCCATCGGTGGGCGAGGTGATGGACGCCGCCTGGGTTCGGGCCACGTTTGTTTTCCGGCGCTGGATGAGGTCCTTTTTCCACTGCGGCATATCCGGCAGGAATCCGGAAGTGGGCGACATCTCAGCTGCAACTCCAGACCCAGATCCCGCAGGTCCAGCTGCTCCGGCTGCCGATCCTGCTGCCACATCCGTGAGTAAATGCAACGAGGGCCGCTTCTGTGACTCCATTATCCCCGTCTGCAAGAGGCATTATACGGAGCATTAGTGCATGTCAGTCGTATCCGTAATCCCCTTTATAAAATGCCAGCAGCCCTACATCTCGACCCAAAGACCAAGTCCGGCGAACTGACTACCTCGAAGCTGGTGCCGATTGCAAATGCCCGATGCCCAAGCTCCTCTACAAAGCGAAGAGGCGAGCATTGCCGACCCAAAAGATTGGCCAACCATGGAAATCTCAGCCAATTGAAACTAACTCATGATTCCCTATTTATATGACCATGCCAGATTTTCAAAAAATTCAATTAAAGGTATTTCTGTTTTGAGGGAGTTAATGCACTTTTGGAAAACAATTAAATATTTTTTTTAATGAAGTAAATCGGCTTTATAAAAGAATGCATTCTTTATCCAGTGGTTTCATTTTTTTTACTATTTCTTTTTTGACAATTGTTTAAAAAGGGATCAGGGTAAGAACTTTCATTTACATCTCTTACAAATTTCTTAAATTTAAATTCATAATGAAAATAAGTCACTGAAAATACTTTTAGAATAAACCACAACATCAAATACATTTTTTAAAGGAAAAAAACAAAAAACTGCTTGACTTATTCCAATACATTACATAATAATAAATACCATTTATTTGATAAAATTCGAAAAGCACGTTTACTGAAAAATTAAATTATTATTTATTTTATATCAATTTTAGCGATTTTTAAATAAATTTAAATTTTATGATGTATCAAAGATTTCTAAAAGTTTACAAAATTCCATAGAAAACTAATATTTTGGTCTTAGTATTATCGACCATTTAGACATTTGGGTTTAAATCACATAAAAAGGATTTTTTAATTAAAAACTGGAGTTTTAGGTGGAAAAATTTATATTTGAAAATTTTTAGGGAATCTTTAAAAACGCTGTGAATAAAATCAGGGTTTGAAAAATTTAATCAAAACTTGATTTCTGGATGTTAGGTGATCTAAAATTCGTGATGTCCAGGGCTTTTAGAGTTTTATTTTTCTTAATTGGATTAACTGCTGTTTTTACAGCCCGGCAGCACAACAAAACGTAAAACAAAGGTAAGAAGCAAAGAAACCCCAATATTTTTCCAGCATAAATATGCTAAACTGCCATAATGAGCGGAAAATGCGATAAAACCGAATCGAGGCAGGGAGAAGCGGGGAAACCGAACTGAACGATTCTTCTTATTGTTTCTCTGAAATTGATTGCATGGCTAGAAATGTTATTGTTGGAATTGTTTTTGTTTCTTCAGCTTTGCTTTTGCATACCGCGATAAAAATTATTATTTTTAATTCCTCATATCATATCACTGCCGGTGTGAGTGTGTGTGTGTACGCATTTCCACGACTCCGACTGAGAAAGTGTGAGTGTATGCAGGGGTGGGTGAAAAGGGGGAGCGATAAAAAGGGGCTGCAAAATGCAGACGAAGCATAAAATAAACAACCGACGACGCGCTATCGATTTTTACGGCAAGCTGGAAGAACTCTGATACGATACACACAGAACAAAAATACGGGAGGCTATGCCAAATTAAAAATTAAGGAAACTAACAGAAACGATATTGAAGATGTAGAGCCGGGTTTTGTTTATTTACACAGGAACACCAACACGAGTAAACACACATATGCACTTAAACACACTGTCCCGTTAGTTGTTGGCTTTTTGTTTTTCTCGCGTTTTCATGGAAACCTTATTCTGAATTCCTTACTTTTGAAACGTTGCAGTGATGCTGGCTCAAAAGCGGTGGTTGGTTTTGTTTTCAGATATTCGCTTATCTGTGTGTTTTCCCCCGCCTTTGACACTTTTTTTTCCAAAATCGCTCTTTTCGCTCTTCTAGCTCCGCGCACTTTCCAAACTGCACTTTCCCGACTGCAACTCGAACTCGGGGGCGTGGGTGCACTCGCTGCGCCTCAAAAGTGCATCTTTTGCAGCCGAATCAGCGGAAAAATCTACATTAAGTTAAGCCGCGTTTCCAATACACAAATACCGCCTATCGATTGTGCGCGCTATCGAGCGCACCATCGATAGGTGTCGGCAGAGTTGCCAGCCCGGCTCTGTCTCGCAAAATCGAGCGATTTTACATTTTTACAAGCAACATATTTATTTTTTTTATGTTATTTATAAAATTTTTTTTATATTAAAAATATTAACAACAAGGTTCTGTGCTTTTGAAGTGCAGCTGAAAAAAAACAATTTTTTTATGATTGGCTAACTATTTATTTATTTTGTACGACTTTTCTGTTACAAAACTTGTTATTTGAGCCTATTTTTGAGACATATAACTTCAAATGTGTATAATGCTTTTATATAAATTGATATACAATTTCTTATTTTTGAGAAATTCGTGCAGGGACAAAGCATAAGCAAAGATCTTGGATTAATGAAATTAAAAAGTATACAGTCCTTCTTTCGACCTTTTGTAAATGCTGTTTTTTAACTACAATTTTATAGCTATTTTTCCATTTACCGTTATCATTGGCTTTCAGTGATATCTGAGTGGCAACGCCACAAGCTGACGATCCGATAGTTTTTTGTTATTGCGACGGATAAACAAAGTCTACATTTATTTACTATTTCTGATACAAAATTAATAAAGCAAGACTTACATTTATATATTTGTTTTTTTTTTGTTTTTACCGGTGGTGTGAACAATTTCCTAAGTAAATATAAGTAGTTAAGGACATGAGTATAAACTGGATAAAGATCACGGAAAGGTAAGTGATTATGCTGTTTAAAAAACAACAGACCCTGGCACCTAAGAATCTGATATTTTTCATTAATTAGAGCCCGCGAGGGCATCAAAATCATAAATGCCCTGCCGTACGACACTTTCACCACAGTTTTGTGGTACACCCACCGGCAGATGAGTCCCAGTGGAGCGTCTGGAGCGGCGACTAGTGCCACCAGTACGGTGGGCACCAGTGTCACGACCACCGGACGGGCGGACAGCAGTACCGAGGAGAATCCCACCAGCAGCAGCGAGCCGGAGTACACCCTGGAGGAGCTGGAGCGACTGGTGGGCGTGCCGCGGTCTGACTTCCTGCTGCTGATCAAGACCTTCTCCTACATCCTGCGACGCATCTCCACGTTCATCATCAAGCCCAGTCTGCTGCAGCGTGAGCTTCGCGAGAAACTCCAGCTGGAGGATGAGGCCAAGATCGATGCCATATTGCGTCTGTGGGTGCGCGAGACGACGCCCATTATGAACAATCTGGCCAGCAAGCGGTACGAATCGAATGTCATCGAGGATGTGGCCTGGAAGCTCAATTTGGAGGTGTCCTCGCACTGCCAGCAACGGGAGAAGACACCGCTGGGCGTACTCCAGATGAAAACGGGCGCTGGAGAGGATATCAACATCGAGATGACCCATCCGGAACTATTGGAGCTGTACAACCAGTTCGAGAACATCCAGGGCGAGCTGGACGCCATGCTAGCCATGAAGGCTCAAGATGCGGCAGTGACAGTTCCTGGCAATCAGTAGTGGGACGCCATGAAACACTTTCAGTGCCAATTTAGTTGATAATCTAATACCTGTTCAGAAATATGGACCTAAAAGTATGCAATACTAACACGATAGTAGCCAAATATTAAACGCATTTTAAAACAAATGGGGAAGATTTTTCCATTTTCTGGTTAAATTTCTGATCGTAGCCAAATGTTAAAAAGAGAATATGCAAGCTGCTCTTAGTTCGGAATTATTAGTGCTTTTTTGTTTTTATTTATAAATAGGTTCTTTAAAGAGAGTTCATTCAATTCCAATTAAGAATAGCAAAAAATATGGATTTTGTAGTGAAAAAACACCGCAATTTATTGAATTATGCTATATTAATTAATAAAACGTTATAAAAAGATGTATATGCAATATTGAGTTCTTATTTAAATTTTGATAATCATGTATTTATTTTAGTTTAAATTTTTAAGATAACTAAACCATATAATGGATGGTCAACAGGGCTTGAACTTTGAATCGGTGAGATTTGCGAAAACTCGAAACAATAAACACAACACTATATATAGATGGACGGACTCCTAATCTTAATACAAAAGTAATGCTTGGCCATAATCTGACATCGACTACGAAAGAAATGATAAGCTGGCTAGATTTCTAAATTCAATTGTAATGCTAATCAGCTTGGACAGTCATATATAATCGTAGAGTACCTTTGAATCTATAAATAAATAGTTGGGGCTAACTAGTCCTTGTAATGAGCTACTGAATGGCATTTCATAAATAAAATATCAATAACAATAATGAGTAATGAGGGAATAAAATGGTTTCTTTACCACTCAGATTTTATAGAGAATTCAATACATATTTTTAAAAAAGATATATTTCAAAGACTTTAAATTTTTAAAAAAATATAATTTTTTAGTTATAAATAAATGTTTTTGCTAACTTAAAATAAAAACTTTTGTCTTTTAACTTGAGACTCCTTTAGTTTGGTTTTACAATTTGGAATATATCAATCTTTATGCTTCAAGAATTCGTTGTATTTTATAAAGGTTTACATGTATGATAATTTTCTGACATTTAGAATGATCTCTTTAAGAGACATATATTCCTTGCTGTACAGGATGATCTCATGAAATGCGTGTACGAAATTATATTAGATTGGATTCGCCAAAGCCAATGGAACCCATTCGGTGTAGGGCAGCGGGAGTTCAAAGAACCAACTTTAGAGAGCGCTAAGTGATCCGCTAGTAGTTTTCGTCCAGACCTCGACCACAATGGACATCTTGCTGGCTAAATGGACGCAATCCGGGGATTTCCTACAGGACCGATGGCTTTCACTGCTGGACATCGTGGGCGAGGATCCGTGGCGCCTGTGGGTGGTGGGCAGCACGATTGTTATCTTCGCCGTATATTGGCTGTACGCGGGTATCTTTACGCTGATGGACATCACAAACCGGCCGCGATTCTTGCGCAAATACAAGATTCAGCCGGGCCAGAACGAACCGGTGGATCTGGCCAAGCTCTGGAATGCCATCAAGATGGTGCTGGTCAATCTAACGGTGGTTAACTTTCTGGTTTGCTGGGTGGGCTACGAGCTGATCTACAAGACGGAGAACAGCGGTGATGTCCGGGTGCTGCCCACCTTTAGGCGATGCCTGCGAGATTTGGCCGTCTTTGTGGTCCTGGAGGAGATCATGTTCTACTATGCCCATCGCCTGCTGCACCACAAGTCGGTGTACAAGTATGTCCATAAGAAGCACCACGAATGGACCGCTCCCATAGCTGCCATCACCTTGTATGCCCATCCGGTGGAGCATGTGGTGGCCAATCTGCTGCCGGTGGCCACCTCCATTGCGATCCTGGGCACCCATGTGTCCCTCGCCTATGTGATCTTCGCCCTGGCCATCGTCAACTCCATGAGCGACCACACTGGCTATAGCTTCCCGTGGTCGGCCGGATCGGTGCGGTTCCATGACTACCACCATGCCAAGTGGGTCTCCCCAAGTGTCCTTCGTCTTCTAAGCATTTTCATTGGGATTTTCCTCCTTCTTCCAGGTTCAACTACAATTACGGCGTACTCGGACTGCTGGACAAACTGCATGGCACATATCGCACACCCGGAAAGCAAAAGGGTCTTGTCTCAAGGACAAAGAGCAAGCCCAGCAGAAGGAAGACTAAATAATCCTTTTATTTACTTGTTTTTTTGTTTTTATTTTTATTTTGATTCCTTTTTTTTTGTTTTGGTAGAAATACCAAAGCTAGTCCCCTCAATGTTATCGGTATTTTTTGAAAAAATATATTCAAAATATTTAAAATTCGATAAGTTTTTTTAAATTGTTAATTTAAAATTTATCTATAAAGAAAAATAAAAAAAAAGGTAATTAAAAATAACATTTTTCACTTTAAATGATAATACAACCCTTTTTTAAATAAAAAAAATTTGATTATCCATAAATTTTTGCGGGAATATAATAAACACCGAACAGATCAATTTTTTAAAAGATTCTCTTGACTTTATTATCAGAAATCAAAATAACTTAGTGTAATGTAAATGATACTAAGTATTAAAAAGTTTGAAAGAAGAACTTTAAAAAAATGAAATAACAAAATTAAGTCTGATTAATATTTAACTGAACAGCTTATTTTCTAATACTGATTTTGATAATATGTTATGTTTTGAATTCAGTTTCTTCAAAACTTATACCAATACTATTATCATTTGCATTTGTTCAAGCAAACGTAACCAACTTACTTTTAGCATTAAATATTTAGTTATTAGTTGAAATCCATTATTGAAAATTTCATGTTATATAAAAAAGGGTTTTTTTTATTAATATTTTGGTGTGCCAAAAATGTTTTATTTTTAAGAATTAGGTATATGTACTTGTGAAAAACTTTGGAGCCAAAATGCGTAGACCCTAAAACATGTCAAAATGACATATAATTACATATAATTTGAGACCATCCTAATGTTCATATATAAGACAATATTTAGCATTGTTTCCTTTTTTTTTATTTATTTTATTTTCTCGTGAGTACCAGGTATGCATATCCTTCATCGCCCATCCCTATGGTTTTTTAGAGAATCAAAATAATAAGCAAAAATACCAAACACTTTTCGGTATATTTCGAAGGAGTAATAAAGTTAATCAAACGCGGGCACACCGAGCGAAATTCAGCGCAGCGCAGCAGAATCGACGTTACCATTATTTCTGATCAATTAAACAATTGGAAAATCCGGCCGCAGATCGCGAAGTGTTTGTACCGCCCCCACCACGCCCACAGCTGCCCACGCCGCCACGCCCCCTGGCGCGGGGTCATATCGATAGAGAGCGCTGTGTGTGTGTGTGTGTGTGTGTGTGTGAGGCAGAAGAGGAAAAAAAAAAACGCAGCGAAAAGCGATAAGAAACAGAGGAGCACACTGGAAAAAATTGCGATAAGCAGTGGGGCAAGCGGAAATTGCCAAGATCCTGGAATGGATTAGGGGCACCATTTGGGTTGTGAGGTTAGCCAACAGTGGGATTAGGATCACGATCAGGATCAGGAGCAGGAGCAGACCACGAGCAGCCATGTCGTCCGCCGTGAACATACAGATCGTCTCCATGCCGAACCTGGCCAAGATCGAGAGCTTCCTGAAGGACGTAAGCTACCGGGAGACGATCGAGTACAGCGCCAACTTCAACACGCGTCTGTGCATCGAGCGGCGCCTCCGGCTGCCCTTCCTCGATCCACAGACGGGCGTCGCCCAGAATCACTCGCAGCTCTTTCTGGACAAGCGGCAGCGGATGCCCGGCTTCCGTCAGGGCCAGATCTACACCTATCCGGCTGCCCGGTGGCGGAAGAGCCGCCGCCAGTACTTGAGCAAGATGTACAGGTGAGGATTCCACTGGGGATTCTGCTCGGGATTCGGGGGTACCAATAGGTTAGGTCTACGGTTCGATGTTCAACTCATGTGTTCCAGATATTTCCGCTTTCAAACCATTCAAATTTCACTTAAAGCTACGCTTCGCAGCTGAAATCTAAAGAGAACTTTAATGAAACGTAATCCTCTTGGGATTTCTGTCGGAATTCTGGGTTATATTGATAATGCTTATGCTTAACTAATGTACTCCATAAAGTTCCGCTTTCAAACTACTCGAATATCTGTTAGGAGCCAAAATTGTTTTCGAAGGTGCACTTAAGCCAGTTATAGTCACGTTTAAAACCCGGTAAAAACCCAGTAATGAATTTATAGACCAGATAAATGGGATATATCATACTAGAATTCAGTCGGTGATGTATTCTATTTAGTTCCGCTTTTAAACTAACTTTAATATTACTTTAAGTTACTAAGGAGCAAATAAACCCAAGGAAAACCATGTTCAGGTTTGGGTATAATCGATGCAAATATTAGTTATAGTCACTGGAATCCAGAAAAGACTATTAACCTTCTTAACCAAAATGATGGTATCCCAAATGACACACCTGCTGTGATACTAGTTCAAAAGATGGATAACGATAAGGAAACCTATACATATATAGTGCGTAAAGGGTTCCAGATCGGATGGCCCGAACATAAGAAATATGCAAATAAATTTAGAGCAACACATGCATTTATACATTTTTGTTTATGTCATCCAGTTCGGATAGTCTGAGCCTTGGAAATAAATAAATAAATTTGAGGAATACGCCATTCAATCTCTGCCGTTGTTGATTTTAAGAGAAAAATTCATTTAGCTTAGTCATAACCAGTAGCAATTAGACCAGTTCCATGAATATAACCCTGCTGATAAGACATTTCCCATCCCTACAGTCGCTTTCCGGAGCGCCCTTTCCAGGCGTTGCGCAAGGAACACGAGGCTCTGGTGGCCAGCGGCGTGAATCTGGGACTGAGCAGCCTGCCCAGTGGTGGGGGACCTATGCCCGGCACCACCAACCTGGCCAGCAGTTCCAACCTGACGCTTAACATGCTCACTGGCGGCGGAGCAGCGCCGGCGGTCCTGGGTTCCCTGCACAGCGACACTGCCCACGATTTCAATGGGGCCTTCAGCCTGGAGGAGTCCAGCTCGCTGGGTGCCGCCGGCGGTGATACCTCCGACAGCAAGGACAGCCAACAGCAGCAGCATCAGCAGCAACAGCACCAGCAGCAACATCAGCAGCAGCAGCAGCAGGCCGTCAAAGAGGAGCAGCTGCCCAAGGAGTGGTTCTACGACGAGATGGACATGAACGATGTGGACTCGCTGGAGGAGCCAAAGTCGCCGGCGGACGATGAGTACGACTACGATCCGCGCTACGGCAACAAGAAGCGGCGCAAGCGGCGGCCAGGCAAGCGAGGAGGAGAATCAGGCGGCGGCGGTGGCGGTGGAGGCGCCAGTGGTGTTGGCAGCTCCGGCGGTGGCTCCAGCTCACGGAGACGAAGTGCCGCGGTCAGGTCCCGCATCACCATGTCGGATGCGGCGCTGGACGCCTCGCTGGAAGCCATCGAGTCCGGTGAGAGTGTGCCGGGCAGCAATGGCGGCCTGGTCTCCAGCGGTGGCATCCTCAGCAGCAGTCTGGGAGCAGGCCTCGGAGCAGGAGTCTCGGGATCGGGTGGAGCAGGAGGAGGTGCAGCTGGTGCAGCCTCGGCCAACAGCCGGCGATCCCGGGGAGCGGGCACACGCGGCAGGCGACGAGCCAAGGGACCAGGCGGTGCCCCCGGAGTTGCGTGTGATCCGACAAGCCCCGGCGGCATGGTTATAGAGCCACCATCCTTCGAGAGTGCCGCTGCTGCTGTGGGCGTGGTCGAGGACGCGAACGCCCATCTGCGCAACTATCGGAAGTATCTGTAACCGCCCGCTCTTTCAACAACTAATTTTTCGTGTAATCAATCAGTCCCCCCTGTTTTCGCATTGTTTTCTCCGCCTATCGATCGATCTATTTTTCGCACCTAATTTAAAGCTAGTTTTTAAGCCTTAGTTGATTACTGTTGAACACCCCTCCACGTCCCCCCCAAAAAAAAATTATGGAAATTAATCAAATACATTGTGGACCAGGAATAAAAAAAAAAACAGGATTAGGATCGCACCAGGCCGTAGCCAATACAGTTCCCATGTTTCGCCTCTCTTAACTTTACGTTCCCATAGCCAATTGATTGTTGTTTTTTGAACTACCCATAGACTGGCGAGCCTATCTTAAAAGTGTATATCAACAAAACCGAAAAGGAAGTAGATCGATTTAAAAATTTCCAAGGAAAAATACATACAAATACATAATTGCACACTTAGCTAACTTTTAGGCATTTAAAAACCATCATATCAAGTCAAACAATGAATTAGTTAGCGAACAATTTAAATGAAAGCATTAACAGCGTGTAAATTTAATAGATTCTAAACTTCAAGGCATTTTCAAAAATATTTCATTTAGGCAAACGAATGGCGTTGAATTCTTAATTGGTTTGAATATCTTAACAAGTATATTATATATATATTATTGACTACATTTAAATCATCTTTGCAAAAAGAATCTGAAATAGCTCCTTGATTTAAGTGTGCAACTAAAAAGTTGTAAATCTCTATGCCTTATTTCCAAAGTTTTCTTTAGAGAAGTTCGCCAGTCTAAGACATTATATTGTACATTTTATATATATATGAGTGTACAGGCATTATATATATTTACATGCATTATATTAGCGAGTCTACTTAAACCTAGTCCACCTTTTGGACTGGCTCTCCACCTAATCGCAATCTCTCGGTTTCTGTTGCTGCATGTTCTATTCAAACTACTATATTTCCCTCGCCCACATATACTATTGAATTTTTTTTTTATTTAACCGAAACTTTAGTTAAAAAGGAGACAATTCAAATTGTAATCTATTTAGGCAAGTGGTAGGGTATTTCTAGCAAATAGAAGGAAGCTAAAAAACACTTTCGTAAAACCAAAATTTTTTCTCTAGGATCATAATTTTTAAGCTGAGCTGAAAACGGAAAACAAATTTTAACAAACTAAACAAAAAACAAAATTAAAACAAGATCAAACAAACAAAACAAAAATCGTGTACATTTCGAAAAATCAAAGTCCACAAAATTGTAATATTTGAGCGGCAAAAATCACACAAAAACCCACATGAGAAGGCAAAAAAAAAAAAAAAAATGGAAATAGGTTTCTAAGATGTTTTAATATATTTTGTAATAACAAATGCGCAGTGTTTTTCTTGTTGTTTTGGCAAACATAAATTGCACCCAGCAAAGGCAAAGGGTATTCTCAATGGTCGGTTCCTCGAGAGGATTTACCAACCATCGTTCATCAGGCTCTATTGCTGGACGATTTTCTCTGGAAAACAACTACTTCCTGCGTTTGGGACTGCTTGAAGATTCATCTGTGGACGATCTGGTGGGTCGCTTGCGTTTCTGGCTTGTATGTGGCTGCTCCTCACTGTTATCCTTTTGGGTTTTGTCGGTTTTTGCCGGCTTCCTCTGGGTTTTTGGCTGTCTCTTGCTCTTGGTTTTGGGCAACTCCTTGGATGGTTTTTCCTTCTGTTTCGCATTTTGTAAATTTTATTACATTTAAATTTATCTTTATATAAAATAGTTGTACTCGCACTCTACAATTAAACATTTTTTGGGGTTGATATGTTTTTTTGTTGATTTACTTGTTAATTTATGTACCCCTGCAGCTATTACAAAAATTCTATAAAACGACTTTACTTCGTTTCGTTACGTTATACTTATTTAAACAAAGAATCTATGTTGATTTGTCGCTATAATTATAATTCGGGGATTACTTGCCTCTTGCTTCTTTAAATCGATTTTGGGTGGCTCCTCCTCGGATTTCTGTTTCACAACCTCCTTCGATTCGGATTTAGCTGGCTCCTTCTTTTTGGATAAAGCCTTTCGATAATACAAAACATTAGTTGATTTCCGTAAAACATTCTGGGCTTCACCTACCGTATCCTCCTTTAAATCGATTTTAACTGACTCCTGCAAGGATGGATCCTTGGATTTCTGATTCTTTTGGGATTCACCATCCTGAGGGTCATGCTCATTGGAAAGATCCGTGTTCTGCTGCTCCACACCCAGAATCGCATTGATCCGATCGTATACATCGTCCACAGTGGGAAACTTGAGAGCACGCGGTGGCCCTCGCTTTAGACCCGACCAAAGCGGCACCTGCTCCTGCGTTCCCCGTCCCGCGTCCAAACTCAACTCGAAGGCGCCTCGGCGTGGTGCCCCGGCTGCATTTAGGCGGAGTTGCAGCTGCCGGAGACCACGCTCCCGGAGGGCAGCGTGAAGCTCCTCCGCTCGACGCCCAAAGACGCGTCAGGATCGGCAGTGCTCCACGTAAAGCACTGGTTGCGAGGGATCTAGATCATCAGCTACATCCTCCACAGGTGCCGGCTTCTAAAAATCGTCACATTTATGCCTACAACTATTGGGAAACACAATATTCGCAACTTACCGCCGGTTTTTTGGCACGTTTCGGTGGCATGATTTTAAGAAAATTGCGCCTTTGAATGGCGGCAGTGTTGGAAAGCAATTATGTCCAAACTTCCAATAAACATCGATAGGCGAAAAACCAAAGTCCTGTTATCTAATCGATTGTCTCGTCAATACATCGATATCAGCATCGGTGTGGCATCGATGTTTCCCCACCTCTGGTGCACAATTGAATTCTATCCTCGGTACGGAAAAAATCTTTTAAAATGAAATTGTTATGAAGAGTATAAATTATAAGCGCATAATAAATGGAAGTTGACGACAACGTGTTTTGTTGTTTTAGTTTGGTGCAGTAATGTAATGCATATAACGTATGTACACGCGCATTGCCTGATGAGTCTGCTATGTAGATGGTTTTTGTTTGTTGGGCACTTCGTATGAAAAGGAATGAGTGGTTGTGATAATGATTCATTGCAGATGAACAGAACACAATCGAGATTTGTGACTCCAGCATTTCGTATTTCTCCCGCATGAAAGGCAAACGCCTTCGTTTCGTGTATGTATGAACAGAACGGAAAAGAACAGAACAGAAAAGAAAAGAAATGAAAAGAAAGGAAAGGAATGGAACCGAATGTGTTCGGCTCGTTTTGCAAAGGGCTCAGCCAAAAGTTTGTGTGTGTCGCTCGTATAAATTGCTTGTGTTTTAGATAGCTGTGATGTACAAGAGGGTGCAGTCGCAGTCCCCAGTGGGTAAAAAACGACACATAAACGGATGTACGACTTACACCGCCACACCACCCCACCCCACCCCTATAAGTAACGGGGGGGGGTAAGATAACTTCGCAAACCCCAAGTTTAGCCCGACAATAGCTGCCCCAAAGTCGTCTATTTTGACTAAAAACCCAAAATATCCTGAAAATGTCTACACATATCAACTCCTCCCGGCGATGCCGATGGGTAATATGTATGTACAGTGGCTCACAGCTTATTTTCTACAGATCTAAAACTCAAATTAACAGTGGTATAGATAAGGAATTCAAATTGTTACGGGGAAAATGATACTAATTTTTGGTTCCTTTACTTTTCGGTAAAGAAATTAATTTTATTAATTATACAAAAGATAGAAATCAAAAAACATTTATTTTTGAATGTCGTTGCATACATTTTTTATCCCATTGTTTTCAAGATTTAATTCGATATAATATGATAAGATGAAGGAACAATTGACAGCTGATTACAGAAAGCCAGTTGAAGGAGAATAAAAGGCACTTCACGGTCGTAAACAAAGCTAAATCAGCTGAGGCAATCAATTCAACCCTGTTTTTTTTATTTTTTTTATTTCAGCGCATTTCTAGTTCGCATATGGTGTGAAAAAAGAGACAATGTACGTCGAGTAACTATATTTTAAAAATTGGCCACGCCCACAAATCGCGACATTCTCTGGCAGCCCCATTTTTGATGGTAGAGACAATTATTTGGGCGACATGTCAATATATGTTTTCCAAATCAGATAAAACTTCACAAGTTATTACGAATTTAAGTATAGAGCATCATTGGTGAATGATGTTAATGTCCGCCATCTGTTGGGAAACTTGGAAAACATGTTCATAAAGATTTAATTATTTTGAAATTGGTCATCAAAGTAACTTCTTAAATTTTCTGTTTCTCGGATGTGAATATCAAATATTCTTTTCGATATGTCCACTGTCATGTTGTTTGATGACTAGATTCTTACTCACAAATTCAAATAGTTACCATATGATTCCTTATTAGCTGGACTATATAACATTTGTTTGTGAGGTTTGCACTTTGCCACCGATTGTCTTCTGGGTTCCATAACAGAAATGGCGAATAATATGAATTTATGGTAAGCCACTATGTAAATTGTTCACTTTGTCTTTAGAAATTTCCCAGTCTTCCCTTTATTTTTGGAAGAAGTCATTTGTCATTCCCCTTCATGAAAAAAGTAAAACAAATCAGGTACTATTTAAGTATTTTTAAGCTGTGTTCTATCTGTAAAGATTTTATGATAATGCAACACCTTTGTATCTAAGTCAACATGAATTTATGAAGCCCAGATCAACAACATAACTTTTAAAGCTTTATTTATTTATTCGCAAATCATTTCATGTTATTTACTGGCTACTATTATATAATCTTAAGACAATATATGAATATTTATAAAATATTCGGAATGGAAATTCGTTCGTAATTACTGGTTTCAAAAACAATAATCAAACCGATGTTGATTTTCAAAACTAAGATTTGCGTGAGGTGACAAGTTCTTAAATTTATATGTAATAGAACATCGATTCTGAAGGAACATAAATTCATTGGGAATACGGCGATCTCTTAGCAATTTGTACGGAATCAAATGATTTTGACAAAATCTGTAGATTATTGAAATAAAGTATTAGGGTTTGTTGGAGTTGATCGGCGTTTCATAAATCCGTGTTCTGCTGAGGACATTGAGCTGCATTGGTGCTCAAAAACAACTTAATAAGTTCTTAAATGATTAAATTATTCATAATGTAGATACGCATTTAAGTAATCTAATTTGTTTTTCTTGCAGTTCCACACATAATCAGCACGAAAAACTCAATACAATCACCAAAGCTCCCAGTTCACTTCCATAAGCGCAAACATATCGTTGCTATATGTGGCTTTTATTAAGACGATTTCCATTCGAAGTTAAATATAGACTAAGAATCCCATTTACTGTACAGAGCTCGTAAACCTAAAATGGCCGACCTAATACATTTGGGAAACATAGATGTAGTCATTCAGAAGGACAAACCCGGATCGCCAACGGGCTGTTCCGACGATGGAAACCTAGGAGGGATCGGTGGCATGAGTGGCTTGGGCGGCATGATGGTCGCAGGTGGCATTGATTTGGGCGACCTGGCACAGGAATTGGATCACGATGAATTCGATGGACCCCATATGCTAAATGGTAAGTAAGCAGAATTTAACATTTTAATTTTCTGTTTATAATTAATGAAAAATAAGAGTTGTATAAAATCATTAGGGCGAAAAAGTTAGAATACTGTATCGTGTTGGTTAGTCAGTTAAACCCCATTTTAATATTTTTCGTAAGTCTTTAATGATTTATTTAATATTAAATTAAATAAAAGTACTTTAAATTATACATTTTTTGTAGCTTTCAATAGTTTATTTTCATTTCATACTTATAATTACTACAAACTGTCTTATTTTAGGCGATCGTCCAGCGATTATTGCTCCTCCGGAAAGTGAATGGTACCATGGACGACTCGATCGTTACTCTGCTGAGTCACGTCTGCGGGGAAGCAGTAAATTGGGAAGCTATTTGGGTGCGTATAACTTGGCTAATTAGGATGAAAATGGTTCTAAAATATTTTATTTCTGCCGCTGCATCTTGATGCTGAGCAGTTCGGGAAAGTGACCGTAAACCTGGCTCTTATGTTCTAAGTTATTATGGGCGCACCGGCATAAATCATTTTCGGTAAGTGTTTTTTTTTTTTTTTTTTTTTTTTGTACTTTAAGGGTTTTTGGTTATATATATATATATATATATATATTTATTATATTTTATCATATTATTCCATAGAATCACAGCCGTGTGCGGAGACTTCTATATTGGTGGACGACAATTCATTTCCCTGAGCGATCTTGTTGGCTACTATACCTCATGCAGTGACTTGCTGAAGCGCGAACGGTTAACCATACCCGTGGCTCCGCCGGAGCCAGTCAATGACAAGAAGCGCGTCGTGGCCATCCTGCCTTATACAAAAATGCCAGAGACCGATGAGCTGAGTTTCCAAAAAGGTGATATCTTCTTCGTGCACAATGACATGGGCGATGGATGGTTGTGGGTCACTGCCCATCGTACTGGCGAGCAGGGAATGATTTTCAGAGAACTTGTGGACGATCTAGATGTGTCCATCGATCCGAATACCGTGTTTCCTTGGTTTCATCCGAATTGCACTAAGAACGAAGCCGTCGATATGCTGGTTAAAGGTATGTACTTTGCTTGGAATTATATATGTATGTATGTATGGCGTATAAAGAATTCTTATTACTCAAGATTTATAAGTGAGATTCAAATTCAAATTCTAATTGTTCCCTGTCTTATTTATAGCTGGACCAGGAAGTTTCTTGGTTCGTCCAAGTGACAACTCGCCAGGGGATTACTCTCTTTTCTTTCACATCAACAACCAGATCCAACGCTTTCGCATAGAGAAGAAAGGCGTGCGGTATTTGATGGGAGGACGGACTTTCGAGTGCCTGGACGCGGTGATCAATCGATACCGCAAAGAGCAGATTGTGGAGGGTCACTCGCTCAATCATCCAGTTGTGAATGGCATTCAGCCCGAGTTCAATCAGCAATACGTTGTGGAAAAGGCAGCCGAGAAAATATACGCAACACTGCGAGAGTGCCGCGATCAAATCGGCCTCAAGAAGATCAAGGGCATTAAGCATCACGGCCACTTGAACAAGAAATCCGACAAGACGACAAAATGGAAACAACTCTATTTTGCTTTAATAAACGACGGCTCCGAGACGCAGCTGTGCTTCTATGACAATCCCAAAAAGACCAAACCGAAGGGCCTGATCGACTTGTCGTGTGCCTACCTCTACCAATGTCACGACTCCCTGTGGGAGCGACCCTATTGCTTCCAAATCGTGGAGAGGGCCTTGCCTTGCCTGGCCACCGTCACATATCTCTGTGCTCCTAGTCAGGAAAGCTATGTGGAGTGGATCAACTCCCTCAAGGCGCAGTGCGACTCGCAGTTGAGTCGAGCCCAGAAGAAGGTCTCCCGCCTTCGCGAGCTCCGATGCCTCAACCTGCACGTGCTGGAAGCGCATCGCTTACCATTCAAATTAGTGCCACATCCCTATTGCAGTATTTCCCTCAATCAAGTCAAGGTGGGCAAAACCCGAGTCAAAATTGCCCCTGAACCCGTGTGGGAGGAGGAATTCGTACTAGAGTAAGTCTTCTTATATGTCTACAACTTTCTACACTGTATGGATGTTTTTGTTTGTTTTTGCCGGAGCTAACGATGTTTATTATTTTGTATGAAAATACCTGATACGCATATAGTATATATTCATTTTGTCAGTATCAATAGCTGTCTGTACGACTGTATGAACCTTCAGATTCCAGGAACAACCACTTTAAACGTCTACAAATTATGTCTGAGACATAACAAAGACCAGCCACTGGGCAATATATTTTTATTCGCTGAATATTTATCGACATACCAAAAACTATCCAAATCTATCCTATATTTTACAAGTTATTGGCAATTAAATAACTTTTAAAAAAAGTTTATGTATTTGAAAGAGCGATAGAGAGCAATAGAGAGCAATAGAGAGCAATAGAGAGCGAAAGAGAGCGAAAGAACTGATAGCTTGTAGTGTTGCGCATGCAGTTAGGTAGATGGCGCCACCTAAAACACTATTGTTTTTTTAAGCGGAACATTTATTATGAAATTGATTAGCTGAGTAACACGGGTAACCAACAGTCGGTTATATCGTTCTACATCGTTTTGAATATTTGTTTGTTGCAGCATGAGCAGCGTCATAATAATTTAATTTAATAATCTTTCAGCGATGTCCCGCCAGACGTTGTCTCCCTAACCATAACGTTGATATCCCGCGGAAAGCGCGGCAAAGACTCCGAAGTGGCCGAGCTCACCATCGACTTGTCCAGTTTGAAGAACGGCCAGGAGACGGAGGGCTGGTACCAGCTCACTGGCATGACACCGATGGGCGAATGGGGCTCGCTGCGGCTGCGCATGCGCTACCTCGACGATCTGATAATGCCCTGCGAGGAGTACAGTCCGCTGCAGCAGCTGCTCCTCGAGTCGGAGCTGTATGCGGTGAAGGCGTTGGCGGAGCTGTGCCACAACGACCGTGTTCCCCTGGCCACGGCCCTGCTGCGAGTGTTCCGGCAGGAGAAACGGGAGACGGAACTCATCCGAATGCTGTGCCAGGCGGAGGTGACGCGCGAGAACGAGACCACCACGCTCTTCCGTGGCGCCTCATTGGCCACCACACTAATGGATCTGTATATGCGCACCGAATGCAGCGGATTCCTGCAGTCGGCCGTCAGCGAAACGGTGCAGCGCATTCTGGAGAGCAAGCAGTCGGCCGAACTGAATCCAACCAAAATGGACGTCAACGATGATGCCTGCACGAATGCGGAGTTCCTTCTGCAAATCCTCGATCTGGTCACCCAGTCGATATTCACATCGCCCGACGCCTGTCCCCGTAACGTGCGCTTCATCTGCAACTGCCTGCAGAAGGCTGTGATGGCCAAGTGGCCGACAGAGCGCCTGGTGCGCACCCGCGTCGTCTCTGGCTTCATATTCTTGCGTCTCCTGTGCCCAGCCCTGCTCAATCCACGCCAGTTCGGTCTGGTCAGCGAGACGCCCCCGATGGCAGCCACCCGATCATTGGTCATGGTCGCCAAGTGTCTGCAGAATCTAGCCAACTTGATTGAGTTCGGCGGCAAGGTGCGTAGTTGGCGATTCGCTCCAACTTCAACTGCAACACTGATTTTATTGACTCCCCCTTTGCTTTCAACATTCCAGGAACAATACATGGAGGTTGTCAATCCGTTTATATTGAAAAACAAGGAACGCATGATCGTCTTTTTGGATCAACTGTCCCTCGTAACCGATCCGAATCCGCCGCTTGGAATGTTTGTGGAGCAAAGCACAAACCTAAATTCACAAGACACTGGTAAGTTAGTTAGTTAGTAAGAAGAGTGCTCACTTCAGCCAGTCGAATTTTACACACCATTGGCACTATTCATGAATCGACTATTTCATGGCAACCGACTTAATATCTAGAAATTATTAGAATTACAATGTTAGGCTATGTGTATTTATTTACTTACTTATTTGTTTTTCTTAAGCTGATCTGATAATATACAACAACATAACATACTATTTAATATATAAATATCCAGTATTGCTGAACGGGAAAATATCTTGTGCTGTGCTTATCCTTTTTTGGAATAATTTAGTTTTGTATTTAGCAAATAAATAATCATATATTTCCTTTGTTATTTTCGAAGGGCGCGAGCTGGCTACGTTGCATCACATCTGTGTATCACATTCGCAAGAACTTCACGAATTATCCAACATACTTTCAATTAAGAAGCTGGTCACAGTCACCGATATGCTGACCAAGCACAAGCTGAAGTACCGCGAGATGATCAGCTAAAATAAATTGCGAAGACCGGATAATAAAAGAACTGTCTTCTTATCTACACAAGTCCCTTCATACCTTTTTATAAAAATATTTATATGTGTATACTATTAGAATACATAAAGTAAGAACTCATAATAACTGGTTGCATTGTATTGGAATAGTAAGCGAAATATCATTTATAAAAATTATTTATATGAAATGAAATAATATTTAACTGACCGGTATGCATTTATTTATTATTATTATTAGAATTAGCTATAATACACTAGCATACACGGCGTGCTCCGGATAGCCGCAAACTAAGATACTGGACATCGTTTTGCTATTGATTGATTGATTGTGTGACAAACTGAGAAATATTGTCAAATAACAGACAGCGTCACATCGCAAATCGGAACTCTTTTATCTAAAATCAAAACATTTTTCTTTGAAAACACCGCATACAATCTAAATAAATGAATTTACAAAAATAAAGTGAATTTAAATGATGAAGGATTGATTATCAGCGATGCATATTTATTTCTACGCGGTAACGTCATCACACACACTTGTTATGAATTTCAACTATTCAATGCCTGGCAGGTCAACGGAATATAGTGATTTATGGGCGTGGCCAAATCTTTGAAATAAATTTGCACTGAGTAGGTACATATATATCTTTTGAATCTTTTAACTCTCAAAATCTCTAAGGATAGAGCTAGTGTAACACGGAAAAGTAAGCCCTTAAAAGTCCTTACAGGTTAACAAAAATGTTTTATCCAGTAAAATGATTGTTTAATAACTAACGACTATTTATCTCTATTCGTAGCCTTTGTTGATTTGTACATTGTATTCATACCTTATTTAGTGGGAAATATCTCCTTTACTGCATTTCAAAATCCCTAGAGAATTTATGAATCCCCATGGACCTGTTTCTAAACTTATTAAGCAACATAAAGGAAAAAAAAAGGGTTTACTAACTAGCGGATGTCCAAAAAAAATCATTAAAAAATCAAAAGGGTGTATCAATATAAGGTTTTCAGCTTGTAAAAAAGTGGGAACTTGTGGGATAACTGCTTTATTTCTTTTTACATTTGATTTGGAAAGAGAAATTAAAAATTAGTTAACAGTAAAATTAAGCTGTTAAAAAAAAAAGAATTACGAATTATTACAATGTATTTATGGGAATTCCCTTTCGATATTCTCAACATATATTGATTTCGTTTAGTGTGACTTAATATTCACTTTTCCGAAGGCCAACACTCACTTAGGGATCCAGAATTACCGATTTCTTATTTTAAATGCATATTTACATTTAGAGTATACAATGTACATTAGGTATATACATACATATAGGTCGAATAGGCTATATCTTAATCAATTCCACAAACCTAAAAGCCTCCAATTCTGATTTGTACGCATATATTTAAAAACTATAAAATATTACATTTAAATTTTGTTTACATATTATATTTTATTTACGACCTCCTTTGCGGCCCTTTCCGCCCCTTCCGCCCTTTCCGCCCTTTTCGCGTTTCTTTTTTGCTGCCACCGATCGCTTGTCCTTCTTCTCGCGCGGATCAACGACGCGGTATTGACCTTTGACACCCGCTGGACGGCGAGCTCGTCGGGCGGCCGACTGCTTTTTGGCGACCACATACGTAACCTCCTTCTTCTTCTCTTGCGCCTTTTTGTACACCTTCTTGAGCTGTTTGGTCTTCTCGTGATTGGTGGCATCGTTGTTCTCCATGATCTTTTCGGCCATTTTCTTGGCCTTGGCCATGCGTTTTGAAGCACGCCGCTGCTTACGCGCCTTGGCCTCCATGACCTTCTTAATGGGGCGCACATTGAGCTCCTGCAGTTTGCGTTGGTACTCTGCCGTCAGCTCCTTGGGCACCGGCTGTGGCTTGGTCATATGCTCGTCCTCATCCTGCACAAACCACACGGGAAGATTTTCGTCGTTGAATGCATACCGATTCCAGGCTGCGTCGATTAGGTCACGGCGTGTCTTCTTGTTGCGCGTCAAAAATGCCCCCAAGGCCATCTCATTTTCGGATAAGCGCACCTTCTTCACCTTCGTTTCTGAAATGAGCAAATGGAAAAATCTGGTTTTAAGAAGAGTACTTTTTTGAACTCTAAACTATATTGAATGTGCTCATAGCCACAAGTACTTTTTGTTAAACTCGTCTTTGAATGAAAACCTTTATGAGATTTATACTTGAATCTGAATAAATTTTATAATAACTACAGCTTAAATTTTCACGATTTCCAATTGGTTTTTCATTTAACTAATTAACATTTAATATGTTATATGTTATACTTTTTTGTAACCAACAAAAAAGGGATCATATGCTTACTAATGAATTACTTAAACTTTTTAAATCAAAAAATCAATAGACAAATGGACTGTTTGTATTTTCTTCACTCGTTACAAACATCTAAAAAACTGTATAATACCCTCCTAAGGATATACAAAGATTTCGAAGGCCAAAAACAACAGGTTACAATTTAAAAAAAGATAAGTTAATTAGTTTTTCAAATATTGCGCTACAGTGGCATTACAAAAATCCTTTTGAACGACTTGGAAATTTTTCAAAGCTCTGTGGAAAAGAGTAAACCATTTATACAACAACACTAACCTGTGGCCGCATCTTCGTCATCCTGTTTATCGACTTCGTCCTCGGAGTCGGATGACTCCGAGCTGCTGTCCTTGGCGGCGGCTTCGTGGCGAGCACGACGTTTGGCCTTCTTGCCTTGGATTAGCTCGTCGTCGGGGGTGAGGGTGCTCTCACCCAGCACCGACACACCCTTGGCCTTGTACTCCTTGGCCAGGTTGTCCAGATCGTAGGTCTCCTCATCGTCGTCCGACTTTATATTTTGAAGGACATCCTTTTCATACCAGAGCTGAACACGTTGCTCCCGCTTGGTGTTTTTATCGCGAAAGTCAGTTGATTTGATTAGTGGATTCTCGGTTCGCTTTTTCCTCTTGTTTTTACCTTTCGCAACGTCTTCATCGTCGTCACTGAGGCCCAGACCACGTTTGTCCAACTGCTCTTCGTCTTCCGAGGCTTCGCTCTGTTCATCCTCATCGTCGTCGCCGTAGTTTAAATCATCATTGACATTCTGGTCATCCTTGTCATAATACTTGTATTTTGACAGTTTGGCCTGTTCGGGAAGACTTTCGTCCACAGCGAAATCGGGCTGAACATCTAGCAAGCCGTCCAGCTCGGCAGAGGTGCTGATGCTTTTGAGCTCAAAGATCTCGTGCTCCGTCTCCTCGACTGGGCCATCATCGCCCTTGATCACCATGTTGAGGTTCATCTTCTCGTGCAACTTGGCCTTTGTCTTGAGCGTCTTCTTGCGCTTTCGCTTCAGATCCTTCTTTTCCTCGTCCAGAATTGTGTCTATTTGGGTTTGCAGTTCGGCATCCTCCATATCCTCGATTTCCGCCTGCGTCAATGGCTTCGCCTTTTCCTCGTCGGCCTTTGGATCCCCAACTACGAGCGGTTGTTCATCCTTTTTAACTAGCATTTCCCTCACATCCTTCCACCATTGCACCAGTCCCTTGATGTCTTTGCGACCCAGGACCTTCAGATCCTTACAGCACTCCAGAATTTCCGGTGTGGTCTTCTTGTGACTGGCAATGCGCTTGTCATCGATGCGAATGGATCCCACGCCCTGCAGGGCAGCCAGGGCATTCTCGGCCAGCATAAACTCCGTGGCGGCCAGATCGTTGCGCAGGGCGATGTCCTGGGCCGTATAGCCTTCGGCCTTGATGCGCTTCTGCTTTTCGGGATGAAGCAGGCTGCTTTTCTTCTTGGCATCAAGATCGAGCTCCTCGAACACATACTTGGAGTCGAGCAGACGGGGATCAATGTGGTCGGGTGCAATGTAACCCTGGCAGACCACGAATATCTCGGCGGACTCCTTGCGCGAGGCGCTCGGCTTGGTGGCGTGCACCTTCTTGAAGAGCTGCTTCAGCACCCAGAGCAGAGCATTGTAGTCCTTGGAGCGGAACACCTTGGTGACGAACCAGCCGCCGCTGCGCAGGAACTGGGTGCTCAACTTCAGGGCGTTGAGGGTGAGGCAGATCTGTTGGTAGGCATCGTACAGCCAGTTGCGACCCACATTGGGTGCTCCGTCGTGCAGCACCACATCGGCCTTCCACGACTGCAGCTCCTTTGTCAGCGATTGCCGGCACTTCTCGGTCGTGATGTCCTCCACCAGGCCAATGCAGCCGGCTATGGGGCGGATGGGGAACAGATCCACGCCGATCACAATGCTGGACACCGGCATGTTCTGCTTGGCCACCTGCATCCAGCCTCCGGGCGCTGCGCACAGATCCAAACATACTTGCGACTGCTGGAGGAAACCAAATTTACGATTCAACTGGATCAATTTGAAGGCGGCACGCGATCGAAGTCCTGTCTCCTTCGCTAGCTGGTAGAACTTATCCTTTCTGGTCTTTCCAACTTTCGTTTTCTTTCCCATTTTGCCAGTGATTCAATATAATCACGTTAAATTGAATCGAATTGAAATCAAATGCACCGAATCGTGCACGTGTTGCGAACAGTGTGCCCGTATTGACTATTTTAAATATTCCACCTGACTCCGATCACGATGTGCGTCCAAAAAGCGACGGAAATGGAACGGTGGATTTGGAACATGAGCGGTTTTATTTATTTTTTTAATATCTTGGTAGTCGATCAAGATAAAAGAATAAATGGTATTATTATTATTATTATCAAAATTTATTTTTACAAAAAAACGGAAATTTAAGTTTACAAAACTTAGTCTACTGGAGAAAAAGACGCTTAATTATTTTTTTTGGGATTTTTTTGGGGAATTTAAAGTGTGACTGCGAGCTTACCATCTCAAACAAACCTACCGTTATTATTCCTATTATTCTGAATAACTATCTAGAGATCAATGTATACATCGATTTTTAAATATAAACTAGAGACATCAAAAAATACAGAGTCCCCTCATTTGCACGGTTCATTCAAAAATACCAGATCGGCAAGCCGGGTGGGAGCACTGCGACTAGGTGGCAACGCCGCGCTAGTCACTCGCACGCAAACAGCTCGCTGGAGAGAGAGAACACGAACACACAAAAGGCAATAGTAGTTTTCCGTACGAATCGAGCCCAGCCCAGAAAAGCGGAAAACAGAACGGACTTGCAAGCGGTTGCAATTTTCCATAAACTGTAAGTAGAAAACGCGCCTGTCGCAGGTGGCCAACGAGCAGTGGCAAAAAGCCAGAACGAAGTTAAGAAATTAACCAGTGAAAAGTGAACGAAAACGAAACGTCGATGACGGGCCTGTGAATACATGTATGTGTGTGTGGATTGGTTTGTGCGACGGTGTGTGTGTGTGTGTGTGTGTGTGTGATAAATAATTGGTTCCAAATTTCATTAGTTTTTATCATGCGCATGATTGCGGGGGAAAACAAGTTAAGACTAGCAGCTATCTGCTGCTGGTTATATGTGCAATAAAGTTGGCAAAGAGCTAGTGCAGTAAAAAAAAACTGCATTTAAGTGAACACGCACCGCTCGGACACACACACTGGCACACTAACACACCCACACCAGTGCAGCCTACTCGCTACGCCCGTGTGTGTCCCAATCAGAATTTTCTGATGCCCGTCCCACCGTCCGGCTTATCTGTGTGCGCCGTTGCTTTCCATTCTTTCTTCGGCTTGAGTCATCGCTCGGTCTGGCTAGATATGCCGATATGCCCGCTGCTCCGCATAGATAAGGCCCTGCTGCCGACGAACGGTCACTCTGGCAGGAGCAGGAGCAGGAGTGAACCAGGACCGCACCCTAATTGCAATCCCTTCCTGCACACATAGTGACCAACTAATCCCACCGGATACTAATCCTACGCTCTATCCCCTACTCTCTACTCCTTACATACGACAGGAGTCATCCAACTGCACAACATGCAAACCATCAAGTGCGTGGTCGTTGGCGACGGAGCCGTGGGCAAGACCTGCCTGCTCATCTCGTACACAACCAACAAGTTTCCCTCGGAGTACGTGCCCACGGTGTTCGATAACTATGCGGTCACCGTGATGATCGGCGGCGAGCCCTACACACTGGGCCTGTTCGATACGGCCGGACAGGAGGACTACGATCGGCTGCGTCCGCTCTCCTACCCACAGACGGATGTCTTCCTCGTCTGCTTCTCGGTGGTCAGTCCCAGTTCCTTTGAGAACGTTAAGGAGAAGGTAAGATGGGCAAACGTCCCACCGTTTTCGTTTTCGTTTCCGTTTCCAATCGAAAATAAACTAACCCCACTTAATGTCCATGCCGCAGTGGGTGCCCGAGATCACACACCATTGCCAAAAGACGCCGTTCCTGCTGGTGGGCACACAGATCGACTTGCGTGACGAGACCAGCACGCTGGAGAAGCTGGCCAAGAACAAGCAGAAGCCCATCACCATGGAGCAGGGCGAGAAGCTGGCCAAGGAGCTGAAGGCCGTCAAGTATGTGGAGTGCTCGGCCTTGACACAGAAGGGTCTGAAAAATGTATTCGATGAGGCCATCCTGGCCGCCCTGGAGCCGCCAGAGCCCACAAAGAAAAGGAAGTGCAAATTCTTATAATTCTCCTCCTCCCACATGATGTGTCCCCTTGTTTCTGGCTTTCAAGTACTATCGCAATGACTCCTTCAGCCTCCCGTCGAGAAGCGTTCAATATATACCCATATATAACATATATGTTTTAATTATGTTATTCTGCAATCGCTTCTGCCGGAGTCCAGTCCAGTAGTGCCCTCCATCTGCCCATGTCCGTCTCTCTGTCTCTGTCTCTGTCTATTTCTTTCATTATCCGTATTTGTGTCAGTAGTGTCCGTATGATCAGCCTAAAATATCGTCGGATTTTATGATTTAAACACTGTCCCAGCTAACTGGGCAGTTGCTTTTAACCCGGGACAGTCTTCCGCCCCACAAACTTCAACCCCGATCCCAGCCAGGACCTAATCATCCCGCCCAGCAAGTGAAATCAAATCAAAATCCAGACTTCATTTCTGCTCGCATTCTTGTTTTTGGCGCAATTTTCTTATTAAGAGAGAAAAAAAAAACACAATATCAATATAGCGAAAACAAATTATTTATATATATTTCTTTATATATATATATATATACAAGAATTAAGAAGGAACAACAAATTATAAACGTATAATAAAACAAAAAACTAAACAAACAGAATAGAACAAACAAAAAAAAAAAAAAAGGAAGAACGTGAAGAACCATGCAATTTTTTTTGTTTTGCATCAGTCGATATAAACAGCAATGTGAAAAATAAGCAAAGTCGCGAAGATTAAATAAAATATTTATGATAACTGATGGCGTAATGTTCAAACAACGGAGGTAGAAAGGAATTCGCTAGCATGCAAATATGAAAGTGAAGCTTATTATGTAATAAAACTAAGAGTATGAGTATTGAAATATGATTAAAAATAAATTAAAAGGAAACAGAACTAGGCGTTGCAACCACAAACATACATCTGAAATCTACAATCTATATAAATATATATCTCTATATATTTAAATATGTATAATCCATAAAGTATAACAATAAAACAAAAAAACAAACAACAAAAAAAACGGCAACAGCAAGAAAAAATTTGTATTGTAGTTCAGTAAAAAAACAACAAAGAAGAAAAGAATATACGAACTAATGCATTTTTTAATATTTTTATATGTATACATTATCAATTTTTACATTTTTTTTCTAGACCATAGTGATTTAACATTATTGATTTCAGATAATATCTTATAATAAAACCGAAATCCAAAACGAAAACATTTTCTGTGTTGACAATTTTTTCGAATGACCAGCGAAGAAAATCCCAAAACTTAGTTTTTAAAAGGTTAACCAACAAATGAATGAATTAATTAATATTGAAAATGAGAACTTGTAAGTGATGGGGAAGATTACTTACAAAGTCCTGTGTTCTGCGATGTTTTGCTCTATATAATTGGGTCTAATGGGTAACATTTAAACAAGGTAAACGTGCACATAAATTATAGCAAGTAAATCTTAATGGATTCTAAAACAGAATTCAAATCGTATGGGTTTGGCAATTCTAAGCAAAGTTGGCAAGGAAACTAGTGGTCTTAAATCACTTATGACAAGGAGGCAATTAAATGGAATTAATTTCCGAATTAGATTACCAAAATACATATAGACAATAAACAAATCCATTTTTAGCAATTCTTTCTATATTTTTAAATGTCTAATTCAATGTAACCGCAGAGCTACCTCAATTTAAAATGTGTTCTGAAATGTTTTTATTTTTTATTTAAAAAGTAATGAATCGTTTTTTCTTTGGCTTAACAATGTTTTTAATAATGAATTGCTATATTCTAATAAATTACTTTGAATTGACTATATATAGCCATTATTTTATTTTGAAATTAAGAAATTATTTTTTATAGCTTATAATTCAAAGGATTTTGTTTCCCTTTAATAACAACTTTACATTTATTACAAATACCTTACTCTAACTTGTCGGGAAGTGCAATCAAGGCACAATTAATTTTTCATAAATTTAAAAAAGAAAATAAAAGCGGACGTTTTAGCCCAGTGGCTGTATCCACTTGCACTTGAGGGCCGCCGCGGTCACGGCCTCCTCGTGGGATTCGGCAAAGCCCGCCGTGCCCTGGACGTCGATGTGGTCGTAGTCGAAGCGCAGGCTGCCCTTCCCGTCCCGCAAGAGCTGCTCCACGCCGTGCCAGGCGATCATGACGCCGTTGTCGGAGCAGTAGCGTTTCGATGGCCGGAAACTCTGCCATCCGTATTGGGCGGCCAGGTGTGCAATGTTGGCGAAGATGGCGTCGTTGTTGGCCACCCCGCCGGACATGACCAGCGTGGGCGGGGCGTCGCCAAGGAGCCCAACCTGCGGCAGCAGGCAGTACTCGATGGCCCGCTGGGTGCGGTGCATCAGGTGCCGGCTGACGGCGCGCAGCAGGCCGGCACAGAAGTCACCGTAGTTGCTGATCACTCCGTCCGGCGGTGTTCGTTCCGTCCGCTCTCGCGTCCGGATGGCACGAAACGAGTTGTTCTTGATGCCGGCAAAGCTGAAGTGGCAATTGCGCTGCTGGGCCAGCGGCAGCGGGAACTCATAGGCCAGCGGATCGCTGGCCAGCTGGGCGGCGTGCTCGATGGCCCGCCCGCCGTTCCACAGGCGGTACTCGGGCAGGATGTGCAGACGCAGGCGTCGCCCGATCTTGTCGAAGGCCTCGCCGGGCGCGTCGTCCAGCGTCTGGCCGAGCAGGGCCAGGCGACCGGGGCCGTGCACCACCGCCAGCTGGCAGTGGCCGCCGCTGGCCAGCAGGCAGAGGAACGGGAAGCGGATGTGCTCCGGCTGCTCCATGCGGGCCTGCAACGCGTGCGCCTCCATGTGGTGCACGGGGAGCAGGGGCTTCTGCAGGCGACGCGCCAGGTGGCGGGCAAAGCGCAGCCCCACCAGCAGGCTCATGGGCAGTCCGGGTCGCGTGGTCACCGCAATGGCCGTCAGCTGCTCCGGCTGCAGTTGGGCCTCCGCCAGGCAGCGCTGGTAGGCGGACTCGATGCGGGCACGATGCAGATCCTGGGCCCTGGGTGGAATGATGCCGCCGTATCTGCAAGCAAATTGGTTAATAACATCCGCTACAATTTGTTAGCAGTTGTACACACTCACCGGGTGTGGAACTCCTGCTGGGACTCCAGCACATTCGACCTCACCCGGCCGGCGGTGTCCACGATGGCGATGCCCGTGTCGTCGCAGGAGGTCTCGATGCCCAGGACATAGCTAAGGGTTCTGCGGATCCCTCCTCCGATGGCATTTCCTATTCCATTGCCGGCTGAACACCTGAGTGCATGCATAATGGCCAGTGTGACCAGGCGGCGGCAGCGAGCACTGGACCAGTAAATGGTGGGACCGTTTGTGTCAATCCTCCTCACATGAGTTTTTAAATACAGCTGCGGACAAGAAAATAGTAGTGGGAAAAATGTAAAGTGCCCAAGAATATACCTTTCTTTCTTTATTAATCCTTTTTTGAAAATATTTTATACCGCCCCATATAGTTTATAGTATAAAAAATATAAAAAAATGTTTAAAAGTTGCTTCCATTATATTTTTGATTAAACATTGTCTTAAGTTTCGTATTAACCGAAGTCAAATCTGAAACCAAGCAAAGGTATAAAACTTTTATTTTCATCTTTTAAGAACCATTTTTGATATATTACTGATACTTATACTGATTTAAGAGCAGGAATAACACATATTTGCTACATTCGGTAAATAATATAAAAATTGAATATCTACAGTTTTCTTGTTATTGGTTTATTGGTTTCAAATTGAATTTTGGACTTGTCTTTGTCGGTTTACAACTAAATAATAAATAATATTGGTTTTGTTAGAAAATGCCACCCGCCGGTTTGCAAATATGTATATGGTTATTTTCCGGAAATGCATAAAACGTAAACATAACACCAAACTCCGGAATCGGGACTTGCACATGAGCCGGTCGTATAGAAAATAGGATTCATCTAAGTTAGTGGATATTAAATACATTTTGGCCTCTTAGCGTTCGTAGTAGACGCGATAGTAAAGTGTCTTGGAGCGCCAGATGCTGTAGCTGTTGTCGAACTTCAGCAAGTAGACACCCTCGCCCGGATACGAGTGAGAGCCCACGTACACCTCGTTGTAGCACTCGCGCCGGTAGATGGGCACGATAATGGAAATGGGTGGCTTGGGGGCCGCAGTCGGGTTGCTAACCGCACCGCGCTCTTGCGACAGCGAACCCGACTCCAGGTCCTCGGTGGTGGACAGGTAGTCCTCGTCCACGCAGTCCTCGTCCTCGTCGGAATCGCTCACGTGCACCGTCACCTCGTTGGTCACGGGCTTGGCCCACTCAAAGTAGATGCCGAAGCCGATGTCGTAACTGTCCGTGGCGAACTCCCAGAAGATGCACTTGCCATTCATGTTGGTGGGCACACGGACCTGCGAAATGTACGAATCAAGAACCGCCCCTCCTTTAAAAAAAGTACTGACTGGCCACTCACCGTAACCGTGTCGCCGTGTCCAATGGTAATGACGCCGTCGCCATCGCCGGCAGACACTTCAGTCTTGAACTGCTCGATGTCGGGACGAGTCCAGATCTTGGCCGGGCATATCATCACGTAGTCGTCGTACTCCTCCTCGCCCAGTTGATCCTGCACTATGCCCTCCACCTGCTCCACATGACCGTGCTGCTGCTCAGCCATCTGGTGGTGGTGGTGGTGCTGCTGCTGTTGCTGCTGCTGCTGTTGGGTTTCCATGTCACCCAGTTTTAGCGCCTCCATGGCGTGCGTCAAGTCGGTAGTGCTATTGTTGTTGTTGCCAGGGGCGTTGTCCTCCAGCCCCCTGTCCTGGTGACCCTTTTCCTCAGGGTTCTGATTCTGGTTTTGCAGCTGGTTCTGATTCTGTAGATGGAGCTGCTGCATGTACTGGTGATAGTGCTCCCGCTGCAGCTGATGGATGAGCACGGCCTGCTGCTCGGGGTTCCCGGGGAACTGCTTTTCGGCATACAACTGTGGATGGAGGAGTGATTAGGAGGTGGGGTTGGAAATTAAATTGCCTGGGAACTGGGTCATGACCCCCTTTCAATGTCCGAGACCCCCCGGGCAAGGCCGGACCCTAGCAATAGCCATGCATTATTGACCACAACAACAGGTGCAGGGGCCCGGCATCGCGTGGCAAAAAAAAATCGATGGGCTCTACCTTGAATTGTTGATACGTCTGCTTGTTGAGGGCGTCCTGCAACTGCCGGCGCTGCAGCTCCTCCTTGTAGCCCTCCTCGAGCAGCTCCTGCTGGGCGTTCGCCTGCCGCTCGCGTGCCTCCTTCTCCAGCTCCATGAGACGCAGTTCCTTGCGCAGCGTCTCGTCGCGATCCTGTCGCACGGCCTCAATATACGGTCGGAAGGCACTGCACATGGTGTCCAGCAGGTCGACGAAGCCCTCCATGGCCTGCTCCCGGGTGATCTCGCCCAGCAGCTGCCAGTGCTGCTGGCGGTCACGTCCGATCACGTCCAGGACGCCGAGCGCCGGCGCCCGGGACGTGTTGAAGGGACCCAGGGCCGCCTGCTGCTTGAAGGCGATCAGCTTCAGGTTGTCCTCGTAGGACAGGTGGATGGCCTTGCCCGAGTTCCCTGCAAACGGGCGGGTTTACATTTAAATGCTGGCAAATGGAATAAAGTTCACTCACTTTTGTAGAACGCGAATGCCAGGCGGTAGAGCTCCATCAGGGGGAAGCCCCACTTTTCCGCCGACGGTGGCGTCGTGTCCGCCGACGCTGTCGCTCCGCTGCTGCTTATCCCGCTAGCCATTCTGCCGTCGCTTGTGGTATCTTTCTCCACGCTCGCTGACAAACTTTTGCCTGCAAACTTTTCGCACAAAACAAAACAAAATAATAGAATGTGACGTCTGCTGTCAGTGTGACCAGCTGCACTGCGGGCTCGGAGTAGTCGTGTGCAAGGCGTTTTGCAACACTGCCTGGGGCAGATCAGATCACTATTTGGCTATAAGCATTTTAACATTCAAAAAAAGTTAATTGGTTGAAAGCTGACCATTAGATGTATTTAAAATGTTCATAAGATGAAGAACTATAACGACAAACACTTATGCCCTTTAATTTTTTTTTGGATGTGTTCTTACATTTGGATATAGTTTTTTCCACCATTTGTTTTTAACCTATTTTAGCCTTGGCAGCACTGACTGTAGTTGATATTTTTTGGTTATTTTAATGCATAAGTGTGTACGTTACAATGGTCACACTGGTATTGTTATTGTTGCCGGAATTCTACACGTGCCTTGAAATCGTCTTGATTTTTGTAAATACTGAAAAGTGAATTTAAAGATGGGCAGTACCCGGTTCTTCCTGGCGGATCTGCCGTCCAGGACCTCGGAGGCGGACATGCGCGGCCTGTTCCAGGACTACGGCCATGTGGAGCATGTGGATCTGAAGCGGAAGGAGCAGGATGGAGCGACCAAGGTGATCGCCTTCGTCACCCTGCAGACGGAGGATGCCCAGTACTGTAAGTTGGCCGGAAAGGTTCACGGGCTGCATTGCGATGCGATAAACAAGATGTCACTTTGCAGGCGTCAACGAGCTCAACTGGCAGAAGCTGCATGGGGACCACCTGCGGGTCTCCTTGGCCAAGGAGTCCTTTCTGGACAGACTGAAGCGCGAGCGCGAGGAGAACCAGCGACGGGAACAGGGCGAACCAGTCGTGACCGAGGTGTTTGCGGAAAGCTCCCAGCTGCTGGCAAAAAGCAACCAGAACAAGCGCAGGGTCTTCGGCGATGACGAGGAGATCGGCGACGACGAGATCGCTCCGGAGCTGCTGATCACCAAGAAGCGAGCCGCTAACTCCATGCACAATGGCAAGGTGGGAATTCACTCAGCGTTTTGCCATTTCGTGTCATCTTAATCGCCTTTCTTTCCCCTGAATGCAGATTGTCATACAGCAGGAGCATGACGCCAAGCCGCTCCACGTCATCGAGCAGCACCGCAAGCCAGCCAAGCAGCTTCCGGACGCCAAGGTCAGCCAGGCGGAGCAGAAGCGCATTGAGTCGCTTAACAAGATGCGACAGGGACACCAGCAGAAGAAGTCTGCCATCCAACAGGCACTTTCCGCGATATCCATCGAAGGCAGCCAGGCAAAAAGGATCAAGTTCAGCGACGACGAGGAGGAGGAGACAAAGCCCGCCCAAAAGGCCAAGTCACAGAAACGAGATCTCTTCGAGGGCGACGAGGACGAGGAGGAGGCCGAGCAGATCGTCCTGCCGCAGCACAAGGGCAAGAAGGGCGAGCGTCTGGTGGAGATGCAAAGCAAACAGAGCATAGATCCCCGCTTTCGTATCACAGCCAATTTTGTGGACGAGGAGGAGGGGGAGGAGCAGGATGCGGAGCTGGAGGGCTCTGGCGATCAGCCACAGCCGGTGGAGAGCGAGCGGCAGTGGCAGATGGACATTCTGGAGCAGGTTGTGGGCCACAAGATTGCCGGTGCCAATGATGGCAAGCCGGTCAAAGGCAAAAAGATGTTGCGCTTCGATCCGGCCAAGGAGGACCATCAGAAGCTAGTGCGCCAGAAGCTGCCCAAGGATGAGGAGGATCCCAAGACCAAGGATGTAAAGGCCAGCACCAGTAGTGTCGCAGTCCAGGCTCCAGTCTCGAAAACGGCCTTCTACATGGTCACCGACACCCTGAAGCATTCGCTCAATACCCGGGGCGAGGGCTTCAGTCTGCTGGACATGTTTGGCAGCGCCCCCGACGAGGAGGTGGCCAAGCGCCAGGACCAGTTGGAGAAGCTGGGCCACGAGAAGATCCTGGTGGGCAAGGCTTCCGCCAGTAAGCTCGGCCTGGACACGCTCAATCCCTTCTCCTACGACTCGTCCGACAGCGAGGACGAGGCGAAACCGGTCCAAGAAGAGCCAGAAGAGCCGGAGGACAGCAAGGAAAATCAGGCCCAGCCAGTGAAGAAGACCAAGCAGAAGAAGAGCAAGATCAAATTGGAGTCCTTCTTCATACCCAAAAACGATCCTCGGCTAAAAGGTGAGTGCAGCATCAACCGGTGTTTTCCTCTAACCGAACTCATGCATCATTTACTGCAGAGGGCGCCAAGTTCTTCAAGTCCGCAAAGACGGAGGTTGAACAGGCTGACTACGACCAGGTGCGAAACCGCCTGAAACTGCTCATCAGCAACAAGATCGCCAAGACCAAGAAGAACCTGCCCAGCAAGGACATCAGACAGTACCGCAATAAGAAAGCGAAACAATAGTCCCCTTGGGCTGATCCTTAGAATAACTTCTACGGTAATTAAAATTTGGCATTCTCCGAATTTCAAATGCTCTATTCGTGCGTAAG